ACTAAAGGTGTTTATCACCACCAAATCAGGGTTATGAGAGATGTTAAAGGGACTTCAAGAAAAAAAATATGAATAATAAAATGGCAATAAATATGTACCTATCAATAATCACTTTAAATGAAAAGGATTAAATGCTCTAATCAAAAGACATAGGATAAGTAAATGGATAAGAAAACAAGATGCGTTTACTCGCATATGTTGTCTACAAGCAACCCATTTCAGATCAAAAGACAAACATAGATTGCAAGTACAGGGATGGAAAAAAATATTTCATGCAAATGTAAATTTATAAAAGAAAAAGCTAGGTAGCAATTCTTAAATCAGACAAAATACACTTTAAAACAAAGGCTATATAAGAGACAAAGGAGGACACTACATAATGATAAAGGGATCAATCCAACAAAAGGATACAACCCTTGTAAACATTTATGCACCCAATGAAGGAGCACCTAAATATTGTGTTGGCCAAAAAGTCCTTTCGGCTCTTCCGTAAGATGGCTCTAGCAGCACTTAGTTGTCTTTAACTTCACTCAAAACAATTTTGTTAGATTGTATTGTAACAGCTGTCATATCAGCATGCATTTTTTAAAAAACTTATCAAAATTGGTAAACTTTTGTGCAGCCATTTTAATATTGAAGATGGAAGAAAATACACATTTCCGGCATATTATGCTTCATTATTTCAAAAATGTAAAAACGCAATTGAAACACAAAACAAAAAGATTTGTGCATTGTATAGAGAAGGTGCTGTGACTGATCGAACATGTGAAAAGTCATTTTGTGAAGTTTCATGTTGGAGATTTCTTGCTGGAAGATGCTTCATGGTTGGTTAAACCAGTTGAAGTTGATTGAATCAAGACGTTAACTGAGAACCATCAACATTCTGCCATGCAGGAGATAGCCAAATCAAGAAAGTTATTGGTGAAAATGAAAAATGTGTCTTTTATTTTACGGGAAACACCATACAGACTTTTTGGCCAACCCAATATATAAAGTGAATATTGATGAACATGAAGGGACCAACAGTCATAGTAGGGGCCTTGGCATCAGTGGGTAGATCCGCCAGACAGAAAGTCAACAAGGAAACAGAGGCCTTCAATGACACATGAGACCACATGGACTTAATTGATACTTTCAGAACATTTCACCCCAAAGCAGTAGACTACGCATTCATTTCAAGTGCACATGGAACGTTTTCCAGGACACACCATGTTAGGCCACAAACCAAGTCACAACAAATTTAAAAAGAATGAAATCGTAGCAAGCAAGCCCTTCCTCCATCCACAATGGTATAAAAAATAGAAATTAGTTTCAAGGAAAGAGCTGAGAAACACACAAATACATGGAGGCTAAATAACATGTCACTCAATAAAGAACGGGTTAACAACAAGATCAGGGAAGTAACCAAAAAGTACCCTGAGACAAATGTAAACGAAAGCACAACCACCCAGGATCTGTGGGACACAGGGACACCGGTCTGAAGAGGGACACTCACAGCAATGCAGGCCTGCCTCGCAAAGCACGCTGGGATCCCCTGAAGAGCTCTCAGAAGCCCCAGCGCCCCACCCGCCCTGCCCACGGTGGTGGCTTCAGGGTGGCTTTGCGCCGCCACGGCTGCAGTGTCACCTACAGCCCAGAGTCAGGCCCACGGTCACCTCTGGAAGGGAGCACAGCAAATGGAGGGTAAAGAGAGGCCTCATTGGTCCAGGTAATGTTTTATTCCCTGCATGTGCAGGGCACAGGGGAGTTTGTCACATTATCAACATTTTGAAGCTATCAGCGTATTCAGGATTTTATAAAAGGCAGGAGGCCTGGAGCCCTTGGGGGAACCCCCGGGCACTGCACTTCTCACAGCGCCCCGGCTTCCCTGCGGGGTTTCTGGGAAACATGTGCTGTAAGACTGACGACTCTCTTCTTCCATCCAGTTTATATACTCCCTTATTCCAAAAACATTCGCAAGAGCCCAGAAACCATTTTCGAGGGGAAGTACTGTACCAAGCAACAGGGATGACACGGGCAACTACAGGCGAGAGGCACGCAGGACTCTTATTCAGAAAAGCGACCCGTAAACCATTGGCCGATGGCGACACTGACAAGAGCTCAGGGAAAAGTTCTTGCTTTGCGAGAACTGAGCCTTTCCGGGAAGGAGCCTGGTGAAGGAAGGCCTGCTCACTGCCACTGTGTCCCTGGCTTCTCCGGAAAGCCACCCCGGGGGAGCGCCATGGCACTGCAGCTCACTGCTTGCTCACGGCCCAGGTGCCCACCTCTCCCCTACACCCTGCTAAGGCCGGCCTCACCCCACTCCTCCCAGCGCCCTCCGCCCCGCCCCGCCCCGCCCCGCCCCGCCCCGGCAGGACCACAGCCACAATGAACACTTCCCATTTTTTGAGTCTCCCCATGTGTCAGACACTCTATCAAGTGCATTTTAATTTCCTCATTTAATCCCCATAACAATCTGAAAGGTATTAACCTAAATCACAACTTCGCAAAGAGGAAACAGGTTCAGAGGGAAAAAAAAAGCACTCACCCATGGCCACATTACCAGTGAACAGCGAACAAGTCTAAATTAACACAATGCTCGATACACAGAAATCACTCCGTACACGTCAGCTGTGGCTGTTAGCAGGACTCAAGCGCAGGCCCGTCTCGCTCCAACGCCTGGGTTCTTTTCTGTTTAGGAGTTACCCGCGCATGGTACAAAACTCCAACGGGCAAAAGGGCACGGGGCACAGGGGAGCCTGCCAGCACCCTGGGCTCCAGGCCCTCTCCCCAGACGCAACCAGTTTCTCAGGCACCCTTTCGAGATTTCTAGCAACAGCAACACAATTGATCTGATCCTTCAGAGCCCCTGCCCTTGAGCCAGAGGCTCTGCTGCCGGATTCACTTGCCTGGCTGAGCCGCACTCGGTGTTTCGGCCCGTCTGTGGCAGACTTCACTGCGGCTGACAGCCGTCCTGGGTGAAGCTGTGAGATGCAGGACATCCCGCATCTGTGGGCACACCTGTCTTCCTGAGGCAACGTGCGGGCCCCGGGCCAGGCCATGCAGCGCACTCACCAGCAGGACCGCTCTGCCAGGCGTGGCGCAGGCCGGAGGACAAGGCTCCCAGCCTGGCAGCCCGGGCCCTCGCAGGGCACCCAAAGGGCCGCCGCCCCAAGCCAGCAGTCGAACCCTAACGCTGCCATGCTCAGGCAACCTGGACAGGGCTGTGGGGCCACATCAAACCGCAGAGAGCAGATGGTGAGAGACAGCAAGTCCTGGGTTCGGTAGCTTTTGAAAAAGCATTTCACTTGAGATGTGGATTTCTTCTCAAACTGTAACAATGGAACAGTACCCACCCCTCAAAGGGTTAAAGTGAGGCATAAATGAAATAACACCCATCAACTGACACACTGGGGACTTTTCATAGGATGTAAAGGCTGCCGGAGCCCGAGCAAAGGGAAAGCGGCCGAGGTTCGGAGCGTCGCAGCCAGCGCCGCGTCCCCCAGACAGGCTGGGCTTTCCAGGACGGAGGTCTCCAGCAGCAATTTAGAAGCCTCAGCAGCCCCCTGGTACCGCTCTAAGTTTGGGGACATGGGAGTTTGAGGACTCTGTCTCTTCTGGGACAAGCGTTAAGCCACCAAGGCGAAGGCTTTTAAGGTCCGTCTTTGCTTTCAAAGCGACGCAGGGCTTTTCCTGAGCCCCACCGGAGACTGGGCAGGGCGGAAGCAAAACCCCAACAACCCTGGGTTCTCAGATAAGGTCTGCTTCTTCCTGCAGCTGGGGTGCCATTGTCTTGATTTCCACAAATACTCTGGGCAATGCTGGGTGTGGCGCAGCAAAGGAGATCCTCCCACTCATAAAAAGCTTTTTTTTTTGGTAAGGCAGAAGGCAGCTCTGGAAGCCGAGTTCACAGGAAGCCCAAAGAAGTGGAACTGCAGCCCTGCAGCCTGGCCTTCTCCAGGACACAGAGGGCAACACCCCAGCTACGACAGTCCCCTGAGGATCACAGAATGCACTGTGCGCGCCAGGCCTAGCAACCCCACACCTACCCGCCGCGTCAAATCCAGGGAGCGCCGTCCCTGGAAGGCCGGGCACCGGCCCCGAGGCCAGCCTCAGCAGCAGGGAAGCTGGGTCAAGGCGGGCCACGGTCCGGCCCGGCCTCAAACAATCTCGGACCAAGGAACGTAGGACGGGGCCCCTTCCAAACCTCCTGTGACCTGCCCCCTAACCCCAGCCAGGTGAGGACGTTCTCCTCTGTCAGGGGCTCTTTGTTCCAGGTAGGTAGGAAGTAGTTATAATATGACTTTAAACAATTCTTTGCCTTTTACTGACATGCCTTTCCACAAGAAAAAGGGAGAAAAAGCACTGAGTATACACATGCTGAAACGCACTATGTGCCAAGAGCCCCATGAGGTGGGGGTCACGGTGCCCCTTTCAGCAGATGGGAAAATGAGAGTCAACAGGATAAACAACTTGCTTAGGATCACCAGCTACTACTCGGGGAGCTGTGGCTCGGTTCCACGTCTGTGAGTCTTTGTCGGGACCCCGTCCTAAGAGGACAACTGTCCAGAGAAAATGCTGGGACTCACACAAGTTTCACTCTGAAGTCAGAGGCTCGTTGCTGAGAGACCACAAAGGGTAGATAGATAATCCAGCCTCCATTTTCCAGAGCTGATGCCCAGAGTGGGAAAGTGACTTTCTCAAAGTTACAGCAAATCCACAACATCACACAGCAAAATCAACAAAGTCAAGACTGTGAGTCCCTGTCCAGCTGACTCCTACTTGTCTTCAGGTCTCAGCGTAAATGTCACCTACTCCAGGAAGCCCTCCTTGACCACACACCCCAGACCAGATCCAGTCTCCCAGTTATTCATTCTTGGGGTTTCTGCACACCATGAGGACACCGAGCACAACGGGGGATCTGTAGCTGTGGGGGCAGCTGCGCATTTCATGGCGGTCTTCTGAGCTCAGTGAAGCCCCCGGCCACAAGCATGTCCCCAGTGCCTTGGGGGCGGGCTTACCTTCACTGTCGGTGAGCACTTCCATGCGCCCACTGAACATGGCTTTCAGCATGGTGTCCTGCTTGGTCAGCGTCTGCATGGTGGTGTAGTAGAGGGCGCCGCCCACGTTCAGCTTCACATACTTGGAGCTGGGGCTCGTGCCCTTGAACGAAGTGGTGCGGGTAGCAGCCGCTGGCACCGCTGAGCTCACCACACTTTCTCCTGACATCTCTTCCTGCCAGGGAGAAGACACAGGGTCACCAGGGTCACAACACCCGGCCTGCTTTACTTCCTACAGCCTCTGGGCTGAATCTGGCCTCCAGATCTGTTTGGCTTAGTCCAAGTATCTACTGCATTTAAAACAAGCTTCACTCTCAATGTTGACAACTCAGGAGAGTGCACAGAAAAATCTCGATTTCTGGCGTCTCTTAAAACCAGAGGCCAACTTGGCCAGCAGGGCAACAACTGGTAGAATCTGGAGTATAGGCTGTCCCGTGGCTGTCCCCTGGTGAGGGGCATGCATTCCCCAGTCTGCTCCCCACTACACCCAGAGGGGCTCATACACTGACCTCACCTATTGATCCCGCAGGTACAACTTTGCCACTGACTCCTGCGTTACGAGGACTTCCTCTCTGCCCACTACCCATGTAAACAAACTCCTTGGCTGCAGCCTGAAGCGCTGCCCCGGCTTCCTTATTGCCATGTACACTGAACAGCTAATAAAAGTGACACCTTTTCGCTTAATTACAGACGGAGGAAGCTTTTATGAAAGTAAAATCCCAACTACCATTCCTAATACTTCCTATAGGAAAAAAGTGTTTATGAGAACTAAGCAGCAGATGTAAAAACTACGGGAAGCAAGCCTTTGCAAAATTAGAGGCTTCCTGTACGAACATGGCCCAAAACAGCAAGATGTGATGTCTCCGACACTTATCACAGCTAACTGACAACACTGCGACACCGCCAGCTGTCACGCACACATCCGAGGAAGGAATGTGGTGTGCAGATTTGAGCAGGTGCGGGAAAGGAGACTCGTGCCTGGCACGTGCGTATTTATTGATTTTAGAAGGAGAAGGGGAGGGAGGGGGCGGGAGGGAGGGAGAAGGGAGAGGAGGGGAGAAGGGGAAAGCGGGGAATAGAGATAGAGAGAGGGACAGAGAAACATAGATTGGTTGCGTTTCGTATTTGCCCTGACTGGAATCAAACCCGCAATGTTTTGGTGTCCAAGATGACGCTTCAATCAACTGAGCCATCCAGCCGTGGTGAAAATCATTTCTTGAATTAGTAAGCAGAATTCTGTAGCGGGAGGAGATGCCCAAGAGTGGGCTGAACCTTTACTGAATCTGCGACTCAGCACTGAGAAGGCGGCCCCTGACAGCCAGGGCCTGGCCTGGTGTCACGTGAATGTGAGTAATTCCACAGCCCCGACAAGGCCACTCGGCAGCTGATGGATCAAAGACACAAATAAGACCGCTCCGTAACTGTCTGAACACAGAGAAAAACAAAAACATTGTCCAAAACACAAAAATCACTAGACGTCCCCCCTTCCTGGCTCATATCCTGCTACCTCCTTCCCATTGAGAGCTTTAGTCCCATTCCATTCTTCCCTCCTTCAAAACAGGAATTACAGATGCCCAGTCACAGAACTAGCCCTGCTTCCTGAGCAGAGCAAAGCCCCACTTCTCTGAATCCTCCGCAGAACCGCTCAAGGCAAGGCCAGATGCTCGGCGATGCCCCGCAGTTGTCCCTCGATGCATCAAGGAAATAAACAGCTCTGACTACAGGTATGCTCCTGGTGGTACTGGCCACGGCACGGAACTTTTAAAAATACCAACATGGAAAGAGAATTGTTTTTTATGAATAAATTCTTTATGCCTTTCTGTCTTTTGTAGATCTCCCACAGTGAACTTGTGTTACACTTACAATTGTTAAAACACAAATGTTATGTTTTCACTGGAATAAGGAACTAATGGGTGGCAACCTGCCTAACTGACCGGCAAGAGCAGAGGCAATGGCCAGTCCTCTCAAGCTCGGCCCGCTTGAGAGTGGCCTGGGAATCAGCCACCGGGAGACTCACGTATGAGCCCTGCAGAGTCGGAGCCTTGCAGAGCGGCAAAGAATGGCTTCGGGAAAGACAAGTGGTTCCTCAAGAAACAGTTTCCGGTTCATCCAGGAAAAATGTCACAAGAAGGTAAGTTTTCAAAAGCTCAGGCTCAGCTTACCTGGGGTCTCTGTGGCCTGAGGGCAGACATAAAAGAGGCCACGAGGAAGTGGTGACCTCGGCTCTAGTTCCCCTTTGCAATCAGTCCCCAGAGACCAGACACCAACCATATCACCAACTTTCCCCCCTGAAAGTCTCTTTGTTCACTGGAAGTTAGAAGTAACTTATCCCCCCCAAAAATAAGTTTTGGGGGTATGGTCTAGCATTTGTAAGGCACCTACCACGAAACAGACAAAAAAGGCACAAAGTACACATTATGTACTTTTTTGCTTTTGCTATCCAGTACCTTTTTCGAGATAATTTGCATACAATAACATTAAGTGCACAGTTTGATGAGTGTTGGTTAACAGCTGCAGCCGCGCAGCCCACTCCAATCGGGAGAGCACTTCTGAGGCTCTGGGAGCCGTTGCCTGTCCCCTTCCCACTCCTCCCTCCCAGGAGATACCAATCTTTTCATTTCTACCTCCACACACAACCCCTCAAACTCCAAACGACGCCCGGAGACGGCTATGGTGATTCCCATTTTGTGAATTCGGACACCATGGCCCACAGCTCAGTCGCTTCCCAAAGTGAGTTAGTGACAGAGCAAGTGAAGGACGTGGGCAAGTCTTGCCTGGAGCCCAGGATTCTATCAACGGTCGTGCTTCATATGTACAGAGCTTTGGCATACAAACGGACAGCGGAGGGCCCCGCCCCCTTCTTTAAAAAGTACAAGCAGCAGCTCTGAAAAGACAGGAGGCAACGTGTGGCTATGGGCTTGGGTTTGGAAGTCAGACCCAAATGAAGTCCCCAGCCTTGCCATTTCCCAGAGAGGGGAGCCTGGGGGAGTTACCTGTCTGAATTCAGCCCCGTCTATCAAATGGGGACAACACCGGCACCTGCCTCCGGGACTGCTGTGAGGTATGCCACAGGACACTCAGCACGGTCCCTGGCTCAGCGCAAACACTCAAACATGAAACGTGCAAATGATGACTACTTGAGAATGCTCTCAAAGTCTCAGGTTATCTTCTCTTTACCTACGGATTCCAGCTCTATTGACACCGACTGAATTGCTAAGCGATAAAGGCAGAAACCATCCTGATCGGCACTGAGACTCCAGAACAGACAAAGCGAGCTCTCACCCTTTCTGGACCCTGCTCCTGCAAAGGTCAGTCACCTCACTACTGGGAGAGGTCCCAAGGAAAAAAGTTCTGGCTGTGTTCACGTCCCAGAGCCCAAGTTACAGTGAGCTGAGGACACAAAGCAGGAGACAATAAGTCTCTCTCAGCGAACCTCTCCACAGAGGACTCCCCAGCCATCCTGCTTTTTAACTTGTTTCAAAGGTTTGATCCCACTTTTAATGAAGTTAGGGACATGGGACAGAAGAGAGCAAAATCAGGTACAAGAAAGAGAGGTGATTAATAGTGGAGGTATGGTTGCTGATTCCATTCAATCAGGAAGAGAAGTTTATTCCAGTTGGATGGACGGGTAAGTCAGGGCTCCTCCCTTCCACTTCCCGAGTATACTGCTGCTGATTCTGAACGGTGGCCTTCTGCTCGGTCGCCCACCGGAGTCCCCAGGGGAGCTGAAGGTAACACTGGTGCCTGGGTCCTAGCCATGGAAATTCTGATGTAACTCGTCTGGAGTTGTGGCACAGGCGACAGAATTTTTAGAAGTCCCCCAGGTAATTACAATGTGCAGCCAGGACAGCAACCCACTGTTCAAAAAAGTTCAGTGCGCCTTAATTAGGCTACAATTAACATCATGGCCTTGGCGAACTTCCCGGACCTTTTGCTCTATTGGCCCAGTGAATTCCTGACCATACATAAAAACAAAGCATCAAAAATAAAAGCAAGCCCCTGCTTCCCAGCGTCCCAGCCACAAACGGGAAGCTATTGTATGCACGCTTAAAAAAATGAAAGTCAGCTGAAGGGGGTAAAATGCTGAGTGGAAAGGGGACCCAGGCAAATACAGTGGGGAAAAAAGGCACCACATCCCTCACCCCTAGATGTTTTCTATACAACCCTCGGAAGAACTGCCTCCTCTGTATGTGTGTTGGGGGAGGTTTGATCAAGAGTTTGGTAGACTACAGTCCAGATTCACTACTGCTTATGTGATTCTTAGACAAGCTATTTCATTGGGCCTCAGTTTCCTAATCTGTAAAATGAAGTTAAAACCATACTCATAATGACCCCCAGGAATGAATGCTAAAGTACTTGCCACCTGGTTCTCAGTGTAGTTTTTCTTCTGCCCCTCAAGGTCTCCTTAAGGCCAAAGATCATGGCCCTGGCTATATTGGAAGCACCTGTGAATGTTTAACAAGCACCAATACCTGGGCTTCGCCCCAGAATCAGTAATCGAATTTGGGGAGGGGCAAGGAGGAGCATGGCAACTCAGAAGCCAGTTTAAAAAAAAAAAAGCTCTTCAGCCCTGGCTAGTGTGGTTCAGTGGGTTGAGTACCAGCCTACAGACCAAAAGGTCGCCAGTTCGATTCCCAGTCAGGGCACGTGCCTGGGTTGCGGGGACAGGTCTCCAGTTGGGGGCATGCGAGAGGCAGCCAATCGATGCTTCTCTGTTACGTTTCTCTCCCTCTTTCTTTCTCCCTCCCTTATCCACTCTCACAAACAAACAAACCTCCTCAAGTGATTGTAAAGTGTGGCCAGGGCTGAGAGTCACAAAGCTGTGTTTTTGTTTTTGTTTATTTAACCAGTTATATCTAAGAGTCACTGCCTTGAGGCTAATTATACAACTTCCCCTAAACTGAGGGCATTTCTACAACTCAAAAGTCTGTGATTCCACTGCAACCAAACTACTATATTTTGCCGTGTTTACTGCACACCTTTTGGCCCAAATTTTAGAGGGGAAAAAAAGGACGTTCATTATATGTGGGTGTAATGATTACATATCATGGTTATAATCCAGTGTATAATGTAAACAAAACTATCGGTGTGCATTATACACGGGAGTGCATTATACATGGCAAAATATGGTAAATTCAATTAGCCACCCAAGTGTAGCATTATTTTGCACACAAAACCTATAGAACAGCTACTGCTATTTCCTAGTGTTCTGCCGAATTACATTCTCTCCCTGTGTTTAGCAAGCAAACTATTGGCCTATTTCTCCCCACAGTCTAGAGAGAAAAATGTTGTCATCAATCCCACTACTTAGGGGAGAAAATTAAGAATCAGAACTATTATGGTCCTCTGACGCCCATTCTCCTTTTCATTATATAGCCCAAATCAAGAAATCCTCGTTCTAATCCCCTGCAGGGCTTATTAAAATAGACTGCTGTGCCCCACCCCATACTGATTCAACGTCACAGGACTGAAAATTTGGCTGAAAAAGTTTCAGCTGATGCTGCTGGTCTGGGGGACCACAGTTTCAGAACCACTAGTTTGTGCTTTCTTCCCTAGGTGGTCCTTATTTTACACAAAATGGAGCACACGAAACTCAGCTACAGGTTGACTCATTTTTCTTCAGCAGTGTTCTTGGGACTGATCTTCCCTAAAGGCCGTGCTTTCCAGGGAAGAGACACTGGCAAACAAGTAAAAAGAGGGTATGGGCTGAACTTTGCTCATTCTTTCTTATCCAAGAACAAAGAATTGTTCAAGGAACAAACTTTTGAAGAAACCCCAAACACACCGAAACTTCCCACAGTTGGGAGGCTGTATGTGAGATATCCCCCAGCTCCTTAGGTGTGGCTACCTTGGGCCGCAACGGAAGTAACTAGATAGGTACCCACACCAGTTCAGGCGCTGGTCCGCGGCGAAGGTACCCTGACCCCAGGCCCCTGGCATCCCTCCGCGGAGTTCTACGCACGGAACGCACACCCGCCGGCCGGCTTCTTCTATCACTTTCGTCCAATCGCCTGTGTGTTCAGACGCACCTGGAAGCAAGCCGCTCCCCCTTCCCCGAAACCCAGCGACTCCAGTTACAACTTCCAAAAGCCCCAAACTCTCCGTCCCAAGGAATGCCACTTCGCCCTCTCATAGCTTACTCATTCTCCTTAACAACTCCCCAGATCCTAATTTTCTACCTCAAATGCCCGTCTTCAATGACATCTCTTTGTTCTTTTCACAATCACCAATTTCCATTTCTAACAAGCACTCAAGACTCAGAGACAACCACCCCCGTCTCGCCCATCCACATACGTATCTACTCTCCGAGCCCAAATGCCCCTTCCTGGATTACCAACAGCCAGGGTCCTCCCCCCCACCCCGCCCCGTCCTCAAATTCTCCACTTAATGCCCTTCCCCCACCGTCGGCCTCGCCCCCATCCTATCCCCCAAATGCCTTTTCCCTATCGCGACAGCCGCTATCGCACCCCTTCTTGTTGGCCCCTTCCCCCTCTACTTTGGCTGTGCCCTGCTCTCTCGGCCGCCCGGAGCCCCCGATCAGCGGGCACCGCCGTCCCTACCATGAAAAGTTGGAGAACGCCGGAGCCTCCAAACCCGGACTGAAAGAGGCAGGAAACACCCAGCTCGCGTGAGCCAGGGGCGGAGGCGGGGCAGGGGCGGGAACTTCCGCCAGCCGAACCCCACTTCCGCCCCGCAGAGGGCACCTTCCTAATGGATCCGTTGTGTTCCTAGACGTTAGCCTCTCTCCTTCCAACATGCCTGGCTGGAATGGTCGCATCTCCGCTGTGCTCTGTCAGGCATTTATCCTTCTCCTGAATGCTCAGCTTTTGCAGCTTCCAGAAAGGAGGAAAAGATTCATGGAGGTTGTCATTCCCCGGCGGAGAAGCTCTGCGGAACTCTCACTGGCCGGAACTGGATAGTTGTTTCCCGGCGGAGGTATGAGAAAGAACACCCCGGGGCAAAATGGCGTTGGAGTCTCGATCGCTGCCCCGGGTCTTGCAGAGCTCAGGTGTATTGGGTTAAGGCGGCAGTACCTTCGGCTCCGACCCCGAGCGCTGGGGCTTCTAGCGGAAAAAGGTCTACATCCTACGGGTAGCGAGTGGGAACACGGTTGTGGGTTCACAGGGTGGTGGGGCCGGGGACTTGGAGAGGTGGCCCTGGGGCCGGGTCCCTGCCTCACCTGGTCGGAGGTGCAGGTGCTAGCGGCTGGCATTTACGTTTAAGGGTAGGCTCTCCGTAGCCTTTTCCACCTCTTTTCATTTCTGGGCCTTTATAAACGTACTAACTACGGGTGGAAAATATTTGTTATTGTGGTTGTTGATACCAAGGCAAGACGCCGGGTCTTAGGAGCCACCGAAACCGGAGTTCGAATCCTGTTTTCTCGCTGTGCGACCTTGGGTGAGTTCCCTCGCCTCACTGAGCCTCAGTTTCCTCCTCTGTGAAATGGCGTAATTATCTCGTTCCACAGAGGATACTGTATAATGCAAGTTTTAGTACCGTGCCAGACACTCAGCTGTCAATAAAGGCAGCTGGAGTTAGTGATAGCAGTAAAGAAAAGCCTGTTCGAAATTTGACTGTAACTCAGCTTCACGGGCAGCCTTGCATTCTCAGCTTTTCTTTGCTGTTCTCTGAGTGAGGGACTCTCTGGGTCTTGTGTGTTTCACTTACAAACAAGTCATTGCTTTGGAATTAGACTTGAGTTCAAATTCATGAACCTAGTGACTTCTGGCAAGTCCTGTCCCCTCTCGGTCATTTTTTCCCTGTGAAGGTGGCATTGATAATAGCGCGTACCTAGGTGGAGGTGGTCGGTAAACCTGGCTGCCCACCTATTCCCATCATATAGGGAGAATCCTTTTGGGCTCAGTCAGCAGTTGGTATTTATGTTGCTTGACCTTTGAACAATACTCTTTGGAATCTCTTGCCCTTTCTTAGTTCTTCATGGAGTTGGCCTTATCCAGAAAAGACTGATTTTTGAGCAGGTCTCGTGGGAATATTTAAGTAAAGGAAAGACTGAGGGCTGTCTCTTCTAATTAAAATCATGGCTCTGACCCTTACTAGTGATCTAACCTGGGCTATGGAGATACTAAACGATCTCACAGGGTTACTATTCTTATGGGAGGAGTTCACTTAGAAAGGATTTGGCCCATAGTGGGTACTGAAACATGTTTTCCTTTTGCTTTTCATAGGATCTTGATCATTACCAACCTCTTGTTTCCTATTCTTCCCACCTTTATCATGGTTGTTTCCCTAACTGGATTGTAAGCTGTTCAAGGACAGTACAGTAAAACTCGCTTATACACTATTTGCTTCCAGATGCTTTTATTAGTATTTTCCCATTTAATGCTAATTTCAGTGTCATGATAAGTAAATTGAGGTATAAGAAGGGTAAAAGTTTCATTTAATTCTTTTAATTCTTAATCCTTTCAGCAACCCTAGGAAGTATTAATTATTACATTATTAATATTATACTCAATTTACACATAAGAAAACTGAGGCCCAAAGAGGGTAATTTGGCCAAATGAGGTAGAATCAGAACTAAATAGAACCAAGGACTGTTTTCTCTGATCCAAAACTTTCTCTGTGACAACCTTTTCTTTGATTCTCCATGGTATTTAGCAGAGTAAGCACTTAATAAGTACTTCATGATGTGTTTTGTTTTATTGATGAATTGTATTATAGGAGATACAATACAGGTAAAAAGGTATATAAGAATTAGAAAAACTGCAAAGTATAGACTCTTGTTTTGGTAAACAGAAACCAACATATAGTATTGCTGAGGGGATGGTAATCTCAAGGAAGAGATCTTATCCTGAGAGGTATCCTGGGAGAAGTGAAAGTTTGAGATACAGCAGGTCCTCAAATAACTTTGTTTTATTCAATGTTGATTCATTTTTAACATTGATGAGTTGCTATAAGATCTTAACTCTTGCTTATATCAATTAGCCTATGGTAAAATTGGTTTCATTATGTGTCATTCTGCGTAGGTTCCAATAACCTATAGAAGATGTTAACCAAGGGCTTGCTACAGTCCTACAGGTACTTACAGTTTGCGTGCAGCACCCTATTTTTCCATTGGGACTAGGCTCCCTTTTCTGCTTCTCTCCTCCTCTACATATGAGGGACTCTGCATGTTAAGGAAGGAGCATACCACTGTGCTCATGGCGTGGCCCCAGCTCTTTTGCAGCTCTCAGGGGCTCAAAGCAGTTAGCCAACCTAAACAGGGCCGGGGTTCATCGCCCACATGACAGCTGTGGTGAATCTTAGTGCACCCAGGGGTAGGAAAAAAATCTAACCTGTAAGGAATGTAAGGGCCCCAATATTATTTTGTATCCCAAGAGCCTCACTGATAACAGAAGCAATTGAGGAACACATTTTTGTATGTTTTATATACTGTGTTCCTACAATAAAGTAAGCTAGAGAAAAATGTTGAGAAAATCCTAAAGAAGAGGAAATACATTTACAGTATTTATTGAAAAAAAATTCATGTAGAAGTAGACCTATGCAGTTTAAACCCATCTTCAAGGGCCAGCTGTATTTTAAACAATTCCCTTTAAACTGTGAGGACTGTGGAGATAAAGTTTAGCATTTAGACCAGGCATTAATGAAAGAGAACACAGTGTTGTTGAAACCTGAGACACTTTGTTTATTACCTTTACTCAATGAGGCGGATGTATGGTGCCCTACCTATAAAACTTAACCTCACCTTGGGTGGTGTGGCTCGGCTGGTTGGAGCATCATGCCATACACTGAAAGGTCAAGAGTCAATTTGCAGTCAGGGCACCCGCCTACGTTACAGATGCCGTCCACAATTGGGTGCATACAGGAGGCAACCAATCTGTTTTCCTCTCACGTCTATGTTTCTCTCTCCTCCGCCCCTACCCTTCTGCTTTCTCTAGAATCAATAAATATATCCTTCGGTGAGGATTGTAAAAAAAACTTTAACCCTAAATCTGAATTTTTTTTCTTCTGCTTCTGCCAGAGAAGACAGGCACCTCTGGAGTGAGAAGCTGCCCTTGGCAATGAGTCCTCTGCCAGATCACTAATGGTTACTTGGCATTTCTGCGACACAAGCAGGTCCTCAGGTGAGCTCTCTGGGCTTCCACCGCTGGGGCTGACAGAGTGAGTGATTCCGAAGACCACTTCATCTCCAGTCTTCTTACCCTCTTCCTGCGGTCGGGCGGACTCTGCTCATTTGTTTTGAGAATTATTGATGAGAGACGCACGTGTTGGAAAAGACTTGCCGTTTAACAAATGTGGGACAGTGATGAAAAGAGGCCACAGAGGTCCTCCATATGTCGACATGGGAGGAACCTCCCATGAGCCTTTGTTGTAGGTGATGTTTTCATGTGGGTGCTGCTCTGAGTGAAGTAACCTAGTGAAGAAGTCATTTTCCAGAAGTCTGGATTTATGACTAACATTTCAGCGCTTGCATCAGCTGGACTGATTGCATACTTGGGATAGAACGACAGAGTTAACAAGCACCTAAAGAAATCATCTCAGTACCAGAGGTTCCATGGACCAGTACTGTGTGCTCTAGGCTGCTAGCCAAAGTTATCCCTTTGGGAAGAGTTACTGGTGATCAAGATAAAAGCGTCTGATGGATGATGTGTAGCCTCTTCCCCAAAACATACCAGTCAGTGAACGGGAGCAGTTCTGCTCTGAAGGCTTCATTGCTCCTTGAAGAATAGGGTCAGTAAGAACAACAGAATGAGTTACACATAAAACAAAACCTATTCCACTTAATGGATTACCTTGCATTCTAGAATCAGGTACCATTAGCTTTTTTAGTGTTAAAATGATCCTTTGAAAAATGGAAGGCTTTTTTTTTTCTGTGCTGGACACAAGGTAGGTACCAGCTATCAGTAAATATTTGTTAAATATTACTGAATAATATTTACTGAATAAATATTTACTGAATAAAATAATGGTGACAGTAAATACTCAAGTTTAGTTTTTGCCTCAAATCTTGGCTTGGTAAAATAAAAGTGGCCTGCTTGGTGCTGGCTTCCCAATATTGTGGACTTCTCCAAAAATTCAAATATCTAGGAACTTTGACTTAGAGGGTGCCTGGTTTGCATCAGAGGTTTACGGATGGGATTGAGGCATGCTTTGTTCATTCCTTAAATAATCAAAGAACCCATACCCTATGCCAGGTGCAGTGCTGTTTCTCTTCAGAAAATGTGATTATTTAATACAAGAAAAAAATCTCTGCTTTTGGTGAGTTGCATGAAAAGAGCCGACAGGAAGTTGGGACTTGTGCCAGGAGAGCTCTTAGCACTTTGGAAGGTGCTGGAGGGCCCTGAGGAGCGCTCTGCTGCTGCCCATATCCCTGCCCACGCTTTGCTCTTGAGCCTGCTTTCTCTGTGTGTTTTGGTATAGTAATCTGCACTAACCAGTCGCCATTTTCCTTGCAGGGTTTGTGCACGTCTGCAAACATGTTCACCGTTTCTCAGACCTCGAGAGCATGGTTCATCGATAGAGCCCGGCAGGCTCGAGAGGAAAGGCTTGTGCAGAAAGAGCGGGAGCGCGCAGCCGTCGGGATTCAGGCCCACGTCCGGAGTTTCCTTTGTCGGAGCCGACTGCAGAGAGAGATCAGGTAGGCGCCAGGGATCCTCAGCACGTTTTCTCCTGTTCCCAATTTATAGCAAGAAAAGATGGCATTTTCTCTTACAGTTCTTAAAAAGCCTTCGAGCTGCTCTGAGCTCCTAATTAAAAATGTCTTTTTTTTACCCTTCCCTTCCTTAGGAGAGAGATCGATGAGTTTTTTAAAGCAGATGATTCTGGGTCCAGTAAAAGAAGTGCACTATGTATTTTTAAGATTGCCAGGAAACTGCTGTTCTTGTTCAGAATTAAAGAGGATAATGAGGTAAAATAATAATAGCAAATATCCATCGTACGTACTGTCTGCCAGGTCTTTTGTAAATATGAAGTCATCGGTCCTTACAGCAACTCTCTGGTACTCCCGCACCCTGCCCTCTTGTCTCCTTGGGGCCTGTCTTGCAGGGATCATGCCCAGTGCTTTGGGGCCGCCTCACAGTTTTTTTCTCACCAAATATTACAAGCACTTGTTGGACTCAGATGCATACAGGAGCCAGGCAAGTTACGTAAACGAGTGAGAGAAGCCATTTATGAGGCAAAACGTAACACAAGTCCTAACAGCTGGTAGCGCACAGTGACGGTCAGAGCATCAGAGGGAGTGACGGGGTCCAGGTGCGCCCGTCCAGAGGGGGCGGCCGCGACCCGGCTTCAGCTGGTGGCGGACTCTGGTTTTTTTTAAAGAGATGCCGCACTTCTTTATGCTCAGTTTTCAAATTTCTTTTAAATCCTGCAAACCAAAGGAAACGTGTTGGTTGTACGTTTGGGATTAGAATTAGCCCAGAAAATATAAATCCCAGGAAACAGCTAGTTACTTGTAATAGTACTAGCGGTCCCACTGAGGCATGCCTCTGGGTGGTCAGGGGTTATGCGTTCGTTGCTGCTGAGTCCCACATCGGGCCAGGCCCTGTGTTAGGCACTGGGGCTCCAGGAGGAAACAAGGTGGGCAAGGTCTCTACTCGAGAGAGCTGGGAGCCCAGCAGCAGGTGGGGGAGTGCACCAGCAGTGACGACAGGGTCACGCAGATGAGGACAGACAGGCTCGGCGCAGTGGGCCCCTGTTCACAGGGGAAGAAACTGTGGTTGGCAGCAATGGGGTGGCCGCCCAGGGCCACGCCCCTTTTAGGGGTAGGTCTGCGATTGGCATTGCTGCCGCGTAGCCTGATTTCCAGCTTCCACTTTTCTTCCTTTTGCATTTCAAGGTAAAAAGTGATGATACAACAGTCTGTGAGGCGAAAGTCAGTATCCATGATGCTCACAAAATGGCAGGCGAGAGCCCGATTCAGGAGATAGCAGCCCGTCCACAGGAATCCCAGCCAAGCTGCCAAATTGTGTTTTTCAAAAGGAGCCCCAAGCTGCATTTTTATATGAAATATACCAGTTCCTAAAATAAATGTAGGGCTCATCGAGCCGCTGGGCTACCAGTTTGAAAGCCTCTCTTTAACCTTTTTGATCCTCTGTTCCCCTACCTGTAAGTAGGACTTTAAAATGATCCTGGGTGTGAGTCTGCTGGAACAGCAGGCATGCCTGTGCCAGGGCCCACCGAACGTTTGCTGCTTTCCCGTTCTTCACTAGTCGCAGGAACTTACAGCCCCCATTCTGCCTCTTTCCAGAGATTTGAAAAGTTGTGTCGATGCATCCTGAGCAGCATGGATGCTGAGAATGAACCCAAGGTAAGTGGGGTGGGTTTAGTGTTCGAGTAAGTGTCATTGGCCGCTTATTTGTCCCTTGAGCCTCGCTGCCTTACCCGGCACTGAACTGAGCTCATTGGCCCATGCCAGTCGCTAGAACTTATGTACTTTGTTTGATCCCTTTAACTGCCCATTACATTTCTTTTCCTCCTCCTTGTAGGTGTGGTATGTGTCCCTGGCTCTTTCTAAGGATCTCACCCTCTTGTGGATTAAACAGATCAAGGACATTCTCTGGTATTGCTGTGAGTTTCTTAAGCGGCTCAAGGTAAAAGTGAAGCACTGTAAATGTATCCTCCCCATTTGGGGCCTTTAGTATGTATTTGCAGAGTCCTCATGCTTCCCTTCATAGGTTATACCTGTGGAGATTTGTCAGTCAAACCAGTGAAGAATTATCAGAGCCCTTGTTCTAGGAGAGAGCTAGTTAGATACTGTTATCAACATGAGCTCTCCTTTGATTTACGCATTTAGAACATTGACCTGTGTTTGCCACAGTCGCAATGCCAGGGAATCTGTCATCTTTCTTCCCATACTTTTGATATAATGGATACTTTATCATTTATATTATTAGACTAGTCAGGCTTCTTGTTATAAGTGCAGAAACCCGACAGGAGCACAGCTAATAATATACACAAGCGAAGCAAGGAAGAGAATATTTTGTTAGAGAATATGTTCTGCAGCATGGTAGCTGGGGGTGGCTAGAGCCAGAGGCTTCTGGATTCTCCCCTTCATTCTTTTCTCTCATCTCTAGAGCCTGGGGAGTCGCCTTGTCTTTTGCTGCTATAATCCTGGCAGCCAGCACTTCTGGCCTAACATTCTTACTCTGTCTTGACCAAAGAGAAAAGGGTGACTCCCCGACCTGTTAAAAATCTGGGAGACCTCAGTGACCCCATGGGATCCTGGTCTCAACCCTTACCTGGTCTCAGTGGTGAGCAGGATGGGACACTGCCGCTGGCCCAGCCCAGTCTTGTGCCCACCCTTGTGTTGTGAGAAGGCGGGCAGAGGTGTGAGTAGGTGCAAACAGCAGCCATGTCCACTTTGTGCCTAAGGAGGGAGAAGTTTGGGGGACAGAGGCTTGGCAGGGGCTCAGGTAGCAGCTGAGTGAAGGAGCGATGGTCAGCAGAGCTCCCAGTGGCTCCTCACGGCCATCTCTCCCGAGGTCCTGCTTACCAGCTCTCTTGGCTGCCCCGGCTGCAAGCCACAGCCCAGCTTGTCAGGGGAGGGAGGCCCTGTGACACAGAGCAGCCGTCATCTCTCCTGTCTGCCTTCTGTGTCTGCCTTCCACAGCAGGTCGCTCTTCGAGAAGAGGCTCTTCTGCTTTGGAAAAAAAAAAGGTTTTAAGTTTATGCAAAGAAACACACATTAGGAAACAAGAACACTGGATCTGGAGCCAGGAAGATCTAAATTTAGTCCTGATTCTGCTGCTGATTTCTCGTGTGGCCTTAAACAAGTCCCTTCCCCTCTCTCACTCTCTTTGAGCTTCGGGGTTTGAACTAAACGGTCTCCGGGGTCCCTTGCAGGGGTGCATGCTAAAAGGTCTCCAAGCCAAAAAGGAATTGGGCCTTTTCCCCAGCTGGCTCCTGTGAAACAATGTATAATAATAGCCAGTATTACAAAGAGTTATCTTTGTGCTGGACACTGTTCTTAGTGCTTTATGGACATAGGTTGTTTATCCTTACAACAACCATACTAGCTGTAGTCAACAGATGAGGAAACTAAGGCACAGAAAGGTTAAGAAGCTTGCCCAAGGTCACACAGCTAGTAAGTGGTAAAGACAGAAGTCTGAAACCATAGTGCTTGTTAGGCTCAATTGCAGTTTCATTCAATTGCTCCAGTGCCATATGAATATACCTGTATTCTTCAGTGTACACAAAATCAGCACACCAGCTCTGGTCATCTTGTTTTCCAGAATTCTCAATTCATTTTTTTTTTTTTTTTTTTTAAGATTTTACTTATTTTTAGAGGGAAGAGGGAGAAAGAGAAACATCAGTGTGTGGCTGCCTCTTGTGCGCCCCCTACTGAGGACCCCAGCCCTAAACCCAGGCATGTGCCCTGACTGGGAATTGAACCAGCAACCCTTTGGTTCACTGGCCAGTGCTCAATCCACTGAGCCACGCCAGCCAGGGTCAGAATTCTCAATTCTCTATTCCCAGAAGTACTTTAGACTCTATAGTCAATGACTAGTGGGTCAAAATCCGTGTCATTTAACTCCTAAAAGGGGTCATTTCCCAAGAGAAAAAAATCCTTGCTTGTAACCCTGACTCACTTATTGGAGCCTAAGAACACTCAGAAAAGTTATAAAATATCTCTGGGACTGGAGGGTGTGTGTCTTATTTTACTCTCCTCATTGTTTCCAGCCCGAAATCTTACAAGACTCCAGACTCGTCACGCTGTACCTCACGATGCTTGTCACCTTCACAGACACTTCAACATGGAAAATTCTCCGGGGAAAAGGTCTGTGGGACCTGCTTCAAAGTCTTTCCAAAGTAGCAGAGCTTGGCACCTTTTTGCCTTTTAATTTTTTTTTAAACTTTTTAGATTTATTCATTTGAGAGAGAGAGGCATCAATGTTGTTCCACTTATTTATGCATTCATTCATTATTTCTCATATGTGCGTGACTGGAGCTCCAACCCACAACCTTGGCACATCGGGACGATGCTCTAACCAACTGAGCTCCCCAGCCAGGGCCCTTTTCACCTTTTTAAGGAGCAGTTTCCCCATCACAAGCCTCGGGGAAGGCCTGAGACCACGTGAACAGTGGTGCCCTTGGCGCTTTGCACCAGGTTGCACTGTGTTCAGAATCGTGTGTTACAGTCTCTCCCTTTTTGGAATTCATGTTTAAAGCCTTGGTCCCTCTGATCTTATTTTTTACTACTCCCACAGCACCAAGTGACAATATTTGCTTATATTAAACCCTGCTGTTTCATTTGGTGAATCATTCAGCAGCAAATAATTCTCTTTTGGCTGTGAAATTTGCATTGCGAAGCTGCCTCCTTCCCTGAATGTTACACTTAGCTTTATGTTTTTCATACGGTCACTTCATCCGTCCATTCAGCAAGCAGCCTACTCTGTGCCATGCTCTGTGCAGACAATGCTCTGTGCCCCCCCCGCCCCGAACTTAGAGTCTCCTGGAGGAGGCAGACACTAAAGACAAATCACATGCCTGTCCTCTACCATGGTAATAGTGTGAGAAGTGGTGCTCGGAAGGAAGAGTACAAGAGAAATGAGGGCCAGGTGGGGTAGGGACAGCCTTGCCTTGCTCGTGCCGGCGGTCAGGCCTCCCTGGAGAAGTTCTGTCTGAGCTTAGAGCAGGGGGAGAGTTAGAGTCGCAGAAGGAAGAGGAGAGACAACTCGGAAAGCAGAGGAAACCGGGTGTCTAAAGGCCCCCGGTTAGGAGGAGGGCTTATTTTAAGGCATTATCCTGGATTCTGGGCAGGATTTAACATGTGGTGAGTTCTGGGTCTACCAGGGAGCTTTTCTCTTTGGAGAGAGGAGGCAGCGTCAGAGAATAGAAAGAGCCAGGCCCTGTTCCTGGGGGAGGGGTGGGCCCATCACCTGAGGGTGACACTTGAGCCGGGCCTCCCAGGAGACAGAGGATTCCGGATATGCAATATCTCTGTGACTCTGCTCCCAGACCTAAGGGAGGGAGGAAGGCAAGCCAGAAAGTATCTCATTTCCGGTCGCCCTGGGCATGGGGCATGATTTTCTGTCCCACCTAAATAGTTCACATGATGGCCCGAGATTTTTTTTTCCTCAGACTTTTTTCTTTGTTTAGGTGAGAACCTTCGACCAGCCATGAACCACATTTGTGCAAATATAATGGGACACCTCAACCAGCGTGGATTTTATTCTGTGCTGCAGGTTGGCGACCCAGTGCCCTAGCATGTCACCTTACTCTCCGAACCTGAACCGGGATTTTTGTGTTTGGTTTTGGCGTATCTGGTGCCCTCCTCACAGAGACACTTTGCAGAAAGAGTTGAATGCCCAGTGTCCTCCCCTGCACCCCCCACCCCGGGCCTTGGGTCACTAGTGGTTTGTGTAAAGGGAGGCATGGCACTGGCATCCCTTTAACGTGCCGCATCTTTGGCTCCAAGTGTAATCCAGTCACTTGAAATTGAAACTCGCAGGGGTTGGGGAGGCCTCGGGGCATGTTCTCTCTGGTTCCTTCTCGGTTGGTATCTGGAATGAATTTTCTAGCTCTGTGTCCTCAAATAGCCTTCTGTCCCCACCGCTCCGTTAGTACCAGCCCCTACAGCTTGCAAATGGTCAGGAGCCTAAGTTGCTGTTTAGAAGGAGTACTTTGGAATTCCTCAGTGTGGGAAGCAGCGTTGATAGGGCCCTTCCTCCTGCCGGCCCTGAGGTGGGCTCTGTCCGGACGTGGCTCGTGCTCCCCTCAGCCCTGCGAGTCGTGTGCCGGCCAGAGCCCGTCTCCAAGAGGAGGCGTCTGAGCGTCTGTGTGGCCCCACGGCTCAGCACTGCTTCTCCTGAAATTTTAAGTCTGGTGTTTTTACCAGCTGTTAATTTTTTAACTTTATTATTTTAACAATTAAACGTACCATTGAAAGGTGAGAGAGGGTATAATGAATCTCCTTCCCCATCACTTTTCTCTCCCCTCGTTTTTAAAAACATTCCAATTTAGTTTTTTTATCTGAGGGGGCCCATTTTACTTTTATGTTTCTTTCTTTCTTTTTTTTAATGAACAAATGAATGCAAGGTTGTCATCGTCCCCTGACCAGTTAAAATGTTTTTTCAGATACTGTTAACCCGTGGCCTGGCGAGACCTCGGCCTTGTCTGTCCAAAAGCACTTTAACAGCAGCCTTTTCTCTAGCGCTGCGGTAAGTCGGCAGCCGTAGCTGAGGGCTTCCTCCCTGGCTTCTCTTTCCTCTTGTTGCTCGTGTCAGGCGGGCTTGCCCGCTCGCTCAGTGTCGACAGGAAGTCCTGGTCTTGCTGAAAGGGGCGCGTCTGTGGCTGTCCTTTTGCTCACCTTCTGTCTAGCTCCCTGAATGTTTTTCCTCTCAGTCAGCCAGGGGTCAAGATAAAATCCCTTCTCCCTTTGAAGTTTTAGTTGATAAAGGAAACCTAGGAGCTGGAGGGGGGCCAGCAGAGGGTGGCATCAACAGATGGAATAGTGTTACAAACACAGGTTTAGCATGTTTGAGGGCCAGCCCTGACCGGTGTGGCGCAGTGGGTCGTGCGTCATCCCGCAAAGGTCGCCGGTTCGATCCCCCTTGTTTTCATCTCTCCCAGTCACTGCCCTTGTACTTCTTCCCATGTAGTTTTTTAATCTGCCTTTTCTTTTTAAGTTTACTATGTACCTTGGGCATTCTTATGTCAGTAAAACTTCAAAGCGGATTTTTCATAGCTGTGTCACGTGACTGTACTGCCCTCGGCTCAACCCTTTCCTTAGGAGGTGGCCCCATTTTCATTCTTTAGTCTTTCCAGAAGTCCAGTGACACATACTCTCAGGGGGCCTGGGGCGCGGGTGGGGCGGCTCTTCGGTTCCAGGCTCACAGGCAGACCTCCCTGAGTGAGGTGACCTGTCTCTGCCTAGCCCTGTGGTTGCTGCGCAGTTTTCAGACAATCTGCTTCGGCCGTTCCTGATCCACATCATGTCTGTGCCTGCTCTCGTGACTCATCTTGGCACAGTGACCCCCGAGGTAAGTGTGCTCTGTGAGCCCCCCCCGCCCGCAATTCCATTGCTGCCTTTCTTCTTAGAAATTAGACCGTAAAGTGTTTTCTCTGTTAATTCCCACCTCTTCCCCTGATTTTTCTTCTAAATCAGTAGCCGCTGTGGACACACTTCTGTTAATAGCCCAAAAAAACAAGTTCTCATCTTTGTTCCTTTTCTTTCGGGAGATCAATGGCGTGTTGGGCTACTTGGGGGTGACCTGCAGGTGGTCACGTTCATGCTCTAGTGGGAAATTCTCCTGTCAGCTCTCACTCTAACAGTCTGCAATTGTTTGCAGCGCCTTGCTGTTCTGGAATCTCATGACATGCTTCGTAAATTCATCACATTTTTGAGAGAGAAGGATCGATGCCGTGATGTCTGTGAAAGTTTAGAAGGATGCCATACGCTTTGTCTAATGGGTGAGTGTCTGCGGCTGGAATGCGATTGTGTTCCGGGCGGCAGGAAAAGCCCAAGTGTTTGATTCGCACCGTTCCGGTGACTCTGGGCTGTTTTCAGTAACGACTAGCAGTGCTTACAGTAAGAAACATGCCATCAGATGGACAGTTAAAGTAGACGTGTGAAATTGAAAATCACACGGAAAATAAATCAACTTGGCAAACTGGTTGAGTGACTGTAAGTGAATGTTTAATTTCAGCCCTTAGCTCCCCGGCAGCCCAGGGAAAATTGAAAACGTGATGAGTGGCCTGGATAATTCTCATCTTGGGAGAAGGGAGGGCACGGTTGGGTGGGGCTCTGAGTAGGGCCTGCATCGTCTGCTCTACTGTGTTTTCATTATAAATGAAAGGGTTTGTGGGTAGAAGCATTTGAAAACAGCAGGCATACATAATTCTCATTGCCTAATTTATTTTACATAGAAAAAGGTTCTTGGGGCTATATTTTAAGGGAGTCTTCACCAAGACATGTTAAATAACTTTGGTGAACTTTGGCTATCTGATTGCTAGGAAATTCAGATATTCCTCAAAAGATTATTTCTTATGTTAACCCTTAGTTTTAAAATATTTAAAACGCTGAGTTTTATCATCATAATAAAATGTCACGCTACCTAAATACCACATACCTGTGTGCCTGATACTTTTTTTTTCTTTTTTAAGATTTTACTTATTTTTAGAGAGAAGGGAAGGGGGGAAGAAGGAGAGGGAGAAAAACATTGATGTGCGAGAAAAACATCAATCATTTGCCTCTCGCACAGGCGCAGCCAGGGACCTGGCCTGCGACCCAGCCATGTGCCCTGACCTGGAGTCGAACCAGCGACCTTTCAGTTTGCAGGCCAGTGCTCAACACACTGAACCCCACCAGCAAGGGAGGGCTCAGATAGTCTCCATGTTACTTCATACAACCTTCACATCAGGGCAGGGGTCGTTATTCCAGCCTTACAGTTGAGGAAACAAGATTCAGGAGGCGGGCTAAGGGTCACACCACTGGTCTGTGGCAGAACCAGACTGGAAGCCACGTCAGCCTATTTCCGAGCCCTGCATCGCCCTGCAGCCCCAGCACTGACGAATGCCCCTCGGCGCGGCCTTTCTTGCTACACACGGACATGGCTGCCTGGGCCCCAGGCAGGGAGCAGGGCTGGGCGCTGACGGAGCGTGTCTGTCTGGCGCACTCAACCTTGTTATCTCTTCGCAGGCAACCTCCTGCACGTGGGCTCCCTCAGCCCCAGGGTGCTGGAGGAGGAGACAGACGGCTTTGTGAGTCTGCTCACCCAGATGCTGTGCTACTGCCAGAAGTATGTGTCCCAGAAGAAGTCCAACCTGACCCACTGGCACCCTGTCCTTGGCTGGTTCTCCCAGTCTGTGGACTACGGGTGAGTCCCGGAGGCAAGTCATTGTCTCTCCTGCCTCCTGCTGCCCCCTCCTCTCACCTCTCCCTTCTTCCCTTATTTTGGCTTATGTCGTTTTGTTTCTTAGTACAAAACTAACGTATATTCATCGTATAAAGTACAGATAGGAACAAAAGAGAGTAAAAACCATCTCGTAAGGTCATTATCCAAAGATAACCTGGACTCCCATCCTTTCAGTCTCGTTTTCTACCCGTTTTTTTGCAAAAATGAGATCATGTTAATTTGTATTTTGTTCTTTTCATGTAGTAAGTTATGAATCTTATCTATTAATGTTCTCTTTTCTTCACCAATATCATTTTTTTTAAATTGTCTGGACTGCCATATTTTGGAGATCCTAAAATAAGACGCATGATTCAAAGGGAATAGAAGTCACCCCAGATCCTTTTCAAGAGGTGGAATATAAATTTTAAAATTTTTAATCAGAACTTAAAAATACTAAAAAAAAAACACAAACCACTGGGCTAAAAGAGAGAGATTAAGCTAGGTGGCGTCGCAAAGGTAAAAACGTGCACCCCGGGCTGAGGTGAGGCGGGCCTCGGGATGCAGGGCGGCTGTGCGGCTCGGCCCTTCTGGGGCCCCTGGCAGGTGCTCCTGAGGCAGGAAACTGAGGGCCAGGGAAGGAAATCCCCAGATTTTCTCCCTTTTCCTTGAACCTGGGTGACACGCAGTTAAAAAGGCCCCTGGCCAGCCGATGGCCAGTGGGCCGGCCCGGACTGAGGAGGCTGGGGGAGCGTGCGCCGGCCCCGGGCTGGCGCGGGCAGAAAGCACAGTGGTGAGTGGCCTGGCCTCGCTCGGGGGGCCTTGGACAAGTCGCTTCACCTCACTTGCTTCGTCTGAAATATGGGGGTAGGGGCACCTCTACGGATTGAGTGCACGTCAGCGCCTGCCTTAGGCCGGCCGTGCTCAGTGGGCAGGGGGCGGGTGGGGGACGAGGTGCTGGACAGCAGTGGGAGCCGAGACAGCGTCCCGAGCAGGGAGGCGATGAAGGCGGACTTCAGGGCGTGAGTCGAGGCTGCGGTTGCGGTGGAGGCGTGCGGGCCAGGCCTGAAGGCTGGCTGTGAAGGGGAGGGCAACGCAGCAGGCGTGAGGTGGCTCTTGTCTTAGCAGTAAACAGGATGGAATTGGGATGAAGCGCGGGTGACGGCTGCCCGGGAGATGGCGGTGACGTGCGGAGCCTGGGGACCGAGGGAGGGCAGTCGTTCTGTGGGCAGCGCAGGAAGTCTGGGTGGAAGTGCCTCCCACGTCCAGGCCTCGGCAGCAGTTTGTGGAGCCCCTTTTAAATTATTACTGTCTTCTGACCATGGTGGGGGGCAGATCCTAGCTACACTTGCAAGCAGGAGACCACTAGGGAGCCGCAGGGACTCTCCCGGGCCGTGCGCCGGGTGGAGCTGACGCGCCCGGTCTCCTTTTCTCCCCCAGCCTTAACGAGTCCATGCCCTTGATCACCAAACAGCTGCAGTTCCTGTGGGGGGTGCCTCTGATCCGGATCTTCTTCAGCGACATCCTGAGCAAGAAGCTGCTGGAGAACCAGGAGCCGGCGGCCCACGCGCAGCCGGCATCCCCACAGAACGTGCTTCCCGTGAAAAGTGAGTGGCTGCGGCAGGCCTGGCCCGTGGCCCTGCCGGGCTGAAGTGCACCTCCTGGGCGTGCCAGGGTGCCAGTCCCCTCTGTCGGGGGGTGTCCTGACCTCTCCCGCAAAGAGCTTGAGACTACTGAAGTAATTTTACTCTTAGCAAAACAGCGACAAAGTCCTAAGGGATATAATAAAGAAGGAGCTGGGAAATAGATAGAGGTGAGTGAAGTCGAGGTCACGTAGAGAGAATGTCCACTGATACATGTTCCACGAGGGCTGCTATGGTTTTCTTGGAACTTCCGCTTGGCTCTGGATTTCTAATAGCCAACATGAAAAGGGACTTGTGGCCCTTCCTTCTCAGAAATGGGAAGACCTGTTTCTTAGGGGAAGTGGAGGTTTTCTGAGTGCCTAATCATAAAAGAAGTCTCCCAGGTGGGCTTCTGATAAACGGGACGCTGGGCCACCAGCTCAGCGGAGACCCATTGCAGGGGCAGTAATGCGTTCTGTGGAGAGGTTTCTCGTTGCCCACGCTGATAAAAGTTAAGGAAATGCCGCTAACACATAAATCAGTAGAGTTAAGGGCCCGTGGCAGGGTTCAGGTTCAGGGTGGCTTTTCCCCTGCTAGCCAGCATGCTGCAAAGTCCCATCCTGTAGCTGTCAGTGAGCATGGGCTCAGTGAGTACCATTTCAGCAGGATGCAAATGGGGAAGTTCATAACAAAAATAGAGCACGACCCCATGCTGAATATCAGTACTTGAGATTCACACTCCTTCTTCCATCTAAAAGCACAGAGAATTGGGGATCAACCAGACCTCCCCAGCTTTTCCCCCCTTTCTCCTAATATAGTCCTTAGAATTTTCACCTTTGTGAGTTCTGAAGTTAAGTGATATGTAAAAGGATCCCATGTAAGAATTGGATTGCTTGGCTTCTCCTTAGAAATTTTCTGATTCTGAAGATGTCTTTGGGTTTTACCCAATAACCTATTATTAACGCACTTCTCATTTATCCCAAAGAAATGGCTTGAATCAGGCAGCAGCCGCACTGTCAGGTTGTGGCTGTAAATTAGGAACTTGATTGAAATGCTCTTCTAGTTATAGGGTGGGAGTTGGCAGACGGCTGAGCTTCTGCTTACATGTTCCTCCTTCTCTCCACCGCCAGATCTCCTGAAGCGCGCATTTCAGAAGTCTGCGTCAGTGCGGAATATTCTCAAGCCTGTCGGGGGTAAACGTGTTGACTCTGCGGAGGTACAGAAGGTTTGCAACATCTGTGTCCTCTATCAGACCTCACTGACAACTCTGACCCAGATCCGGCTGCAGATTCTCACAGGTTTGGAAGCCTGAGGCATCCTCTGTCTCTCACGTTTGGCTGACAATCTTGCTTGGAACAAGCTGATTTTCTTCTGGCTTCCTTGAAGAGGAGTAGGGTATTTTGGAGCCATTCTTAGAGACCGATTAGTCAGACAGCTCAAACTAACCTCAGTCCTAGCACTTCCAGTTCGTTCCTGTGACCTGGCCCTTTATTTTAATTATGAAGTACAATTTGCTTTTTAAAAGTTACTGGTTTTTCTGAACAGAAAAGTAGGAAAGACAAGGAAGCAGAAAAAAGAAAACTTAAGCCGCTCTTAATTCCACAATCCAAACACAACTACCGGTGCCTGGGTGTGCTACTGGTGTATATATTTACATTAGCTGAGCAAGGAAGAAAGTCCCCTCTCTGAGCAAAGAGCTGGGCGTTGGGGACTTTTAAGTGGCAGTGCAGGAGGTAGTATGAATTGGTACTGGTGTTATGGCCCATGTGTCTGAGGCCTTGTAGCCATCAGGAAGCTGACTTGAAATGTCCTCACCCGAGGTGAGACTTCTGTGTGACACCGGAGAGTGTCTCTGCTATGAGCATTCGTTGCTTTCCCATTTTTTAACATAGAATAATGGAAGTGGATGAGAAGAAAGCTTGGCTAAATGTGGGTGAGAGTGTAAGATAGTTTAAAGAAGGGCTTGGTAAACTACTGCCCGTGGACCAGATCCAGCCCACCACTTGTTTTTGTAAATAAAGTTTTATTTGAACAAAGCCACATTCATATTGTCTATAAATTGCTTTTGTGCTACAGTGGTGGCATTGAGTAGTTGTGACAGAAATTAACCTACAAAGCCTAAAAAATACTGACTCTGGCCCTTTCCAGAAAAAAGTTGCTGATCTCTGATTTAAAACATAAACGCTGAGTCAGACGGGCCTGGGTTCCATTCCTGGTTTTGACACTTATTGGCTGTGTGATTTTGAGCCAGTTAACCTCTCTGGTCTCTAGTTTCCTCACTCCAAAGGTGTTGATAACATTGGGTTTCACATTGGAAAGGAGATGCAAATACAGGTCAAGTGTTAGGTTAGCCAAAATGTTCGTTTGGTTTTTTTTCCCATAAAATGAAAGGCACTTTTCATTTTCACCAATTACTATTGGCTTGGACATTTTGAGTATGACAGTTATCCCCCGCATGGTATAACACTGATTGTTCTCAATTATTGTCTCAATTTGATCATTATCAACTTCTGCTGGTCTGTGCAACTGTGGAGCATCATCCAGTGAGAAATCTCCAGCATGGTACTTCGCAAACCACTTTTGATGCATTTGATCAGTCACAGCACCTTTTCCATACACTGCACAATCTTTTTTTGCATTTCAGTTGTGTTTTTATTTTTCTGGAAATAATAAAGCATAAAGTGACAAAAGTGTTGCTTATATTCTTCCATCTTCAATATTAAAATGGCTACACAAAAATTCACCAATTTTGATTTTTTTTTTTAATGCATGCTGATATGACAGCTATCATAATACAGTCTAACAAAATCGTTTTCAAATGAAGTTAAAAGACAACTAAGTGCTACTAGAGCCATCTTACAGAAAAAACCAAGCGGACGTTTTGGCCAACCCAATACTTGAAATAGTATCTGGCATATAGGACGCACCCATTAAATGTTATCTATTATCATTATTCCCATGGTGATAATGATTTTCTTAGTAATTGCACCTTCTCTCTCTCACACATTAAATGTTCACTAGTAGGTGTGCTTTGTTTTCCTGGTGGGTAGGGAAATGATGGGCCAGATGGAGCCCCCTTCCGAAGCTTGGGTTTCTCTGTCCTTTTCCAGGTCTCACTTACCTTGATGACCTGCTGCCCAAACTGTGGGCGTTTATCTGTGAGCTGGGGCCCCACGGAGGATTGAAGCTCTTCTTGGAATGCCTCAGCAATGACACCGAAGAGTCTAAGCAGCTCTTGGCCATGCTGATGCTGTTCTGTGACTGCTCCCGGCACCTCATCACGTAGGTTGACTGCAGCGGTCCTGAGTTCCTTTCCTAGGACGTGGAGAAACCAAATTACAGTGTCAGTAAGGAAGCAGTTACTGATGTGATAACTGCTAATGTTTGGGTGGCAGCACCCACCGCTTACTTTTGTAAGTAATGTCTTAGAAGTCGATGAGGAACCACTTACCAAGCAGGTGGCATGTAATAGGGGTTCAGCAATTGTTAGTTCCCATCCTTTCAGGGCAGCTGGGTCAGTACCACTGAATGTGGGCTTTGGGGTTTCCTGGTTCTGGGTCCAAATTACTTCAGCCATTTACTCTCTGTGCTCGATGGTTTACTAGAAAATTTCAGAGCCAGGGAGCCAAGGTACAAGACTTGGCTCCTCCACTTACTGAGATACCATGGGCAGTGGGGCAAGAGGCCATGCCTCTCTGAGCCTCAGGTTCCACCTTAGTAGAACGGAGATAACATTGCCAATGTGATAGGAAGTAAATGAGAAAAGGGACAAGTACTTAGTACTGTGCCTGACAGTGAGAATTAACAAATGTTAGTCCCATTCAGTTCCTTTGTTCTCTAAGCTTATGTGTCTACTTGTGCATTTGGTGTTCTTTTAATTCCACTTATTCCCCTTCTATCTTATGAAGAATCATAAGATAGAATGGACCTCAGGTAGTTATGCTCAGGCTAGAAGACGTTGGCCGGAGGGCGTCGGCCTCGTAGGCGGCAGGTGGGTGAGACAGAGGGAAGGGCTCAGTGAGCAGTGGAGGGGGGTGCAGCGGTCAGTAGCTGCTGGTGCTGATGCTCTGAGTTGCTGGGTCAAGGGTGATCCAAGAGTGAGTCAGATTCTAAGGTGATTGGAGCAGCATTAGGATATTTTCAGATAGAGCTGTATCTTAAATATTTCATTTGTTCATCAGTTCTTCCGGACATTACTCGTTCTCTCAGAAGTGCTTCTCAGGTACCCACTGAGGGCCACTAGTGTCTGTTGTAGATGCAGAGTAAGAGCCCACAGCTCTCTTCAGTAGACACAGACTCAGTCAGGATTCCTTGATATTGGGGCGTGGTTTCAGGCATGAATGAAGAAAGTGTCACAATCAAACCCTTAGGAGTAAAAAAAGTACATAGAGTAGAGCTCATTGTTTTTTCTTAACTGTATATTTTAACTTTTTACTCTGGACAATTTCAAATGAAGTGAAAGTAGAGAGAATACAGTACAGTGAGCCCTAGTGTGCCCATCCCCAGCCTCAGAGCGGCTCCCGGCCAGTCTTGCTTCCTCTGCAGCCCCATCCACTCTCCTCTCGCTCCTTATTTTGAAGCACATCCTAGACTTTTGCCACCTTATCTGTAAATTTTACAATAAGTATCTGTAAATGGTAGAGCTTATTTCTTAACCTTATTTTGTCTTTTAAGAAGTAGATCTCGCTTTTTTTTCTTTTCTCAGTGGACAGTTGTGAATAGTTTTCTGTTTGATTTAGGATCCTTGATGACATTGAAGTTTATGAAGAACAAATTTCATTCAAACTGGAAGAGCTGGTCACCATCTCCTCCTTTCTGAATTCCTTCGTGTTTAAGATGATCTGGGATGGAATCGTAGGTAAGGTAAAGGTGGCAGCCGTTGTTCAGTTGACGCTATAGGCAGGGAGGCCAGAGTCAATAGCAGCAGCTGGTTCTGAGCCTTACTATCTATCAGCGTTAACTGAAAATGCACATTTCTTCACCTAATTACAACTTTTATTTCTTCATTTTCTATCTGTAACTTCTTAAGACAATGGTGTGGTTAAAGAAGTCTTATTCTCCCACATGTTTTTCAAGATTTGCTTGTGTGTGTCAAGAATGATCAGTGATGGTCATGGCTGGTGTAGCTCAGTGGATTAAGTGCCGGCCTGTGAGCCAAAAGGTCGCTGGTTTGATTACCAGTCAGGGCACGTGGCTGGGTTGCAGGCCAGGTCCCCAGTGGGGGGCATGTGAGAGGCAACCACACATGAATGTTTCTCTCCCTCTCTTTCTCCCTCCCTTCCCCTCTCTCTAAAAATAACTAATAAAATCTTTAAAAAAAAAAAAAAAAGAATTACTAATGATGATTAATTATGCTCCCAATTTCCTTTTGAATCTTTGAGTTGATTTTATTTTTGCAAAGATAAAACATGGGCCAGGTCACACGTCCGAGTAGAGTCCACCCCCTGAAGTGTTTCCAGGGGTTCAGTACAAAGCTTCTTAGATTAAAAAGGTCCTGGAATGACCTGCTAGTAGGGGGCAGCGTGAATCATTGTGTCTAAGGTAAGCGTGGGTCCTTTAGACACTTCAAACACACGCAGGGTGCCTTTTAGTTCTGTTGGTTCCCTGTAAAGTTCAGAGTGAGGGAGAGCTGTCCTGCCAACTCCCCTCCAGTGCCAATCAGCTTCGTGAGTGTGACTCCTCCTCGTGTGCCCCACAGAGAACGCCAAGGGCGAGACCTTGGAGCTGTTCCAGTCCGTCCACGGGTGGCTGATGGTGCTGTATGAGCGCGACTGTCGGCGGCGCTTCGCCCCCGAGGACCACTGGTTGCGAAAGTGAGTACGGGGGTGGGGAAGTGGGTTTGTGGAGCCAGATTCTCCTCCGCCAGGCTGCCCGCGGAGAGCTGCCCGAGTGCTCTGTGCCTTTGTGCCAGGGCAGAGAGGAACCAGTCCCTCTCCTTTGTCCTTCATCTGCGTGAGGAGAACTGGTGTTCTGGCGAAGCACCTGTCGGGATGGATCACCTAGCAGTTGCTTCTGTTAAAATATGCTTACATTAGAGATGAGTAGAGCTTGTTATAGCAGCAAAGCCAGGTCACATTGATTGAGTTGGCCAAAAAGTCCATATGGTTTTTTCTGTAAAATAAAAGACACATTTTTCATTTTCCCAATAACTTTATTGATTTGGATGTTTTCAGTGTGTCGGCTGCCTCCTGCTATTGGCTTCTAGTGGGCGGAGGCCAGGGCTGCTGCTAAACCTCTTCTAATGCAGAAGACAGCCCCAGAGGAAATAATTATTTGGCCAAAAGGTCAATAATACCAAGAAACTTCGCAAACCACTTTTGACAACGTTCACAGCACCTTCTTCATACACTGCATAAATCTTTTTTGCATTTTAATTGTGTTTTTACCTTTCTTGAAATAATAAAGCATAATTTGCTGAAATGTTGCATATTTTCTTCCATCTTCAATATTAAAATGGCTGCACAAAAATTCACCAGCTTTGATAAGTTTTATTTTAATGCACGCTGATATGACAGCTGTCACAATACAAGCTAACAAAATTGTTTTGAATGAAATTAAAGACAACTAAGCACTACTAGAGCCATCTTTGGGAAAATCTAAATGAACTTTTCTGGCCAACCCAATAGCAAATATTTCCTATCCAAACTGGGAAAAAGAAAAGTTTTCAGCTGAACTGAGCAACAGGTTGTGTTAAGGGGCAGTTTTTAAAACTCAGAATTATCAGGGTGAAAACTACAGCTAGGTCTTTTTGGGGATAGGGTTGGGGAATCCTCTTGCAACAACTAAACAAGATCATGTCCAAATGTTTTTTATCAATGACATGTCAACTCTTGTGTAACTCTCGAAGTTGTGGCCCTAGAGCAGGACTGGCAAACTTTCTGTAAAGGCCCAGACAGTAAATATTTTAGGCTTTGAGTACTAGACTGTCTCTATTGCAGCTGCTCAACTCTGCTGTTGTAGCGTGAAAGCAGCCAAATACGGATGAATCGGTGTGGTTGTGTTCCATTAAAACTTTATTTACAAAAATGGGTGGTAGGCTGGATTTAGCTCACAGGGTGTAGTTTGCCAAGAATGGGTTCTCTGTTTGTTTTAATTATTTCAAACCCATGTCTTTTTAAGGGATCTCAAACCTAGTGTGCTCTTCCAAGAGCTGGACAAGGACAGAAAACGGGCACAGCTGATCCTGCAGTACATCCCTCATGTCATTCCACACAAAAACGTGAGTCGCACTCAGAGCTGGGCTCCTTATGCATCTTTCTGTTCCACCGCATGATTCCTGAATTTCCATCTCTGTTGCAGAGATTGGAAGTAAATAAATGAGATCATTCAGCTGGCAAATGCACATCGTGATTGGGTCTTACACTGTGCTGATTACGAAGCTAAGTAATGGGGATACAGAGGTGGAAAGCGATGCGAACGGGCAGTTCCGGTAGAGTGGGGTGGATGTCGCAGGGGTGGATGCTGTGGGAGCCCCGCCGGGGGTCAGGAGCCCAGGCAGCGGTGGCAGCGTTTGAAGGCCTCAGGCGAGAGTGAATGCAGTGCTGTTGGAGAGCCAGGCGTACAGTCTGGCTGGGGAGGATCTAAGGGGGGAGTGAAGAAGCCAAGGAGGTTCATAGGAATTGGAGTAAGAAGGGCCTTGTCTACCAAGGGCAGAGACTTGGATTTGGTCCAAAGCCACTGGAGCGCTCTCAGCTTTGGAGGTACCTGGTGAGAGCCATGCTTTGGGAAGTCCTCGTGGGTGTGGACTGGGGCCCTGGCTAGAGGCAGGAGTGGTTAGGCATCTGGCCTGGACTCGGTGGGGCCACAGAAGTAGAAAGACAACAGGTTGAGAGATTTTGAAGGAGGGAGCACCTGCAGGCCTTGCAGAATGATGCTGTTTGGAGAAGGAAAGGAGGGATCCCTGTGATTCTCCGATGTCGGCCTGGGGTGCCTGGGGGAGCCCTTCCCTAAGGTGCAAACATGGCGAGAACAGGTCTGGGAAGTGCTGGTGGGGTCCGCTTTGAGCAGGTAACACGGAGGTGTCTGTGACTCCTTGGGGCCATTGGACAAGTCACGTTTTTACAAGTTAAATCTTACTCCTCGCTGCCCTCTGATGCTGTTTTGACCTTGATGGTAACACTTAACGGTAGTCATTCTTTGCCCTCCAGCAGTGGTTCATAAGTGGACGTTCCTGTTTAAATTCTTACTGCACTTGGCAGCAGAGCCTCTCAGAAATGAGGGACCTCGTGGCGATGGCGTCGTCACAAGTGCCCTCTGTGAGAGGGCCCTTCAGCAGCCTCCCTGCCCTTGCCTCAGAGAGAGCACCCGCAGTGGGGCACGCAGGCCGCCTTCGGCTGCCTCCGCCCGGGGCTGGGGTGCTCTTCCTCGCCTTCACCTGACCGGCTTCTCTGTAACTTCTTCCCTTTGGCTGCTGAAGGTGGAATCTCTGCTCTTCGGAGATTTGCCTTCTGAGTCTACTGTTTCCAAGGGTTGGCAGCCTTCTCCAACTGTTATTCTTCATTGAAGCGGTTTTTAGCCCTTCGTCTCCTGGGCCCAGTCCAGTTTGGTAGAGTCTAACTTCAAATACAGCACCGCTTCCTGGACCTGTGTGTCTGTGAATTTGGCCCCGGACCGTAGCATTCCCATACCTCAGAGCCTGCGATCTCCACTCTGTCTTGTAGCTCACAGCCTGTGGGCTGGGGCACCCTAGGTTGTCACAGGCGATTTTAAGTTTTATGGGGAACACAATGAAATCTCTTGGGCACTGTATGAAGTACTAGCTCAAGGTCACAGTTTCAGCATTCTTTTCAATGTCATGCTGCTAAGCTGGCTTTTCAAAATGAAATTTAAAAATCTTTTATTTCAATATATGTGTATTTTTAAAATATAACTATTAATCGCTTAGCACGTAAATACTTTAGTTGTTAACTAGTGAGTGCATGGAACCGAGTGTTGCCTCTGACCCAGGAGTGCTGTGAGATAATGCTGAGCCGTGAGGAGCAAGAAGGCTTGGGGACCGCCGCGAGTACTGGGTGTGGCCTGTGCGTCCAGGCTGTATTCTCATCCTCACTGTGGGTTTTGGTTTTTTTTTTCTTTTGGGAATTTTGCTTAAGATTATCATCAAGTCTTTTTGCCCTTGACTCCTAAAATCTCTCTTTTTCCCTCCATTGGGAAAATAAGGCCCTCTTCATTATTGTTTGAACGCTATTACAGCAGTAATTCTCAAAGCCAGGATGGGCCACAGGGGCAGGGCTCGCCTAAAGGGAATTATGAGAGTCTTGAGAAAGGAGAGAGAAGGTTCTTTTCAAACAATAATTGGGAAATATTACCACTGGGACCTCTGTGTGCCTGAGGGCACAGAGGAAGCACATAAAAGGTCAGGAATCTTTATTTTGTAGGATCATTTAAAAAAGATTCTGACAGTGAAAAAAATCACCTTTGAAATGCTTCTGTTTTTTTAAATTTATAATATTGATTTCCTTTAAAGCAGGCACAGCTACAAACAGCCGCCTCTGCAGCCTGTCTCGCTGGCAGGCTTTTGTGGTGGAGGATTGGCTGAACAAGGAGAACGGCTTCTCCTCGGCTACTTTCAGCTGGGCTCTGGCTGCAGCCAGGTCGCTCTTCCTGGAACTTTTTTCCCTTGGTGCGAATTCAGCTATATTGCTGACTCAGAAGTGTTGTGGGGAATGTTGACTGTTGTCCCAAGTCACTTCTACCCAGTAGCTCATGTGGAAACATCCCATTCTGGTTGCATATGATGTGACTTCCATTTCATTAATTTCATACAGTGCGCTTTCAGGAAGCACCAGCTATTGACCCTGATCCTGGTCTTACCTTTTTTCATTTCAGAGGGTTCTCCTGTTCCGAAACATGGTTACCAAGGAGAAGGAGAAACTGGGGCTTGTGGAAACCAGCTCCGCCTCCCCTCATGTCACTCACATTACTATCCGCCGGTCCCGGATGTTGGAGGTGAGAAGCACGAAGACCTGTGCTCTGTGAAACTTAGGAGTTTTAGTGGTTGACCTGTCGCCTCTGACATGTTCTTGTCACTCCTTGATCTAATGACACTGAAATCAAAGCTCTGGGAGCAGGAAAGTGTCCATTTGTCCTGTTTGCTGCTCCGAGAGCTGCTTGATTAAACATGTCCTCAGTGCCGGGGACCACAGTGTAACATTCCTTTTCCTTTTCACCGGGCTGCCCTGGGTTACAGTATCAAACACTTCATACCTCTCTGAACTGAGGACAGGAAGTACAATATGCAGATACTCTCATGTCTCTGCAAACTCCATTTGTCATGGCCGGCACTCTGCCCAGACTCCCAGCTGTGAATGTGGAGGCTGGAGGGTGGGAGTTAGGGTGGGAGCCATACTGGGACATGCATGTATCACAGAGCTAGAAGTTCTTTGTAGACATACAGTTATGAGATGCAAGGGAAGTGGCCCACCGGAGCCAAAGCTAGTATCCAGGGTTACCATTCTGGGGTGACTTCATGTGAATTAGAAATAGGTGCCTGTTCTCAGAACACTTCACCTCCATGTGTCAGAAGATTGCCATAATATATTGATTTTGTTGGAACAAAACCCTGCCTACCCTCTGCTGGAACATTGTCATAGTAAATGTGTGTGCCTGCGGTGTCCGCCTTGGGCCTGCCTCACCCTTTGGAGCCCAGGGTTGTGCAGTGTGCATCCTGCCTGCACCTGCCAGTCTTGCCGGCGGTAGTATTGGTGGCTGGGCCCCAAGAACCCGTTCCCGGGGTGTTTGGCCTGATTCATCCACCTGTGCTTGCTCCTTAGACCTTTCATCACACTCCAGCCTCAGTTCATGAGAAGGCTGGGCAGTGCAGGGCCGTTGTGGGATCCCAGGGCAGCACATGGCCCGATGGCCAGCAGATGGCCACGGCTGCAGCCTTTCCGCCCTGCGTGCGTTTGTTTTCTCCTTTGGGGCCTTCACAGTCTTTCCTGGAGAGCTCGCCTTAGTTCCTCTGACCACTGGCGAAGGATGCCAAAGTCTGCTGGGGAAAGGCGGCCTGGGATAAACGGATGAGGTGTTTGACATTGTTAAAAGTGGGGACAAGAAATGAAAGTGCCCACAGGGACCCTGCGGGCCACGGGAATGAGTAAAGCTGGCTAAGTGTGGCTCAGCGCAGGAGCACCTTCTTTGCATGCTGAACAAACAGAAATATTCACTCCCACTGCTGCCTCCTGCTATTCCTGAAACACAGCCCTCGGTCTAGGTGAGTCTGCTTTAGAGAAACGCCCCCACAAATGAGCTGATAAATGACAACGGACATCCAGCCTCAGTGTCGGGAAGCAGCGGGGAGCGGGCGGGCGGAGAACACATGCCCCCCTGAAGCACTCAGCTCCAGCTGACTGTTGGAGACTTGGGCTCCCTGATGCTCTCGTTGTTTAAGAGAAGACCGAAATTTAGGATTTTGTGTAACATCCCCAGGATTTTTATGTTGGGAACTACTGAAATTTTATAGTACCTGAAAGGTCAGCTAACACTTGTCTTCCAACCAGATTCAGCCTGTGGGTCACCAGTTTGCATCCTCTGCTTTGACCAAAGAGAAAAAGCCCAATTGCTATATAAAAGCTCACTTCTCCAGCATTTTCTTCAGACGCACCTGGCCCGTCTCTTAAAGTTCTCGGTTCCACCACCCATCATACCCCCTCCAGTGTGACTGGCACCCACAGGAACTCTGGGTTGGTCGAGACTCTGATGTCACCCAAGAGTGACAGTGTCCCCAACTCCCTTCTCATGCGTCATTGCTTATAGGAAAGTCGCTTGATATCCTGGTTACCCAAGCCTGCTTTTTAAAACAGGGACATTCAGGATCAAAGGCAGGGTGTCTATCTTAGGTTCCAGTCTGTTCTCTTCTTTATATCCAATTAGAAATATCTTGTCGTGAAACTGATCACTGGTGTTCCTATTGAACTAGGAGAGGAAGAGGGTCATTTATTCACTTATCAGTATAATGATCTGGTGGTTTGATGATTAGAACAGGAGAGCCCAGGGGCCTTTGCTTGATTTGGACACAAGGGGGCATCCAAAAGCTGGTGTTGGAGTCAGACTATCCAAGGCTTTTGTTCCGATTCCCCTTCTCTGGTCCGTGTTGAAGGCGGGGCTCCTGTACCAGGGAAGCGCCGTGGGAAGGCACCCCCCACAGAGGGCACACCGGGGCTGGAGCGTTGGCACTGAGGACTGGAGGGGCCTTAGGCACTCTCCTGCCCAGCCCTTCCCCTCACCCTGTCAGAAGTAGGACAAAGGCCGAGGAAGGTCAGGTTCTCCATCAGGGTCACTCGGACATCAGGCTTGAAGCTCAACACCAGCTCTCCCGTCCCCAGGTCAGGGCTCCGCCTCTGCTCCATGAGGCAGCAGCAAAGAGGAACGCCTCCCTCCTGCCTCCCTCCCCGAGGGGAGGTTCCGGTCCTTGCGCCACACCGCCAGTGCCAGCCACGCAGTGGGGCGCAGCGGGGACGCCGTCAGGGGAGGCAGGTGGCAGATTCCTCTTTACGACTTTTCAAAGAGGAGACTATTACAGGGCCGGTGATGCCAAATGGAAATGTCCAGCAAACGTTCCTCGGGCACCTGCTGTGTGCTTTCACATACACCTTGCCATTCAGTCTATGGAGCCCCAACACCTGCTGACGTCTGTAACGGTCAGGGAGGCACCGTTTCAAAGCAGAATGGAGAGGTCCTGCAGGCACACAGGATGGGTTTGTATTCTCCACCGGTCCCCGATGCAGTGCCAAGACAATTATCTTAAATTCAGGCAGAACGGTTTAAATGCTGCAGCGGCTGCATGGCGACTTCCTGTGTCTCCCTTCTTTTCATCTAACTTAATTGTTCTCAAACTTCATATGCATAAAAGTGCTTTTCAGGATTATGCACTCAAATCGTCTTTCTGTGCCTTCAGATAACTTTTTTCATGGTCGCTAACTTTGGAGCCCTGCGTAAGATTGGGGGCCACAGTAGGACGGTCTTTTGGATCGCTAGGCGAGCACAAGGGAAGTGTGATCCACAGGGAGCCAGCAAGGGTTCCCCGAAGCAGCTCTTGCCAGACTGGTCTCATTTGCTTTGTGACAAGAGGCCGGAGTGGCAGATGGGTGGATGCTGTGGAGATGGTGTCTCCAGTGTCAGCAGAACATCTGAGAACACTCCCCTTGTGACTGTGAGGGAGAAATGTGGGGTGGCCTCGGTAGGGTGCTGTGGGTGGTTTGCTATTTACATGACAGTATCTGAGGCCCAGGAGAATGGGCCTCACGCTGAGGAAAAGGGCTCCTCCCTGGGCCCTGTCCTGTTTGGCATTGGGTTTTATAGTCACTGAAATGAAAACCTAAGCAGCTTGCTTATCAGCATCCACATGCCAGAAATACGTCCGTTAGATGACAGAATCAGGAGTCAGTAAGACCTCGGCAGATTATAGTCCAGAGGCAAACCGAACGAGATGATTCAGCAGAACTCGAAGTCGTGTCCGAGGATTCTGGGCAGGGGAGATGTGCTGACTGGCTGCGTGTCTTGAAAGAGCTGGACGGAGGCAGAGGAATGGCTGAGGCTTCTCCACCCACGCCTCTGCCCTCATCCAGGCCCGGCGTCACTCCTGCACCCCGTCTCCCTGCTTCCTGCCTGGTCCCCTGCCACCTGTCTGCTCTGCTGCCAACAGAAAGATCTTTCTAAGACTGAAAGCCAGCCGTGATGCCCCTTGCGCAAACTTCTTTAACTTCCTATTGCCCTTGGGATATAACTTAAATTCCTCAGCGTGACTTGGAAGGCCTTTCCTGATCTGGGGGAAGGTACTAGGAGTTGAGGGTGGAGGGTATTTTTAGTTTTCATCTTCTAGCAGTCTGTAAGTTTGATTGATTGATTTTTACCATGAGTGAAAAGGTACTCTCAGCATTAAAATAGGGTGAGATCCTGTCCAGGTTTCATCCCTTGTCTGATGACGAGAGCTTATCGTGACTTACCTTGCCTAATTTCCTGTCTTGATGCTCTACATCCTCTTGAGGGCCGTCTCCCCTTGCCAAAGAGTGGCAGAGTCACATCCCCCAAAATGGATTTTCTTTTTAACAAGCTGTCATTTAAAAACAGGTGAGAACTGCTCTTCTCCTGCACTCTCACGTTTGCTGCGCTGCACGTGGGGAGGGAGCCTTGAGTTGGGCCTCGGGCCTCGGGTTCTAACGGGCTGTCATTCTGCCCGGGGCAGGATGGCTACGAGCAGCTCCGGCAGCTCTCCCAGCACGCCATGAAGGGCGTGATCCGCGTGAAGTTCGTTAATGACCTCGGGGTGGACGAGGCAGGGATTGACCAAGACGGCGTTTTCAAGGAGTTCTTGGAAGAGATCATCAAGAGGGTATTTGACCCGGCACTCAACCTGTTCAAGGTATTTAAGGGGAGCGGGAGCGGGGTTGACAGCAGCCAAATTTGAGGTGACAAATGAGAAATGAAGAACTGGATTTACTCGTTACAAGGCCTTTAACCTCTCTGCCTCTCTGTCTTTTTGCCTTGCAGACAACCAATGGGGACGAGAGACTCTACCCTTCGCCCACATCCTACATTCATGAGAATTACCTGCAGCTCTTTGAGTTTGTGGGCAAGATGCTGGGGAAGGCTGTGTATGAGGTAGGCACATAAGGGAGTATTGAACTAGAAAGGAAAATAAAACATGAATAGTACCTTGGGCTTTGTACACATTTATATAATCAGGCCTAGCCATGTAGACTACTTTTTGTTAGGATAAAGTCAAGAAAATAGGCACAGGAACCAAGATTACTATGCAGAAGCACTGGGTGCTTTCCACGTGTTACCTCGTTCCGTTCTCTCAACCCTCTTGTGGCATGGCAGCAGCTGTCCTGTTTCTACAAGGGTAAGAGGACAGTGGCTTCATAGTCACTTATCTAGAGTCCCATCTCTAGTTAGTGGTAGAATCCAAATTTGAACCCAGGCCAGCCTGAGCCCTGAATCAGACTCTGCTTCCCTGAGGGTCGGGGGTAGTGCGCCAGAGCCAGGTCTCCACGGCTGTAGGCGAGCAGTGTTTCGTGATGAAATCTTTTGTTATTTGAGTGAGTGCTTCGAAGTAGGCCAGAGGTATCTGGGACATGCCTACAGACAAGATAGAACATGAAGGTAGGATGTAGCCCACAGCAGCTGGTCGAGATTGGTCTTCCCCAGCTAGCTACAGCACTGCACATTTCTTTAGGTTGCTGTTTTCATCAGTAAGGTGGGGTTAATAGAAACTATGTTACTGGGTTACTGTAGATGGTAAATGAGGTAATACAGATAAAACACCTGTGTTGCCTGTCACCTGGCCATGGGGGAAGTGGAGCCGCCATCCCTGCTGTTACTGAGAGGAAGGGGTTCTGGAGTTTCTGCTCCCAGGGTCCCAGGGTCAGGGCAGGGCGGACTTCTGCAGGGCCTGCTGAGGCCCGGGCCCTCTCCCTTGAGCTCCCTCTGCAGCACTTGACCCCACAGCCTGCAAGTCCCACTCCTCAGGAAGAAAGTAAAGCTACAGCACAAGCTTGTCAGTGGCTAGTCTCCGCGGCCTTCGCTGTGGGCCCCAGAGCAGCAGGGGACCCACCTGGAGCCCAGGCAGCAAGGACGTGAGCCACCTGCGCAGCACTGGCTCACACGCTGTCAGAGCCCTGGAGAAGCCAGCATGCCTCCAAAGGCAAAGAGGCGGGAGCTGGGGCAGGTGAGGGGAAGAGGCCATTGGGGGGCAAACATCCTTTGACTCTTACATAAGCTGTCACCATCTCTGTGTGACCAGCCTTTGCCTGCGGCCTTGGTCCCTGACCATGGTGAAGCCAGGGGCCCCAGCTGAGTCCCTGCCCACCCTCCCTCCAGTCCTCCTCCTGCTTAGGACCGGCTGGGGAGCCCGGGCTTGTTCTCCGTGCTTGTTTTCATATCTTCAAAATGGAGACACTTTTCAGTTCATTCCCATTAAAAAAAAAAAAATACTCCCATGAGGACCCACCTGGGCATATGCTTTGTTTTTCCTTTGAACGTGTAGCTGTGATGAGACCCAGAAGAGTCTAGGCCAGCTGAAAAGCATGACTTCCTAGCTGTTGTGAACGTCTTCCCCTCTTCCCTGGGCCTTGTGTTTGCCTCCTCCCTCTTCGACATCAATAACAACAGTGCAGATGAAAGAAATTTGGATGTACTGGGCCTCGTGTGCGGAGCAGTACATGTTAACTCATGTAACCTCCCTGCTCCTCTGTGACAGGCCAGCATGGAGTTTCATTGACTCCTGTCCAGATCTTTTTCCACCCTTTCAGCCACAGCCCTGGTATGCCCTGTAGGCAGTTCTCCCTGGTGCCACAAATACGGCACCTCTCTGCTTTCGGCCCTCCCAGCACTCCCTGCTGCCCTCAGGGAGGATCTGGACACCAGGAGGCTTAGGAGGCCCTTTCTGATCCGGCCCTGCCTGCCTCTCTGGCCCCTTCCCTCACCTCCCTTCCCTCTCACACTGCTGTGACCACACGGGTCTGTGTTCATGCCTGAGGACGTCGTACTAAAGGCCTTGTGCTCCTTTAGGTCTAGCTTGAGTGGCCCCTCCTCCTGGGTTTCCCCCGCTCTGCCTCTGGGTGACGGCCTGTCATCTGTGCTCCCCTACATCCTACTCCTTTAATTCTTAAGGCTGAGAGACTGCGCTGTTACCCATTCACAGATGGAAAAACTGAGGCCCTGTGGCCAGGCAGCAGCAGAGCTGGGATAGCTCCAAAGCCTATGCCCTTGACCACTATGCTGCCATGTCCCTGTGAGGTACTCAGTTGTGGTTGATCCCTGATGGGGAGGTATTGTCATTCAGACTGAAAATTTAGCAAGTGCCTCAGGATGCTCTTGGCTCCCTCTGCAGCCTGAGCTGCCCCAATGCAGTTATTGAGGCAGAATCCCATCCAGAGAGCTATGGTGAGCCTCAGTCTCCTCTCTCCCAGGGAATTGTGGTGGACGTGCCCTTCGCATCCTTCTTCCTGAGCCAGCTGCTTGGGCACCACCACAGTGTCTTCTACAGCTCTGTGGACGAACTGCCTTCCCTGGACTCCGAGTTCTATAAAAACCTCACTTCCATTAAGGTCAGCATACAAAGGTGGGAGGGCTTGGCTGGGTGCTAGCAGAAAGGCATAGAGAAGGAAAGCCCCGCAGCGGGTGGTGTGGTGTGGCATGAGGTTTCCTGCTGTGGTAAAGACACCCACTTTATGGCCACTGCAGGTCCCCATGTGCCCTCAGGGAGCTGCCCCTCAGGGCTGACTCTCATGGCATCTTTCCTCGAGGTGATCAGTGGCCTTTGCCTTTGCTTCAGGCTGCACAGCAGCCATGACAGTTAGTATGCAAGCAGACTTCATAGGCAGGAGTGTTCAGTTCTCCACGGACATAGACCTTCTTGGGCCTAACACTTTCCCCTTCTCTGTTGTATTAGCGCTACGACGGGGACATCGCTGACCTGGGCCTAACACTGTCCTATGATGAGGACGTCATGGGTCAGGTAGGTCGGCTTCTATCTGGGCTCTTCTTTTTCTTCCCTCTGTGGGCTTCCCGAGGCCTGCCCTACTCTTGGTGCTGTCCCCAACAGGTCCGTAAATGCAGGGTCTATCTGTCCAGCCTCTCTTCCCTCTGGCTCTTGTGCCCATCCCATCCCTCCCCTTTCCAGGAGGGAGGGCAGTCCTCCTCCTGCCCCCAGTTAACCTGGCCTTTCCCTGCTCGGTCCTCACTCTGCTGAGATCCCTTGCTTTGCTGAAGTCACACTCTGGGTCATTCCTGATGGAAGCCATACCTCCCTGTTTGCAACATTGCTCTTCGTTACCATGGTGAGGATCATTGGTCACACCACAGGATTATGACTTAGAAAGGGGAAAGAAGGCGTTGAGAAGTACCCTTAACAGAATCCTGTCTCTGTTCCAACTCTTCACAAAGAGCAGAGCAGAAAGAAAAGACCCTTGGTATCAGGGCGGCAGAGCTGTTGCCTCCTAAAGTTTTCCTTTCGGCTTTTCTCAGAAGTACCCTTTGTCCCTTCCATTTGGGTCCCAGTGGACACCTGAACGACGTCTGTGTGCACATGGCCTAAGGGCTGCTCTGGAGAAGCCATGCAATGAGCTCGGTAGTGCAGGGCTGGCTTCTCAGAGCCCTGACTGTGTCGCCCCAGAGAGGTCACTCGGTCTCCCAAGCCACAGTTTCCTCATCTCAAAAAGGTACCATTGGCCGAATGTGAGCCCTTGATGGGACCAGTGTCACCGGATGCTCTGTACATGCCTGCATGCCCTACTGTCCTCCAGAAGAGCCACCAAGCACACTGGCCTGAGGGCTCTGAGAAACCTGGGAAAGAAAAACCGAGTGTTACGTAATCTCAGCTTCCCCAACTCATTTGATCACAGAACTCCTCTCACAGAATGACCCTCAAGATCATAGCTCACAGACGAGGCGTTCCTGGGAACCCCTTATGGGAAACACCGGACTGGGTGACTCCTAAGGGCCCTTTTAGCTTTAAAATCCTCTGGTGTGCTCCGTGATGTACACAGCAGTAGCACTAGGGGTCACTGTTTTTCAAGTTCTCTGCATCTTTACAGTTACAGTAATAGAATTCCATTAAAATTAGCTTTAAAACAGTGAATGCACTCTTTGATTTTTTTAGGTGGGCCACAGAAGTTCTTGAAGATGGGGAAAGCAGTTAATTCTATAGAGCTTCCAAATTTTTAATTGGATTTTGAGCCTTCCTCCTGACGTCCTTAATTTTCTCTCCTAACTATACAAATGATGCAAACTCCTAACCACGTATCAGCTATAATATGAGCATAAAGATAACAACGAAAACCACCTATAATGCTGGTGGTGCCTGGAGGGTGCCACTGTTAATGCAGCTGTGTCCTTCCAGGTTTTCCTCTCTGGGCACGCATATCAGTTTTGGGGGTTTTTTTTGTTTTTTGTTTTTTTGCAGAAGTGAAAATGCCATGCATGCTTTTCCCCCCACTGTCTCAGTAGTATATATTTTCTTCATAGCTGCACAGTATTTGGGGTAGGAGTATACCAACATTTATCTAATCATCCTGCTGTGCTCTTAAATGCTAATACATTACCCTCCATACCATCCCATAGCCTTGATACAGGTGTTTGAACAAGAATCAGATGGGAAGAAACCTTTCATATTGATCATTCAGGGTCAGCTTGCTGATATTTAAGTCCAGGCTTTTGTGAAAGTGATTGTTAGCAAACATGTCCCATCTTAATTCTGTCATGATTACGGATGTTGGTGTTGGGCCCTTTCATCTGTAGGAAGCTTTATTCCCCCGTTAGAATGCTCTCGAGTAATTGTTCCCATCTTCTCCCCCAGCTCGTTTGCCATGAACTGGTTCCTGGGGGGAAGACCATTCCTGTTACAAATGAAAATAAGTGAGTATAGCAATTCGATTTTTAAGGTCACCACTTGAAAAGACTTCATTCTGGCTCTCCGGGCTTACTTTGAGAATTTATTAAGATAGATTGAAGTAGAAAGAGGCCATAAATATCATAATGGAATTTACTGGTTACAGTTCATAGGCCAAAATTGTATTAAATTCGATTTGCAAAATAAGAGTTGACGATTTATTTTTTGCAGTAGCACTTCTAAGGCCAGAGGCACCCAGGCCGCGGCGTTCCCAGGAATTAAATGATGGCTCCAGCTGCGGACGGATGGGTCCTGAGCCGTGCAGGCGCGCTGTCCTGGTCCCAGAGGGCACTGGGGCAGAAAGGCGCCTCAGAGGGGCAGGTCATTTTGGAATGATAGCATGTGGCAGTTGTATAAAACACTGTTCTTGAGAACACACAGTGATGAATTCAGATGCAGCAGACAGGTCTTTAGACGTGGGGAGCTTCAGAGGCCAGGCAGCTATTGTCATAGATAACAGGCTTTTAGGAATCTATCATAAATGTCAGCCTCTTTGGGCTCTAGAAGCAAAACCCTTCAGTGCGCTGTCTCTGCCTGGGCCTATTCTCACCTAATTAAAACAGCAGAACCTGGCATGAGGAGTAGGTATTGGCCCTTTTGTCAATCTGTCAATCTTCTACTGCCAGGCTCAGCTGAGCATCTGATCTGTAATCTGTGTGTCACTCTCTTCGATGACAAGTGAGAGCTCAGTCCTGCCCAGTGAGTCATTCAGATCAGATGCACGTTAGAGCCCAGTGTTCCTGAGCATTATGTCTCTCTTGGGTTGGGTGGTTCGGTCAGTCTGCCTGCTTGGGAGCTTTTATTCCGACTGTCTGAGTAGTCAGAAGAACTGACCCAGTTCTCATCAGGATTGAAATACATCAGTTTGACTCTTGGCCCCGAAGCGTTAGTTTGACAGCTGAGAAAGAACAGAGAGCCTGGTTGGGAGGAACTGACTGGAGGCTCAGAGCCAGTGGATCCGGTTCTGCTAGCCATGTGCCCTCTAGCCAGCCTTTGGAGGGCTTCTCGTGAGATAAGGCACGTAAAATACCTTCCAGGATGTCTGGCTGGAAGGAAGGCCATAATAAATGAGAGCAGTGGTTGCCGCCATCATCGAATATGTGACCAGTCACATACAGCCAGCCACCCTCAGATGGGCATGTTTTGCCAGACATGATGGCACAGGGTGACGGTAGGAGCTGTGTGTGTAACAGCCAGAGGAGGTGGGGCAGTGCAGCCTGTGTTGAGTGGGATTCCTGCCCTACTTGGAAGCCTCCTGTATAGAAACTCTAACATGACCTCAGCATGAAACCTCAGCAGAAGAGGAAGGGTACCCAGTTATGCAGGCTTTTCAAAAGCCTGGCAATGCCTGTGTCTCCCTCCTTCAGGTTGATACTTGGTCTTGCACTTCCTAGGTGTTTAAATGGGACAGTCCCTTTCTTTCTTTTGGTAAAATGGAGCAGTATTAGTCACCGGCTTCAGAGAGTATAGGAAAGGAATAAAAATAATAGAAAAAGTCAAGTTGAATTGTATTAAAGTGCAAGTTTTCTCCTGGATAATTTGTTAAAATAGGGATATTTCCAGGGTCAGTAGCTCAGATCTGCGTGTTGTGGGATATAGCAGACTTATTTGGACTGTACTAATTTGGAATTTTTTGAGAGGTGTACCTGGCCTGGGCTAAGGTTCTTTCATCTCTGAGTATTAAAGGGTGTGCTAAGAAATCAGCGATGCTCGCACACCTGTTGGAATGTATTTAACCTGTTCCAAAGAATTGTAGTGTATTATACTGTTGTAGATGCGATCATTGTGTTCATAAAAACAGACCCAGAAGACTGTCTGCTTGGAACCATTGTTAGTGCTTTGACTTTCTACTTGAAACTAAACATAATCCAGCTGCATTTGACGAGAACTTTCTACGGGCTCACCTTTTCATTGGCCTAGCCAGCGGTGTCCAATCTTTTGGCGTCTCTGGGCCGCACTGGAAGAAGAAGAGTTGTCTTGGGCCACACATTAAATACATAGTGACATGCAATCACCAAAAAAAAAAAAAATATCATGTTTTAAGTAAACGTACGATTTGGTGTTGGGCCTCATCGGTAGCCCCCCGGGCCCCATGCGGCCCCCGGGCCCCAGGTCGGACACCTCCGGTAGACTCTGGGTCCGGATTAGCAAGGTTTTGATTGACGTTTCAACATGAAGCAGTTTTTCTCTGCTTTAAAGCTTATCGAAGGACTCAATTATATCTTAATTGTTATATGAGGGGGACCCCAGAAAAAACGGAATTGTTTTCTGGAGGGCGGGCCCCTTGTAGAAGGCTTCTCCTGCCAGGTGAGTGTTTTAGAAACCCATTTGTACCAGTGTATCAGCTGGTATTGTGAGAGGCTGCATTCGGCTTCAGTGAATTTTGGGGGGAGACTTTCAGTACATTCGCCCATTTCACGACGGGTGACTTACAAGCACACTTGCCCACCCTGCACTGAGTGTTCAGCAGACCAAAAACGCCATGACCTCTATGCCCCGCCCTCCCTGTTCACCCAGCCTCAGCCCAGGCGATGTTTTTTTGTTTCCCCGAATGAAAAAACTCCTCAAAGGGAGATGTTTTGCTGATGTGGAAGAGGGTAAAACAAAAAACAGCAGAAGCACTAAAAGGTATCAATCGACAAGTTAAAGAACTGCTTTGAGCAGTGGAAAAAACGTCTCGATAGGCATATCGCATCAAATGGGGGGAGTCTTTGAAGGTGACTGAAGTTTAAATGTGTAAGAATAAATACACAGTTTTTTATAAAAATAAATTCTGGGGTTTTTTGGGGTCCCCCCTCATATGCCCCAAAAAATGAAATTAAATACAAATCCAAAAAATACCGTTTGTACGAAGAAGGACCCTCTCCTTACCTGGAGGATGTCTTGCATTGATTCTTGACGCATCCGGGTATTATCCTGATGTATGACCCGCCACGTTTTTTGTTTCTGAGGACTGATGAGGTAATGCCCTTGAACGTTTAACGCCTTTGCAGCGGCACACGGTGTACTACTGTTCAGGAGAGCTATCATCATGGTCATTTCCGTTGTTCTGGGGAAATGTTCTGGTTCTATTTGTGTTTTTGTAAAATGGTTCAGAAATGACTGAACTCATCTTCCAGCCCATTGGGAACAGCCTGCCCTGTCCTGTTAATTTCCATTGTTTTCTTTTCTTGGCAACAGAATTAGCTACATCCATCTGATGGCACATTTTCGAATGCACACTCAAATAAAAAACCAGACAGCTGCCCTCATTAGCGGATTCCGTTCTATTATCAAACCCGAGTGGATCCGGATGTTCTCAACCCCTGAGCTACAGCGTCTCATCTCCGGTGACAATGCTGAGATTGATCTGGAAGATTTAAAGTAAGGAGTGAGTGAGAGGGCAAGGGTGAAATTCTTAGGCCTCCTTCAAAGCAAGCTGCTCCCTTGCTGGGTTCCTTTTGGAGAGTTATTTCAGGAGCTCATCATCAAATGCACTCCTTTTGGATCACGGGGTGAATGGCTTTGGAATGAAAGCTCAACCACTTGTCTGCCTAGAGACTGAAGTGGGAGCAGGTCTTGAGGACTGCAGAGTTTTCTAAAGTTCTAGGAAATAGTGTCGCAGGATCTTCTGTTGGCTTGTGCTTGGGAACAGAATGGCCAGCTCTTGAACTCTCTGCCCATATACCTTCCAGGTGCATGGGGTTATTAAGGCATAGACTCCTGGCTGTAAGAGAACTTAGTAGTGCCACTTGTCTAAGTTTGGTGCTTATCTGTGTCTGTGTGTGCCTGAACCCATGATCTCGTTTGTTTTCAGGAAGCACACAGTGTACTACGGTGGTTTTCATGGAAGTCACAGGGTCATTATCTGGCTCTGGGATATTCTGGCCTCCGACTTCACGCCCAACGAGAGAGCCATGTTTCTGAAGGTATTGTATATGTTACCTATACATCGTCTGTGCGTATGTAGAATGCCTCATAAATCTGGAAGGCTAGTGATGTAATAATTTATACTGAAAAAAATGAATTATCAGGAGGACCTCATCCCATCAGCATACCCTGACCCGTGGTGGACCTAGACAGTAAGTTGGGCAGTAAGCAGAGGGGGCCTTGGGGCGAGGCCTGCGTGCTGCGCCCAGCGCTCCCTGCCCTGCCCGAGCCGGCCTCACTGATACCTCGGTCTTGCTTCCTTGTCATTGGAGAAGTGAATGGGGTTTATTACCTCACCTTAAGAAAATAGAAACAGGCAGACTTGTAGACAATCTCTGTATCTACAGTGTAGGATTTAAAGAATCTCCATTTCTACTCACCAGGGACCACCTCTGTGTGTCCTTTTAATCAAGAGTGTGAACATCATTTCCATACATACAGTGTCCCAGTAAAATACACACAGTCAGGTAGGCGGATGTTGATGTCATTTGCAAACATTAACCAGGACCCCTGTACTGGTATCTTTCAAGTTGTAATGTTCAAAACGTTCCCCCAGTGCCCACTGGGCTGTTTTTGTTACTCACACTGGCAAAGAGTTTTAAAGGACACCGGATGACACACTTTTCTGTATGTGTGTCACGTATGTACTAATTTTTATAACTATGGAATCATATCACTTGGCCACCTGCTCTTCTATTTGCTGTTTCACCATGAACATTTTGCCATATTCTGGGGGTAGATTTAAGTGCCTTGAAATACTTTCCTTTGGACATTTCGGTTTCTGGAATGGTCTCACCTGGCCTCATGGACAGTGTCATCACCAGTTGAAATCGCAGTGAGTTTTCTTTCTCCTTGGAGAAAAGGAGAAGGAGAAGCCATTCCCATAGGGGAAGCCCGCCCTTCAGTCCACAGGCACAGACATGCTCAGGTCGTCCCCACAGACCTCGGGACACTGGGCAGGCAGACAGACAAAATCCCACAAGCTGAGTCTTAAGAATCGTTTCACTTTTCCGGCAGTGTCTCTTGCAGGCAAAGCTGCCTCTGCCTCTCTTGGAGGAGGAAAGCCAGTGTCTCCTACTCGTGCAGCCCGGGCCCCACGCAGCCGGCAGGTGTCTTTGGAGAGCCTGTCCCCAAACCTGCCATTGCTGTCATGAGCCTGCCCTTTTCTGTGGCTGCAGACAGGCCCCAGAGCCAGGTGGAAGCCACCGAACTGTTGTATGGAGTGGGTGTGCCGTGCTTTCTTTAAATGTAACGATAGCAGATTTGGGGCTTCCCGTGCCCTGCGTTCCTCCCCGTGCCCTGCGTTCCTCCCCGTCCTGGGGCCGGGGGGAGAGCGCCCTCCCTCCCGGGGCTGTCTCCTCCTCCTCCTCTGGCCAGGTCCAGTCACACGGCATCGTGGAGGGAGGAGATGAGGCCAGGTGCTTGGGCGCTCCGCAGTGCGGAGACTCCGTGGGGCTTTCTGTGCAGGAACTGTTCTGCGGTTTTTATGGTGGAAAAGAAAATACATCAGCACAGTAATCTGTCCTTTTGCTATCTTTTGTAAAAACTGTTTTTGAGGCATGACACACAAACTGCCTTTGGGTGGTCTCAGGATCTCACATGCAGTTATAGCGCTGGGGGAGTGTTCATGTCAAGGCCCATGCCCTGAGCGTGCCAGAATTCTGAAGCAGGCTTGCCATAAGTAGCAGGGCCCTGTGTCCTCCAGAGAAGGAGGGCAGTTTTGGCTAAAGTTGACATAAAGGAAGCACATGGTTTGTTAGGACTTGGCTGTGCGGGTTATCACTTGGGTCTCCAGGCTGGTCAGGTGTCTCTGCCCGGGCGCGAGCCAGCAGTGTATGTGGGGAAGTGGCACAGGTGCTGCCATCTGGAAGACACAGGGGTTCCAGGAGTGTGGCGGGGGTGTGGCTGGCTGTGCCCGGCGCTGCGGCCCGCCCCTCCGCCTCGCTGACCCCGAGGCCTGGTTTTGGTCAGCATGCTGAGAGCAGGTCAGTCTGTCAGAGAGGCCCCCAGAGCCAAGCTCTCAGGCCGTCCTGTAAACCAGCCGGCCGGAGGGGGCGGGGGCGCTCCTGTGCAGCCCCCTGCGGGGCTAAGAAGCCGAGTGCACCAGGGCTCCCTGCGCCCCTGCTCCGGGCCCTGAGCGCTTGGCTCCGCCCTCTCTACCCCATCCAAGCTTCTTCCCACTTCTCCCTGCGCCTTTCTGGCTGAGGTCTCTGAGGAAGGGTGTCGGTCTGCAGGGATTCCCGCTGCCTGCATGACAGTCCCCCTGGAGGCCAGTCGCCTGGTGGGAGTTTGCATTATTCCTGATTCGGGGGCCCCCACCGGACACCGACAAATGAGGAGTCGTGTCTGCTGGCGTGGAGTTCGTGTGCTTTAGCCCCAGCGAGCAGCCCTTCAGAGACTTGAGGGGTGTCCAGGTCCTGGGCCAAATGTGCCCTCTGTGACCCGCCCTGCCGGCCAGGCAGCAGTCAGTGATCCCGTGACTGGAGAAAGAAGAGAGCGCAGCCAACTGCAAGGGCTGTCTCTGCGAGAGCCCCACGCTGTCCCCTGACCCTGTCTTGTGTTGCAGTTTGTGACCAGCTGCTCCAGGCCCCCGCTCCTGGGATTCGCCTACCTCAAGCCTCCTTTCTCCATTCGCTGTGTCGAAGTGTCAGATGACCAGGTACCACTGCTGGGGGGGCAGGGGCGCTGTCTGCCAGGCCCGCCCCCGCAGGGCAGGCAGCTGGGCTCCTTGGAGCCAGGGAGGAGGGTCCCGCAGGTCTCCAGCAGCCGGGGCAGCAGGCTGGCCCTGCCTTCTCAGCTCCCTCGGTCCCTTTTTCATCCCTGCCTTGGGGAGGAGTGGCTAGGGGCGTTTGAGCAGCTGCTGGTCTGGCCAGTGTGGAAGGGAGGGGTGAGGACGTGGGCCTGGGGACTGAACAGGCACTGGCTCGAATGCCAAACCCTCCACCTGCTGGCGCACACCTGGGCAGCTGCTTCGGTCCATCGTTTCAAAGGGTTAACCCTGCCGCAGAGTTATCATGCTCTGTGGGGCTCGTGCTCAAATAGTAGCCCCTGTTAAAACTGCCTCCCCCCCCCACCAACAGCCTAGCGGCCTCCGCGTGTCCCTGCATTTCAGGAGGCTGCAGCCTGGGATCCAGGTCCCTCCCCTTGTGGGACACTTAATCTGGGAAGGCTGTCCACATTGCAGTCTGCTGCAGGCCACCGCACTGGCAAGGTCAGAGGGCGTTGTCAGGCAGCACTCAGAAATGTTTTGAGACCTATGTGTTTCGACAGTATTTTGGCTCTGAAAGTTGGTTACTTGATAGTTAATGATTAACCAGAAGACCCATTTCCTAGGGCACACTTGATAAAAGGTTCCCCTGTGCGGGGCCCGAGGACCCAGGGTTGCTCCGGTGCACTCCCTTCTTGGGGCTCGTCCTCGGTCTGGGGGCCGGCCTGGGCAGTGGGGTGTGCGCTCACAGGCCCAGCCACTCCCGGGCGGTGCGCCACACTCAGCTCACGCCCACGTGCTCGCCAGGGCCTCGCCCCAAGCCTCCTGTTTTGGCGCCTGCCCAGGCTCCCGTGCCAGGCATCTCCCAACCTGAGGCTGTGATGTGTGCTTACAGGACACCGGGGACACCCTGGGCAGCGTCCTCCGGGGCTTCTTCACCATCCGCAAGCGGGAGCCAGGTGGCCGTCTGCCCACCTCCTCCACCTGCTTCAACCTGCTCAAGCTGCCCAACTACAGCAAGAAAAGCGTCCTCCGGGAGAAGCTGCGCTACGCCATCAGCATGAACACGGGCTTCGAGCTGTCCTAGCTCCCAGTCGTGGCTGCCTGCCCTCACAGACGCCTGGCCTACCAGGGACCTTCAGCTCTAGGCGGCGGCGTTCCCCTGAGAGTGTGGGTGGCAGTGGCCCCCAGATCCTCTCTGTAGCCATGAGACTCCCCTGTGGCCTCAAGAACTTTGGACACACATGGTGACTCTGCACAACATTCTCCAGGTGACACTAACGGGAAGTGGGTGTCGGAAATAAACCGCCAGGTTCCGCCAGCATTGGTCTTTTCCTACATCCCGGTGGCCTGAAGCCCAGGTCTGTGATTGCAGAAGGGCCTCTCTTTTTGATAGTTTGGTCTTTGTGTGAGTCTCTCTTTCCTTAACGTTCTGAGTGAGCTGTGTGTGAACCAGGCCCAGGCACGCCAAGGCTCCAGAGAGGTTTTCGTGACATGGGCCTGAGGGACAAAGCCTAGTATGTGTGAGACGCTCTCCTTCCGTTTCTGAAAACTACTCAGGTAAGGCCTTGCCAAGCCTCTATGCACCCAGCACAGCCTCTGCCTCCACCCCGTCCCCAGCAGCCTCTCTCCAGACAGCCAAGTCCACCTGCTCCCCAGGGAAGCCGAGGAGCCTGCTGGGAGGTCAGGAGCACAGGAAGTTCGGGGCTGCTCCCCCGGGAAGCCACGTGGCAGCCCCCCCTGCAGCCCTCGCCTCAGAGGCTCTGGGTCCCCCGCAGGCCGGGCTGCCGGGGAGCTCCACTGGCTCGCCTCTGCGTTCACACAGGCGCCCTGGGTTTGCCGGGAGAAACCTCTTGGCTCACAGAGCAGCTCCACTTCTCGAAGGCGTGGGCTGTGGCCCGGAGCCTGCAGATCCCAAGGAGCAGCTGCCTTTCTCCTGCTCGTTTGCCCGCTCGTTATGTAGGCAGGAACAAACATGAGCTGACGGTAGCTGTCCCATCAGCCATAGATTGTAAAAATCCCAAGAAACTTGGGTCTCGCGCCCGTCCTTCTTCAGCACAGGGACCCCGGGAGCCCTTTGCACTGACTCAGCTCACGAGGCTCAGGAAACTCATGGCCCTCTGGGTTGGTTTTCTTTGTTGTGGTTTTTTTTGTTGTTTTTTCATTTTCTCTTTCAACCCATTGCGCTCCTCTGTCCTCATTCTTCATCTTTACCACGAGAACTTGACTCTAGATCCAGGGAATCGAGGCAAAGGCCGTGTTCATGGTCTGTGTTGACAACCATCCACCCTCGCCCACCTCATCACACCTTTCAGCCTCCCCACCAGGAGACTGAGCCAGACAGGAGCCAGGGGTGCCGGTCCCTCCTCCGCTCTATGGAGCGTCTCTCTCCCAAGCAGCAGAACGCCTTCCAGCCAGAACCTTCCTGTTGGCACAAAGTGGGCAGGCCCTGTCCCTGGGGCGCCTGTCAGAGGGCTCTGGCCGGGTGCCAGTGTCCAGTCCGCACCCAGGCCTGGCCGCGGGAGCGCCCCTGCTTCTGGAGAACAGGCTGTGTGTTATTTTGATGAAAAGACAGGAATTTATTATTTAAGATTTATTAGTAACCTCTGATTCTGTGGATTTGTTACTTTCTGTAAAAGCTCAATTCCTATGAAGATCTCTTCTGCGCATGTATGTGTACACCGAGCAGGTTTGTACATTTGTGCTGGGGCCTATGGCATTGTCAACCTGCACAAAGAAATGCGATCCCATCTTGATTATCACCTGAGAACCGTATGTGGGATTGGGGAGAGGGTGGTTTCGAAGCACCGACATCAACTTTGTTTTTGTTTTTTTGACAAGGAGGGGTAGTTTGTAATTTCATTTAAATTCTCTTCAACAGCTGGAAATATTGCACTATCTAAAACACTAAATCTGTACTTTCATAGCTGGTGTTCAGTGACACCCCGATGGCTCTTGATGGCTCTAAAAGTTGTGGGTTTTTGTGTTCACAGATAACTTATGAACTAAAACGTGATCAAAGGCTTTATTAAATTTGTACTTCAGCACATGATGGCTTTGTCCTGCTTTTTACCTGAAGGAGCGCTTTCCCACCACGTGCCTGGATAGCTCCAGGCGGGGCGGCCAGGGCATACGCAGTAAGCGGGCTCCCGCAGCGGAAGGAAGGCACAGAGGATAACGCGGCAGCTCCGAGCCCCGCTGCCTACCCAGAGTTGGGAGCGGCCGACGGTGTGTCACGCTGGCTTCCGATTTTGTCGTAAGAAGCCGCGCATTTCAGGTAGAGCTCAAGTCGCCTCTGTGCCGTCCACGCTCCCGCCCCGTCACCCACGTCCCAGAAGCAGCCATAGGCCCGCATTGCACATTTTAGGAAGTCGTGTCTAAAGGTGATAGAGGGACTGGTGAAAAAGAATCCAGACAATTCAGAAGTGTATGAAGTCAAGTCCGGACACACTCGGCTCTCCTCCGGTAGTGAGGATCGGACTTGCGGAACGCACAGCCCTGTCTCATTCTGTTAAACACACCAGCATTATACTCAGCAGAAAATCCATCTCAAAACTGCCCGTTTTTCCATCTCCGCCTTGGATGGCTTTTCCCCTCATCTGGGGGTTCTTGGTGCCTCCTCCCCTGGCCTGCGGGCACCTGGGGGTCAGAGCAGGACACTGGCCTGTCAAAATGCAGGGATCCAGGACAGAAGTGTTGGGAGCCTGACAGGCCCTTTTATAACAGTTGGAACCCAGCCTGGGCGCCCAAGAGGAATTCATGCACCGCAGTCCTCACGTGGAGCGTCCACACTGCCAAAGGGGGAAGTACAGCAGAGTCCCCGAATCATGGGCAGCCTCCAGGCTGAGACATGCCCACCTAAAAATCTAAAGCCTTACCCTGTGACATTTTGGCTATTAATTACAAGCTATCGCTCCGAAGATAAAATTTATAACTATGAAAAAAATAATTAAAATGACAATTTTTTAACACAGTGACAACTTGCAAGGGCCTTGAAATGTTTAGGTGGAGCACAGCTGGAGACACACTGGTGTCTGCTGTTCTGTCTGCACTAACGCTATGGGCCTGCCTTTGTCCTGTTAACTTAGCAGATGTCACATGCTAGAAGTGTGTGATAGCCAGAAGTGCATACGGCCAGATAAATTATCTCTTAAGTTTGGTTAATGTGTAGATCCAGGCCTCCCTTAGGCCGCAGACTTATTTCCTGGAACTTACTAAATTGGTAACAGTGACTGAGGAACTGCGGAACGTAGGTCGTTCAGTGCACTGGGCACCTGTACCGGACATCAGGGTCCAAGATCCTTTCCCAACAGGGACTGGCCCCTCTGACTCCCCACAACCTGCTCATGCCCCACCCAGGGACACTGGCCAGGGAAGGGAGCATTACCCTGCATGGGACAGAGAGGGGCCGCGTGGAGTCTGCTGTGCAGCCTGGATGGCTTTGTCACTATCACAGATGGTGCCAGATGGGCCTGGCAGCTGGCAGGTGTCCCAGCCAGGAGCTGGCCCGGGAAGCCAGACTGCCAGGAAGTTGAGGCTCACATCCATTCATCCAGTAAATAGACGTGCGGGAGCTACCTATGCTCCAGGCTGGACCGGGAGCTGGGGGCACAGGCGGGAGGAACACGGGCACCGCCCTGCCCTACAGAGAGCTCACCACGGCTGGGGGGTGGGGGTGGGTAGGGGAGGAGGTAGAACTAATCCAAGGAGATCTATGATCACGTACTGATCACTTGCCCCCTGTGCTTAGTGCCATGCTGTTAGGGCAGTCACTTCATAGCTGGGAAAACTAAAGTTCCCAGATGGTAAGCCCCTTATCCAAGGCCCCAGAGTCGGTACACGGAGAGCCAAGATCTGCACCCTGGTCTGCACATTCCAGAGCCTTCCCCAGCACTCAGAGCTGGGAGAGCCTTCCAGGCAAAGGGGCCAACCGCGAGCAAAGCCGCAGAGGCTGCTCTGTCCCCTGACCAGAGCCCGCTGCACGTGCCGCTCATCCTGTCCCACTGCACCCACTTGGCTAACAAGGCCCTGCAGCATTTTTAAGGACTTGTCGAGGACCCCAGAGCTCTTGTCTCCCCCAGTCCTGGCGAAGCCAGGAAAGGTGACAATCTGCAGGACAGCACGGCTCCCCGGCTACAGAGCCAAAAGCAGAGGTTTGGGGGTCGGGTACCTGAGCAAAAGATGGCCCGCTCTGCTTTATCGCCACCCCCCCCCAACCTTGTCGAAGCTCCACAGGTGGAAGAAGGCTGCAGGAGTTTTGGGACCCCCACCACTTCCTTAGCTCAGCACTTCTGTCCCAACAAGCCACAGCCCCTCCCTCTCCGCACCACTGAGGCTGAAACCCAAGTGGGACAAGATCCTTCAGGAACTGCTCCTTCGTGCCTCTGGGTACGTGAGCCATCCGGGACTGCCATGTCTTCTTTAGGAAGGCCTTGACCCTTGGCCCCCAAACTGTCTTAATCATGACAGTGAACTTGGCACTGCTTCCACAGCAATGGCCAGAGTTCTTGGTCATCCCTCCTGTTTCGCTGTAACCGTGGCCCCAGGTGAAAAAGCTGGGTGGCCTGTCCCCAGTGTTCACACTGATGCTGGAAGGTTGGAAGCTGCCCACCTCCAACCACCATCAGCTGGGGTTCCTGAGCTGTAAGCTGTCGAAGCCGGTTGTACTTCATGTGGACAGGATAGGAATTTGCTAGCAGGTACTGAGCACCGGAGGGCCAGGCCTGAGGCAGAACTGAATGCCAAGCATCCTTGAAACCTGCAAAGAGCTGGTGTGATGGACACCAAGTGACCATGTTCAGGCTGCCTGGGGGCAACACTCACGATAGCCAGCAGTCTCCAGCAGAACCCACACAGGGTGCGTTCTCTGGGCGTCTAGACTTCGGAGAGCTTTGGCTCCGGGAGGACACTCCTCTTGGCCCCAAATATCCCAAGGGAGGCAGATGATTTATCACAGGCAGGGAAAGCACTTGTGAGTTTCTTTTCTCTGTTTTACCAATGTTTATTACACAAATAAGCCTTTGTCAAATCCAACCCGAACTTACTGTTTAAAAAACATGGAAAATACAAACAAAAAATGAAAATTAAAACACCCTCTAACCCCATGATTTAGAGATAAGTATTATTAACATATGGAATGGCTCCATGTGTTTTTTCCTGTGGTATATACACACATATATCTCTTTTACAGGATTTGGATCCATTATGTACCATTTAAATTTTTTTAATTGTTCAATTATGGTTGTCCCCATTTTCCCCCCATTACTCTCCCCTGCCCCGCCCACCCCCACCTCCCACCTCCACCTCCCACATTCAATCCTCACCCTGCCCATTGTCTTTTTATAACGTGGTGTTTTCTTTTTGTTACGATTTTATTTATTTATTTTTAGAGAGAGGGTAAGGGAGGGAGAAAGAGAGAGAGAAACAGACATGTGAGAGAAACATTGATCACTTGCTCTCCCCACACCTCAAACAGGGACCTGACCCACAACCCAGGAAAGTGACCCAACCAGGAATCAAACCTGTGACCTTTTGGTTTGCAGGATGATGCCCAATCCACTGAGCCACACCAGTCAGAGCTAACTTTGGTGTTTCTTTTTTTACTTGATAGTTTATGAACAGTTTTCCATAGTGATAAATCTATAGGTACCATCATTTTCAGTAGCTTTATGATATTTCCTATAGTCCCTTATTGTTAAATATTTTACTTAATAATTAGCTCTTTATTGTTAGACAATTGTTCCAGAATTTTCACTGTAATGAGCAGCACCGCACTGAAAATTTTAAAAAATCTTAATGGCTCCACCGACATATCTATTTCCTTTGGAGAAATTCTCAGTCGTGGAAATGCTGGCCCGTAAGGATGCACGTTTCTAGGACTTGCGTCTGCATTGCCAGATTGCCCTCCTGCAAGGTCGTACCTACCTCCAATCCCCCCAGCAGCCGAGAATCAACGTTTCCCTCTCGCAGCTGAAGTCTGCGGGCGGAGAGTGTCAGGCTTGGAACCCTCTCCAGCTGCCGGTCCTGTGGCAGGACCCCTGGGGGCCGTCTGCATCACATTCCTCCTCTCCCAGTCCCCAACCCAAAGTCCCCTGACAGAGCCCATTGCCAGGTGGGGGCAGGATCCCAATGCCACCTGGCGTGGTCACTGGCAGACCCTAACCTGCGTTCCCACGCAGGCACCTGGATGTCTTTTCCCGAGGCCTGCCGCCCACACCTGTGACGGGACAGCGAGCTTCTGAGTTATCATCCGCCTTATTTCCCTCTACAGCTCCTACAGAGTTAACAGATGTACGCACGTCGGAGGCAGTCATGCGGCAAGAGACTTTGGGGCCAATCCTTCCCGTTTTGACAGTGTGTAATCGAGGTGAAGCCATAAATTTTATAAACAAGAATAAACGACCCTTAGCAACATATGTCTGTTCGACCCTTCCAAGGTGATCGTAAATAAAGGCACCTGCTCTTTGGGGAGGGCTGTGGGCTGAAGGGTTCATGCGTTGGGAGCCTCCAGTGGGGAGAGGTCCCCCAGCCACCCCGAGGTCCTGAGTCAGCTGGATGCCCTTCTGCCATTTATCGGGTCAGTTCTGGCTGCCCCCGCCCCTGTGTCCCCTGAACCGACACCTGCCTCTCACCCCTCGGCAGAGAGGTGGCGTGTAGCGGGGACACGAGGGTCCTCTGGGGTTTGTGGTGCCTTCTCCCCTGCCCCACCTACTTGTCAATCACGTCCTCATCACCACTGTCCCTAGATGGCCACCCCTGTGGGAATCTGAAGACCAGTGTCCTTGTCCTGGCTCTGCTGCCGCCGACAGGGAGATGTCGTGAAGTCTGCATCTCTGTGCAGGGGTAAGTGCTGGAGGTAGACAGACTTGAGTTCAAATCCAAGTTTGGCTTCTTTCCCACTGTGGGACATGGGCCAAGGTGTCGTCTCCCTCTGCCTCAGTTTCTGCAGCTGAAACAGATTCTGATACCCATCCGATGGGGTTGCTGTGGGAGTAAATGCTAACTAAGTGCACGTGGAGGTTGCCCCCACGTTGCCATGGTGATGCGGTTTCAACATTGAACGTCAGTGAGTTATGACATCGTTATAACCATCATTAGCCTCCCAGTGGGTGCTGTGTGGTCCTGAGCAAGACTTCACCCCCCTGAACCTCAGTTTCCTCACCTGTGAAATGGGGAGAACTTTATGTACCTCATAGGGTTCTGAGAACTAAGGAGATGTAAAAAGCCTGGCATCGTGGCACCGCTGAGCATGTAGCTTCGTGTTGAGTAAATGCTAGCCATGGGGTTTGGAGGCACAGGGCCCGGATTTAAAGCCTAGCTCTCCCTCCCAGAGACATGTGGCCTTGAGCAAGTCATTTCTCCTCTCTGGGCCTCAGTTTTCTCATCTGTAAGTTGGGGATGATAATAACTGTACCACCGTTATGGGCTGTTGAAAGAATAAAATGAGCTATTACTGCATGTGAGGTGCTTAGCAAGACGCCTGGACCCAGCCAGTGGTCAAATTGTGGTCATTACTAACATTTACTTACTAATTTCTCCTCTCTCAGCCTCAGTGCCCTCATCTGTAAAATGAGGCAATGACCTGAGATCCCTTCCAGCTCTCATACTCTGTGACCGTCACCTCTCCCTTTCCCTTTGGCACGGAGTGCCTAGAGCCATGGCCACCTGTCTGACTGGGACCCTCCGGAGGCCCCTGGCCTCCCCTGCCCTCAGCAAGTCTAGATGAGCCAGAGGCACTGCTCAGTGGCCCTCCAGGCTTCACCTGGGCCTGAGCTATTCAAAGTGCTTTGAAAAGGATAAAATGTGATTCAACAATAGCTACTTTTTTTTTGGAGCTGCTACCATGTGCCAGGCCTGTCGACTTATTCCCTGAACCCTTGGAAGCTGATATCATCACCAGTTATAAGAGGTGAGGATTGAAGCTCAGAGTGGTTAAACAATTCACTCAAGGTGACTCAGCAAAGAAGTGGCAGGGCCAGAACTTGAATTTTAATGATGATAGTAATAATAAACAACAATAATAATAGCCATTCACTTATGCCAGGGGGTGTGCCAAGCCCCTTTAAATACTGCCTCATCGAGCTTTCCCAGGGGCCTTATTGGGTGGATATTACAGCAGTCCCCCCTTATCTGCGGTTTTGCCTTCCATGGTTTCAGTTACTCATGATCCAAAAACATGAAATGGAAAATTCCAGCTATAATTCACAAATTATAAATCGCACGTCATTCTGAGCAGCGTGATGAAACCGTGTGCCACCTCTCTCTGTCCCGCCTGGGACATGAATCAGCCTTTTGTCCAGCATTGCGCACACCGCGGACACTCCCTGCCCATTAGTCACTTAGTAGGCATCTCCATTATCAGGGAGAAGGAGACAGAGAGACCGCATTCACATCCCTTTTATTGCAGTATATTACTGTAACTCTTCTTTTATTAGTCATTATCAATCTCTTACTGTGCCTAATTTATAAATTAACCTTCATTATAAATACGTGTGCATAGAAAAAAAACATGGCACACGTAAGGCTCGGTACAACCGTGGTTTCAGGCACCCCTGGGGGCCTTGGCACCCATCTCCATGGATAAGGGGGACAACTGTATTATCATTCCCACTTTCCAGATGAAGCAGCAGGCCCAAGAAAGATGGGACGACCTGCCCCGAGTCACGAAGCTAGGAAGGGACGGAACTAGTCTTGAACTGCCTGAGGCTGTTGTTCACTGCTCTGCAGTCTTATAAGCATCGAAGGTCATCCAACCGCCTCCCCTGCCAGCCCCAAATGCTCCCCTCTCACTTCAAGGCCAGGGCAGGCAGCCTTGTGAGCCTGATTCGCTCTTGAAGAGGGGGCTCCCCTGGTTATTCTAGAACACGGATTCTTATCTAGGGCTTCCATGGACTTCCTCCCATGGTGCGCAAACTGTGGGCACGTGTGTGCATCTCTCCAGGGAGAGTGTAGCCTTCATTAGAAGTTTTGGATTTTGTGGAGTGGGAGGACACAAGGGACATCCCCAAAGTTCCTGGGTGTCCCTGGCCTGCCCGTTCCTTGTCTCTGCTTGGGCTCGACCACTGTCTTCCCTGAGGGACTCCCAGTGGGCAAGCCTGGGGTCCGTCTTGCCAGTGAGAAGACAAGCAATGGGCCAAGGCAAATCAAAGATGCGCCCCGGTTGGGCTGCAAAGGCGAATTTGGCTCCCTTGGTGAGGAAGGCTGGGCCAGCCTGGGTCCCGTCTTGCCAGTGAGATTCCCGGGCCTGATGTGAGGGGAGAGGGGTCCACAAACCCTCCCCGGCACTGACTTATGCAGCATTCATGCAGAATTTATTATATGAAGAATTTTATTCAATTAAACTTGAAATGCATCTGGATTCTTAAAGGTTCAGCAGTGATAACCGGGACAGGGGGATCATAAAACTGGATGGGCTGTCGGAGGAAGGTGTCGGGGAGGAGGCGAGGGTGACATTGCACCTGATGGGGGATTCGGGACCGGAGACGTTTGTCATCGGGATGTGTTACAAGTTCAGGCGGTGAAAATTACTCAGTGATAAATGCGCATTAACAATAGCCATGAAAAATATCAGTTAAGGGAAACTAGGTTGAGAAATGAGACAGCAGAATCTATTAGTGCCTGACATTGTTCTTGGCAGCCATGATTAAAACGGCTGTCACGTGGCGGTTGGGGGGAGGCCAGGAGCACTGGGTCGGGAGTCACAAGGCCACATCCTGGGCCCACGTTTTGGTGCCGACTCCCCGAGACAAGTGGGTTCCTCTCCCCTGAGCTTCAGTCTCCTCGCCTATAAAGCAAGAGTAGATGGACAGAGCCCCCTTTAAGGCTGCGGTGAGGCTCAGGGCCTGGCCGGGACAGGTGGGTCTCTCCGATGGGCTGTCCACCCACCAGCTCACGTCCAAGGACGGTACTAAATGCGTTCCTGGGAGCTGGGCTGGAACTGGGGTGAGGCAGGGAGACGCTTTCTTGGGGACAAAATGTATGGCAGTGCCGAAAACCCCAGTAAGCAAGTAATATTTTCACGCAATATTTTAAAAAATTATGCAAAAACAAAAGAAGTATGATCAACAAGGTACCAGTTTTAAATAAGCCTGCGCTCCTCTACTAGCCCTGCTTTACTGGGCAATGGGGACAATCATTCATGAGGGCTGACAGTGGTGTGCAAACAGCCGGCGACATGGGGCTTTCTGTAGAGTCACTAACTGCGTCGCTCTCACGAACTCTTCCGACTGGGGGTGAGACCAGGCAGGGCATCTCGATAAGTGTGTGCAAGGTGTACTTTTGCCTATTGCCTCTGGCTCCAATATGGCCTCGTAAGGCACTGCAGGTGTGTAGAGGTTTCAAGCCACCCCATCCTCCAAGCCCCCAGGGCAGAATTCCTGCTTCTCCCAGGTTGGTGGCGCAGGGCGCACCTCCAGAGATGCCAAGTGCTGGTTCTCGGGGAACATTTGCTGATGGAGGGCAGATACGGAGGGTGTCCTGGGAACCCAGGTTAACATCTGGCCTGTGACAGTCCCTCCCAGCAAGGGCCAATGGGGACAGGATTTGGTAACAGGCAAACCGCCTTGTTCCAAGAGTGTCACTTTAGGATGTTGTATTTACTCAGAGGGCTTCTCTTGTCCTTTGCGGGGTTTGTTTCGCCATGGCTAGGAACGCGATGCGGGACTGTTGCTTTACTATACCCGTCCTGCTCCTTCCCGGAAGGTTTTGAGGAGCGGGCAGGACTGAGGGCAATGAGCTGTTTGCGGCACGCTCTTCGAACAAAATCCTCCGCGGCACAGCCTGATGCCTGCATGGTGGGGCAGTGGACCACCGCAGGTCTCACGGGAAATGTTCATGCTTTTACTGTTCTCAGTTCTGCTCACAAACACTGCGCACCTGCTATGTACCAGACCTGGCGCGTGCTGCTGGGCCCCAAGGAGAGCCAGATGGGGCTGTGTCTGGGAGACCTTTCACTTTAACTTATGGTGCGGCCACCGCAGCCTGCTGGGAGCAAAAAGACCCAGGAGGGACAGCGTGTGCCTGTTCCTCCAGCAAAATTAGCAGGCGACGTGGTGAGAAGGAAAGCAAATGAAAGCAAAAACATGCACGTGATGGACGGTTTTCACACCAGCTGATATGCCAGCAAAAAGGACTGCGGAGTGACCAGCCTTCCTGAGCCTCGCTAGTGCCTCACACTAAGCAGGCAGTCGGGAGAAAAAGGATGGCTGCCTGGAGTTCACCGGGCAGTTCGGCCGACAGTGAGCAAGAGCCTGCCTTTCTGAAGTCATTTCCTACAATTAGCAGCATGGGACCTTCAGGGTCTCAGGGCCGCCTCCGCGCACTTCATAAATATCCCCCTTCCCAAGGACACAGCTGGCACCCGCAGCGTCGTTTCATAGCAGGAGGGAGCAGAGGTGACAAGTGAAATAAAATACAGCCGTGGCACGGATCTCAGGCGTAAACCAGCCAAGTGCAGCACCAGGGAAGTAAGGTTCGTCTGTGCTGGCCTCGCTGGAAACTGAAGGTCCTGCTCTCTCTCTCTCAGGCTGACGATGTCCCACCTCAGCCTCTTGCCACCATCTGCCTGGGCAGGACAAGCCCTCCTTTAAGTGGCGGGGCTTCTCTGTCCAGGGCCCCCCTCTGAGAGGGTTCTCCAGGCTGCACCCGCGCCGCGCACGCCACGCAAAGTGCTTCTGAGGCCCCACCTGTCAATCTGCCGCTGTCCTTCCCCCACGTTTAGGCGGTGATGGGTGGCTCAGAGCTGACTCAACTTGCAGATCCTGTTTGTCTTCCCCTTTATAAATGTGACATTTGAAGACCCTTTGGCTCAAGTAAGTCACAATGACATGTCCAAGGGCCTTGGGTCCCACTCCAAACCCTTGAACAAGCCAAGCTGGCCGTGGACGTGCCCCGCCCCCCCCCCCCCCGCCAACCACCCTCTCTCTCTCTCACGCACACTCAGTTCAAACCTTCCCCACCTTTATTCTTTTTTCTGTGCAGCTCCTTCTCATTACAACAATCACTTTACCTTTCTTTTCTGCAATACTGAATTCAAGCCCACTCCCTCTGAGACCAAGGCGAGCCCGCGGGTGGGGGGTGCAGAATTCTCCAGCAGCCACAGCTCCTTGAGGGAAGTGGCAGGGGGTCTGAAAGGCAGCTGAGTTTGGACAAAAGGCCAGCTTCCAGCCCCTCTGGGTGAGATCGTCAGGAACCAGGACACAAAGGGCAAACTCTTTTCCCTGTGAGTCACCATCAAAGGGTTTACAAGGCTCCCCCTTTCCATTATTTCCAAGTGCCTCAGATTCAGTCCGACGGGTCATTTTTCTTGTATATTTTTTCTTGGTTCCCCTCCTTCATGGCTGCATATCTGGCTAACGTGAAGAGATAGTCGCTGAGTCTGGAGGGGCAGAGAGAAGCAGACAGAATGATCTGAAAGGAGCAATCAATGCTAACTGGGTCCTTCCCATATTAGCCTTCAAGGAGGAAATATAAATCACGTGGCCCCATGAGCATCGGGTGGGACAATAAGCAGCAGCCAACTGGGGCGTGATGGATGGCACTTGGAGCCAGCTTCCATGAGAACAAGGCGGGGCCTCTGGCCCCAGTACTGGGTGGTTCCTACAGGACAAGGACACCACTCCTCCTGAGACTGGAGAACACTCCTCCCAAGACCAGAGAACGAGTAGCTTAAACCACCCTCATCAGGGAGGCAGATAACAGAGCCCCAGCGGGTGCCACGAGCGGGCCAAACCCCAGAATGGATGAAGTCAGGGGAATGAATAACAAAAAAGCCCAATTAGAACCAGGCAAATCCAAGACACAAGCAAAGCTGACCAGAGAATGATCCCAAACTCCCATTCACTCATTTTGACACATCATATGGGAGGACACACCCGGAAAGCTGTTGATATTCTGTTGAGACCCTCCCCGGAGACCCCCCCGCTAAAATGCCTGCCTTTAGAAAACAGATAAAAACCCTTAAGACAAAGGATGCCAGCCCCCTCTTCCTCAGGCATGTACTTTCGCTTGCTTTCTCCTAAGCTGGAAGGGCCCCCACAGCACTTGCAACCAGAGGAGCAGCGGGCGGCGGCAGCTCCTCCGGGGCTCACCCCTGCACCCATCTCTAAGGGCTCTCCTTTGCCTCTGTAACTTGTTTCCTGCGTCCACACAGCCCAGCGTGGCTCACTTCTGCTACTGCAACTTCCTTTCCCAAGCCCATGCAGCCCCGCCTGGGCTCGCTCCTCTCGCTGTGACCTTGCCTCTTCTGTCCTAAGCCTTTCCTTTGTTCCACTGTCCCCAGCTTTAACAAATGTCCTCTCAAAATTACCTGGAAAATCTCTCCCACGTGAAGTCAAGGCCCCACACATTCCGGACCACGCTGGGGCAGACCCGCCTTAGCCTGGGTCCCTTTCCAGCGACAAGGGCTCCCCCAAGGAGTCGCTGCTGCGACCATGAATGCAACATTCCTCACCCCGCTGAGGCCCACTCCCCTCACAGGAGGGAAGGAGTTGGTCAGGAACCATCGAAGTCTAGGCCATGTCCCTGTGGGAGGGGTGACCACAACAAGGGGCCAGATCCTGGCTGTGAGGCCACTTTCTGGACACGCAGGACAGCTCCCAGGGATCCCCAGCTCTTGGCCTGCCCCAGGGCACTGGCCTTGCCCGCACTAAAACTGCATGAGCCCAGGCCGGAGTGGAACCCAGGGGAGCAGGCCTTGGGCAGCCGTGGCCCTGGCTGTGGACGCCAAGTGCGGGGCGATGGGGGCCCTCCCTGGGCCAGCCCGCTCACCAGGTCCCGGGCCGGGGTCCTGAGCCGGGTGGTCCTGAGCTCGCTGTGCCTGGCTGTCTCTTTAGAGCTCACACTGCTCAGGGGCCTTGCAGGGAGGGGACAGGATGTGAGAGGGTCTGACTCTGGCCGGGGCCCTGCCGTGACACATTTCAAGGTCTCCCTGGTTACCCAGCCTCAACGCTGGCACCTTGCTACTGCACTGTCCTCTTGTTCTGAAGTTTCTCTTTGCTGGTTTTTATAGCAGCCTCTCCCAACAAAATCTTTGCCTCACTGGGGATGGGACCGGCACCCGCCTTGTTTTCGGCTGCATCCTTGTGCCCGACACAGTGCCTGGCACACAGCACGTCCTCAGGGATACGAAGCGAATGAGTGAGGTTCATTCCATTGTTCCTACTTCCTGCACGCGTCTCATCTTTCAGAGAGAGATATCCAAGTTCCATCTAAGTACCTGTTTAAGAACTTGGCCACGTTTGCATCCGTCTCACCCATCTGGACAAGAGGCACCACCCTGGAAAGGGAGGATACATGGCATCACACGGGATGACCACACTGCAGGACCCAGGGCTGCATCCCAAGCCAGCGCGTCACAGCCGCTGCAGCTTGACCTGGTGTCCGTGCCAGTCTATGTGGACATTCTGAACAGGGGACTGCCGTCTGCCAGGCACCAACAATGGGGCAGGCCCTTCGTGCACGTCACCTCTGCCACATGACCCTTACCAGGAGACGCTGTCCCCAAAAAGAGGCTCTGGGGTTGGGTCCCCTGCCTGGGGGGGGATTTTTCTCCTGGTGGTGTCCCACATGCCCGTCTCCGGCCTGCTGAACCGCAGACCCATCCTCTGCTCGGCCGTTCCCCACGTCGGGCCCCTGGGTGGTCTCCAACTGTTTGCTACTATAAGCATGGCTGTGTGGATGGCTTTCTACAAATGACCACTTTTTTCTTTTGAAGCCAGAGCTCTTTCTGTTACCCAGAATCCCTTTAGGAACAAGGTGGGCCCAAGAGCCTTTCATGAAGGATGAAACCTTTATGATGTAGGGCTGTGGACAGAGCTTGGGTTTGGACCAGGCACCCCTGGACTCCACTCCACACTCCTGCCATGAACCACTCCGGGGACCCGGGCCCTAAAATCATCTCTCTGAGCCCCAATTTCCTGACAGCTGTAAAGTGGGAGCTGCCACCACCTCTCTCCCAGGCCCCTCATGAGGAATCGATGAAAGGATGAATATAGTGTCCGGCACAGCCTGGCTGCTGTATCAGAGTAAGGCTTTATTTCCATTTCTCTGTAAAGCTGAGGGGCAGCCTGGTCTAGGAAGGGTGTAAATGGAGATTTTGTAATAACTTTCAGTGTCACTGAAAAGGCTGTCAGTAGCTCTGGGGGTCCCTCCGCTCCTAGGCTCTGAGTTGAGGGGTCTGTTGAGGGCTTCTACCTGCACCCGACAGCCACGCGGGTCCTCTGGGCCCTTCTCTATCAGCAGGGGCCTTTCATGTCACTTTGTGGCCTAAATAAAACCCGTCAATGGCTTTCTGTCGCTCTCAGGACAAAGGCAGAGCCCTGAGGGCCTAGCGGGCCTGGCCTGGCGCAGCCTCTGGCCTCGCTGGGCCGCGTGCCCCTCGCTCTGGTTCCGGACACCGGGCCTCCCTCTGTCCTCTCGGTGCAGGCTGCTGCCTCTGCCCTCGCTGCCCCCTCGCCTGGACTCTCTGTCTCCCCCACCAACCCTTCAACTCTTGGCTCCCACAGCATGACTGAGAGAGAGGCTCCCTGTGCCCGGCCCGCGCCACCCGGCCCCGATCACAGGGTGGGCTCTGCAGTCATTTCCGCTCAGCTCAGGCTGCCCCCTTAAATTAGCCCCCAGGAACGGGGAGCTGGGGCGCAGGAGAGCATTTCACTGAATACCCTGTGGAATTTCACACCGTATTATAATAAATGACCAAATAAATCCACTAGGCCTCCCCCTCCCCCCGTAAGTGCTTGTTTCTCCACATGCTCTGATCTTGATGTGCACGACGTCACGTGTCATTTGTCTGGTCACAGGTCATCGTCTCCCCTGCACAATGCAGGGCTCTGACGGCAGAGGCTTGGTCTGGCCTGGCGTCCGCCTGGCCCCGTGAAGGAGCCAGGAGGCCTGCTGATGGGTGGTTGGGTGGCACGGAGGTCGCCCCGCTGGCCTGCCTCCTGCTCTGGCCAGGCCCCGGCTCCCTCTCCCCGGGCCCCTTACCGTCTCTCCGCTCGGCGACACACGGCCCGGCAGAAGTGCAGTGCGGAGCTGCTCTTGCCTCCCGACTGAAAGGGGAAAGTGAGCGTTGGCTGGAGCCGAGGGGTGGGCGGGTGCGTCCACTGCAACGGGGAGCAGCTCAGACAGACAGACAGGGAGGTGGCCCTGTCCCCAAGCAGGCAGTGCTCTGCAGGCAGGGTGCCCTGCCAGGGCCACCTACTGGCCCCCCACCCCCAGAATGGGCATGGCTGGGAGGGACCAGAGAGGGTCTCAGGGGACTTGGGGGAGAGCTCTGTCACTATAAGAAATTAAAGAGGGGGACATTCAATGCCCACATGGTGTTGTCAGGACACTTGGCCTGCCATGCCCCCACCCCCCTGCTGAGGCTCCCCGTACCTACAGGCAGAATGAAAGCCGTGAGAGGGGGCAGCTGACTAGAATATCTGTCGATCCACTGCTCCAGCTCCAGGATGGGGCCCGGGGCAAACGCCGTGTGTCCTGGGGAGTTGAGGAGAGGGCGTGGCCAGGAGGCCCACAGCAGCAGGATGGGCAAGGAGCCTCCCCCTGCTCCTGGGTCCCAAGGCTTTCTGGGCCACTTCCACTGTCTTGAGAGGCTCCTTCGCTCTCAGGGGCTGTGGGCCAAGCTGACAGGGTCCCAGGTGGCCCCCAGGAGAGCCCTCGCCCTCGGTTCCAGCCCCCGCAGGGCCCTCTGAATGCACACACGGCGGGTTTGGAAGGAATTACTTAAGTGAGCCTCCCTGGCCGAGGAGCGCGGTGTTGCCAGGGCGGAGCCGACGTCCTGCAGGGAGCACTGGATCTGGGGAGGCAACAGAGGGCGAGGATGAGGGCCTGTTGATGGGGGCCAAGTAGAGACCACGTGGTTCCCTGTGCAAAGGTGCAGCCTGGCTGAGCAGGCACGCAGGGGTAGGTCTGTTGGGGGCTGTCAGAACCTTTCGTTAGCTGGCATTTAAAGGCTAATTAGCAAACTCTGTCTGGACACCAGCCCTTTTGACAGGGGACCTGGCTCCCTTGGGGACAGCTGGGTTATGCTGGGTTACAAAGACAGGGAGCGTCAAGTGCCCAGCGATGGTCAAGAAGAATCTTCTCACCCCCATCCTCGACCCCCATGTGCCTGGGCCCGGTGAGGTTTCTTTCTTTTCTCTAAAGTGACAGCTTTGGTTTTCCAACCTGTAATAGTCGTGCCCCGAGACCACGCCTGACAGTGCTTCCTCGGTGATGAAGGACGGGGCCAGCGAGAGCATGGCCCGCATAAGGGTGCGGAGCGCGCCGGGGGCAGGAAGCCGGCTGGGCGAGGTGCGCAGGGGCCTGCGCTCCGCGGGGGGATGGGGGCTGCTTACAACGGCGGTGGCCTGTGGAGCTCTGCCGAAAGGACTCCAGGCCCCCAGGCCCCCGTGTGACAAATGCCTAATGGGCTCCCGCGCCAACGAGACCCACACACACCCCCGCACTGTGCCTGGCCAGGGTCTGCTCGAGCTGGGGGGTGGACTGTGGGGAGTAGAGATCTGTGACCTCTGATGAGAGGGCCACTGTGACAGTGTCACAGGAGCAGGACACAGCCGATTAGCACAGGCCTTCCCACCCAGCACTGGACAAGAGCCTCCCGAGGCCGCCGGCCCGCAGACCCTGGGTGAGTCCCTGGCTGGCTGTGGCTTTGGCGGAAGGGGAGCAACGGTACCACGCACTGGCTGGCAGCTGCAGCCATCACCGCAGGTAACGCCGGGCACGGCTGCCCCTGGTGTGGGAGTCAGACCCCAGCCTCACTGATCTCTGGCTGTGGGGTTTTGGGCCCGTCGCTCTTTCTGGGCTCCTGGATCAAATGGGACCCAGGCTGCCTGGCGATCTCCCACAGGTCCAGCCAGCAGCCCCTGGGGGCCAGGCTGGGCCCGCAGGTGAACAGGTTGCAGGTGGCCCAGCTGGGAGCCGGCGGTTTGACACCTCTGGTGATGCCTGCCATTAGAAGGGAAGCAGAGGAGCTGCGGACGCCTGGGAAGGGCACCGGGCCCAGCTGGAGGCAGAGGAGGCCAGGGGAGCTGCTGGGGGAGGTGACCTTGGAACCGTGGCTCAAAGGACAGGGGCCTAAAGCCTGAGGGTCCTTATTACATCACTGCCCCAGCTCTCCCTCTGCCAGCCCCGCTCGGAGACACGCACAGCCAGCGGGAGCGACCCCTGGGGGCGCGAGCAGTTCCCCGTGACGAGGCTGAAAACACTCCTCCATCACACAGGGGTGCCTCGTTCACAGAAGGTTCCAGCAGCTGAGGCCTCCCACCCTCCTGCAGTCCCCTCATTGCCCTCCGCCTGCTCCAGCCTGGAAGACAGATGGGGGCTGAGGGCGGACCCTCCCAGGAGCAATTTCTAAAAATGCAGGTCAGCACATGGACTGAAACCTTGGAGACACGTCTTGTGTGTTCTAGGGAGGGCGTCCCTGCCTCCATTTCTGACTCCCTCTCTGTGGATCAGAGCCTCCGGTGCCTGAGGAGCAGAGCAGCTATGCTGACGACCGTAAGCTGCCGTGGCTGAGGGCTCACTGCGGCCCACTTCTGCCTTTCTCGATCTCGGTGCTACCGACATTTGGGCAGTGTCATTCTCTGTTTTGGGGACTGTCCTGTGCACTGTAGGGTGTCCAGCAGCATCCCTGGCCTCTACCCACTGGAACCTCCACCTCCAGCTGTGACAACCACACATGTCTCCAGACATGGCCAAGTGTCCCCTGTGGGGCAGAGACTGCGACCCTTTACATTTCCCTCTCTTGCCTGTAAGGGAGGATTATCTGTGTCCCCATTTTACAGATGGAGAAACTGAGGCTCAGAGGAAGAGTACTAGTCCCAGGTGACACAGAGAAGAAGTGATAATCAAATGGCAAATCCAGTTACAGTCGCCAGGCATCAGGGATGAAAAAAAAAAAAAAATCCCACCTTGAAGCGAGACAATGTTACTCACTTTCTCGAGCTCTTCAGCAAATGGGTGACCCTTTTCTGCAATTAATTCCATTGCAAACCTATGAGGAAAAAGGATAAAGAATTTGCCTCTGGAATAACACCCCCCAGGCCCTGCCCTGCTTGTCAAGGGTTGGCAACCTGAGAGACTAGCCAGCATCTCAAGCTTCGTGTTAATTATATTCACTGATGCCCAATTCAAACCCAGCCACAAGACCAACCCATCTTCCTTACCCAATGGCTGAACTTAATTCATCTGTAGTTCCCAAGGCTTCAAATACTTGGTCGTCTTTGGATCTCCTTTCTCCAGTGAAGGTGCTAGAAAACCCTGTGGAAAAAATGTTCAGCTGCCTTAAAATAAGACTTTTTTCCTGATAAGCACTTTTTAGAAAACTTTGTATTTCAACTATAACGTATAAACAGAAAAGTGCTCCAATCACAAGTGTACAAGTTGATGGATTGCTGCTAACTAAATACACTTCTGTGATGGGCACTCATGTCAAGAAACAGAACATGATCAGCACCCTAGAAGCCCACATGCACCCCCTTTCAGTCACAACCACTCAAGGGTAACCACTATTCTCACTTCTTTCTTGATATGCTTTTAAACTTAACAGTCAGGTATTAACCATGCTGCTAAAGAAGAAAGACATATATATGCATGTTACATATACATTATAGTTCTATTTCACAAAATCAAAGAGCTCTGTATCTCTGCCTAGGTCACATTTCCCACTTTTCCCCCCCAACCATCAGGGAAGACAAAGCCTGCTCCAGACAGCCAGGAGCCAGACTGGCAACTTCACACAGGCTTTGGCGCTGCCAGGCGCTGGCCTGGCACTCACAGGTAGGCTGCGGCGTTCTCCTGTTGAACACAACACCGTCAGATGGGCCACTCTACGATTATGACAGATCAAGACCCAAACTGGATGACTACTATCACATGTGAGCAGGGAACACTGTCTGAACTATCAAAATGCCCACACACCCTCCTTTCCTGGCTAATGTGACTGTTGCTTCTTTATTACTGCTTTAGCCCCTCTTTTCCCCTCTCCTCTTCTAGATAAAAATGACTAAGATACCTAATCACAGAATTATCCTTGTTTCTGACATCATCCAATCCAGAGCAAAGCCCCACTTGCTCGAACTCTCTCCAAATTACCTAACACAAGTCCGATCCTAAAGCCCTGTCTAGCTTCCTCTTACTGACCTGCCTGCAGTTGCCATGGCGTGCGATCTCCCTGGATGTAAGGAGCTGACTGACCAACTTTATTTGGCTAGATTGTCCCTGGAGGTCTTTGGCTGGAGGGCATCAACACTAATAATGTTGTTTGTCATTCCTATGCATATTTTTTTAAACTGTGGTAACATATACATAACATAAAATTTACCGTTTTAGCCATTTTTGTGTATAGTTCATTGGCAGAAAGTACATCCTATGCTTGCGTTTTATATGTTTATTATGTAAGTGTACAGTAAGCTGTCACTTAACATAGTTGATAGGTTCTTGACACTGTGGAAACCATGTATAACAAAACCAGGTTCACCATAGGCTAAATACTATACACAAGAGTTAAGGTCCACTGCATCTCATCAACATAACAGTGAACAATAACAATGATATCTGAGGATATGCTGTGCCTACTAGTGATGTGCATGTTTTTAATGTTAGAAAATGGTACTCTACTGATAAATTCTTTTTTACTGTACAGCATTATGTTCTCGTACTTTTTATGTTATCAAAGTGATATATGCTCATTAGAAAATAAAATAGAACACAGGTAGGTAAACAATGAAAGCCCTTCTGTCCATCCCCCTCTCCCAAGTAACAGTCCAAGGCGCAAACTTTCAGACTGTTGTATGCATGCCTGCGTGCGCGCGCACACACACACACACACAACACACACACACACACCACTTTATGCAAATGATTCTGAGTGGGTTGTACTGCAACTTATTATCACTTAATGGATTTTGGGCCTCTTTCTTATCACATCACATCCTGGTGACATATACTAAGATCTGCCACATACTTTTTATGGCTGCCAAGAATTTGCAAGAACTTTAAAATGGAGTCTGCCATGTTTCTCTTTGCATCTTTCACCTGTCCCCACCCTACCTTTGTCTCCTGTTTTGGTGTAAATCTTGGGAATCTTGGGTGTTTTTGAGGAAGGCTGTGGCCTAATGAGAAAACAGACATCAAGACGTGGTGAGTAGGGATGGTTTACAGAGGGGGGCACCTCCATCCGGGGGTCCCAGCTTGCTGCTCGTGGCCTCAGAGCAACACTTACTGCCCCCTCGCCCCTATGCTCCCTCGGGTTGACATCTTGCCCCTCCAGTCCCTCTTAGTTGTAAGCCCTTTGTGGGCAAGTTCTGTGTCTTGCCCACATCCATATCTCCAGAGTAGCTGATGTAGTGCATTGCTCAGAGCAGAAGCTCAATACTCACTGAAAGAATTTATCAGTCACTTTTCCACAGTCCCTGCACTGCACTAAGTAGATTACTGGCATTATCTCCTGAAACTCTCCCTGGTGTTTTCCCACAAACCAAAGGTAGGCACTACCTATGCTCTTCACTTTACTGTTAAGGAAACTGCAGCTCACAAGACAACACCCGTCTTCCTAGTCACCCAGGGAAGGAGAGGTAGGGCTGGGACTAATGCCCAAGACCATCTTACTCCAGACCCAAACTGTTGCTTCTACTCGACCCAAACTCCTACCGTCTATTCCACCAAGTCAGAGCCTTTTGTAGGAAAAGAAACATAGGCCACTTCCATTCTATGAAACTTCAAGATACTCAGAAATAAAGAATTGCCAAAACAAGGTTCAAACACTGGCATTTTCAAATAGCAGAAATTCAGAGTTCAATATTAAAATATGACATTACAAGGTCATTCAAAGGTTAAATGACTGGGTCCACGAAAAATATACAACTCCGTTATTAATTCATGGTACTCTACAGGTTCTTAAGTCAGGGAATGAGGTGCAAGTTTTGAGGTGTATGATGACGGCCATGTTTAGATCATGTGGTGAATCTCGGTGTCTGAGAGTATAGATGGCTTTGGCGAAAGGTGAAAATCGGAATTGAGGCCCCTTCCGACTGTGAAGCGAGGCAAGGCGGCCCTCCTGGCCCCCATGGGATATGCTCTGCCTCGAGCTTCGTTTGGACTTTTCTTGTGCAAAGAAATCTTGTTCTCTGGCTTCTACGGTGGCTACTACACTGGCACGGTGACGTCAGGACAGAGGTCGTCACCTGGCAGGTGCCTGGGTGAGCTCACATTGGTGTGATGTAACTATGGCGACAACACCACAGTTCTAGGTGTTCAAGGTACCCTCCCAGCCAGGCACTTACCTGTCCCCGTCTTCCACGCCCGGGGAACCGCGGCTCTGGAAACGGGGACAAAGTAGCCTGCCTGCCCCAAGGCATCCGCGAAGGCCCAGGCGGCCTCCCAGGACCCACACAGCCATGTGTCAAGCCCCTAGTCAGGATTGACCCCGCCAGACTCCCGTACAGGTCCCGAGGCGACTCCACCTACCGCCGTCCGCACCACCTCTTAACCACTATTTTCCATTGGTCCGTGGCTCTCGGCCCAGGGAGGGACACTCCCAGGGTGTCGTTTCTCATTGGTTTACGGAAGGAGCTGGGCGGGGAAACTTGTGACGCTCTGATTGGCTGGGCGGAAGGAAGAGGCTCGTACGTTCGGGAACCGAGTCTAGGAGTGGCTCAGACTGGAAGCTGAGTGGCTGCCGAGGCGGCAGGTGAGAGGCCGGGCTTGCGGGGTCGGGCTGTGCGAGCTCCTAGCCTACCTTCAGGACGACCCTAGGCCGGGTTCCCGACTTCTCTGGCTGTTTTCTCCAAATCTGAGAATCTGTCCTGAAGGGTCGGGACCTCGAATCTGACAGACGTGATTCTGAGCTTCGGATAAGCGATAGGTTTCCCGCCCTGAGCCTCAGTTTCCTCTGCGAAGAAATGGAAATTACGGTAGTACTTATCTCATAGTGATGTTCTGGTCTCATTATATCGAGGTAATTAATGCACGTAAGGCCTCGAATAGAGGGTAATTTAGCATTTTTTATAAAAATCTAAAATGCGGGCATACCCGTAGACCTTGCCTGACTCTGCTTGTGGCCAGGCAGGGGGGACAGTGTATGCAAGAGTAATTTGGAGTTTGTGCCAGCTCGAGCCATCTTATTCGGTGGCTGGATACGTTGCATTACTTCAACATTCTCCTGAAAGAAAAAAAAAATAATAAATGAATAAATAAAATGCACACACCCGTAGACCCAGCAAGTCACTTTCTGGGACTCTGTTTTAGAGATCCTCGCTTTAGTGTGCAAAAAGGAGTGTAATAGCTGTTTTTCTGCAGCCTATTTGTAGTTGTGATACATTGAAAACAGCCTAAATGTCCAGGAAAGAGTTCTTGGTGGTCCATGATTTCATTTAAGTCTCCGCCTTTTATTGCAACAGTAAGAAAACCCGGAAGCAAGAACAGAGCCAATAATAAGTAGCTGTCAGTAATCAAGTGATTATGAACTGCCAGACACTGCCAAGTGTTTCTCTTGCATTATTTAAGTTAACCTGCCCCAAACTTATTGAGGTGAGTGCATTTATTGTCCCCATGTAACGTGTGAGGAAACAGGTTCAAGGCCAGTTCAGTGAGTTAGCTAAGGTGACATCACTGGGGAGTAGAAGAGCTTGGGTTTGAGCCCAGATCTTTCTGATGTATCCAGTCAATAGTTAACTGTTGCACTGCAGCTGTGCTTATTATTGCTTATTATTATTATTGTTATTATTGTAATGATGAGAGTGAACTAGGCATTTTATAAGACCTCTGAGATTTGGGAACCATCCAACCTCTGGCTCTCCTTTTCAGGATTCCCAGGAGCCATGTTGTCAGAAGTCCTGCTGGTGTCTGCGCCAGGGAAGGTCATCCTTCATGGAGAGCATGCCGTGGTCCACGGAAAGGTAAGAGGGCCTCAGAGCCGCTGAGGCTTAGACACCATTTCTCCCTGACACTAGTCTTTAAAGAAGCTAAAAGGAAGCCTTCAGGCAGCGCTTGATAGTAGATCAGAGAGGAAGTCAGGCAAGGAAAAGACAGGCCTCATGGCCACGGAAGGCTTCTCTGGCTTCCCGAGTGAGAGAGCAAAGAGTCGACGTGCGCAGCCCCGCGAGTGGAGTAAGATCACAAGCGGTGAGCGTAGGTGCAGAAGAAAAGAAGTTTGAGGATTGAATTCTGGGATACTTCAACATTGAGAAGTTGGCAAGATGAGTAGGATCCAGCAAAGGAGTCTGAAGCATGCATTACCTCATTTAACTCTTACAATTATCCTCTGGGGTCAAACGTTTCTTGTCCTATTTTACCAGTGTGCAAGCTGAGGCCCAGGAGAGGATTGGTGACTTGACCAAGGTCCTGTATACCTTGGTAGAGCTGGGAGTGAACCTAGGTCTGTCTGAACCCAAAGCCCATACTTTTTCCATCCCTCTTTGTCATTCTTGATGTTGTTAACGTTGAAAACATGGTGATTATGGGAAGCCTTTTCTTGGTACTGCAACCCTCTGAAGCTTTGCATGGAGAAGAAAAACATAAGTGGATATTAACTCCTAATTGATTGGTAGTGGTTGTGCCGAGGTTTAGCAGGAAGGCATGCCAGGGTTGATTAGCAGTGCCTGCCAAAGCCCTGTGTGGGTGTGGCCTGTGTGTTAGTATTTGCTCTTCCCTCTTAGCACGGTGACATTTTCCCCTTTTCCTTAAGACAGGAGCCAGGGTTTTTGCCACTCACCCTCAGGCTAATTGCCTTTGCCCTTTGTTCTATAGGTAGCCCTGGCTGTGGCCTTGAACTTGAGAACATTTCTCCAGCTTCAGCCCCATAGCAATGGGAGAGTGGGCCTCAATTTACCAAACATTGGCGTCAAGAGGGCCTGGGATGTGGCCAGGCTTCAGCTGCTGGACATGAGCTTTCTGGGTAAGTGCAGGAAGGAGGAACCATGTGTGCGTAGAGCCTAGGGCCTGAAGGGAGGAGGAAAGAAGAGGCTGGGCAGTTATTCTGAGCTGTTCCGAGGGAGCCAGAGGCCAGCCACTCCAGAGGTGTGTTCTCTCCAGGCCCCATGACATTAACGTCACTAATTAATTTTTTAAAATTCAAAAGAGTAAAATGATGCACTAGATAGATATATGTGGGCTATTGTTGACAGATCATCAGGACCTCCTATTGAATGAAAAAACACAAGTGACAGCACAGAAGGTACAGTCCGATGAGGAATGACGCAGATTATGTACAGGTGCATATGGAAATGCATGGGCAAAGGCTGGGAGGATGCCCATCCTCTGACAGTGGTGACAGTTACCTCTAGGGGGGTCCTAAGGTCCAGGAGTGGGCAAGCATTGTTTTACCAAGGAGAATCAGTTGGCATTTTGTAAAATTAAAAATCACTTAAAAAGTAGTCACTTAAAAGTAACTTAAGCATATTATTGGAATAAACAGTCAATACTGGAACATTTCAAGGAAAAAAAAAAAAGTCACCAGTTACCTCCACCCCTCCAGGACGACTCTTAAGCATTTTTGTGTTCATCCTTCTGGATTATTTTCTGCTGATAGATAAATTGATTGAGATAGGGCATCGGGGCTGTCTCCCGGCACACACAGGCCCCGTGCTGACCTCTGAGAGCTGCGGGAATGTCCTGTCCACCCGTGTGCGGGTGGGGTCTTTTCATCTGCACAGTCACTGCTTGCATCAGAGCTGGGGCATGTGTTCTGCTCTCAGGTTGCTATCTCTCTGGACTGATGCCTTATTGTTTGGGACAATTTCTCAGCCAAAGTGGGGCAAATGAGAATCCTCCAGGAGTTCATCCCAGACTGTTTCTGTCCCTTGTCAGTATCAGTCCACAGCAAGCCACTCAGCCACTCTCAAATACCAGAGGGAGACAAAGTAAGAGAAACCCTATTTTTGAGTAACTATTTTTCAACCCCAGTCCTGCCTTGAGATCCTCTGGGGACGTTTTTTGTTGTTTGTAACAGTACACATGGATTCCTGGCTCTGCCCCCTTCCATTGAGAGTCAGTAGTGTCAGGTAATGGTGGTAGGAGAACAGGCATGTGTGTTTTGAAAGAGGTTCCCCCGGGTGATCTCAGGGACACTTCAGTTAGGAGACACCACTTTGGAGCATGTCTCAGAAACCAGCCATCCAGAGCAACCTGGACCTTGCTTTTCATGGTGCACGGTGCCGCCCAGCCAGGCTGGCAGTGTACCCTGAGAACTGGCTGCTCCTTCTCTATGTCTGCAGCACGGACAGAAGCAGCTGGGTGTGTTGGGACGTGTCTCAGACTGCTCCCACCTCCCTGCGTGAGCCTGGGCAGGTCGCGGGATGCTCTGAGCAGAGCCCTGCTGCCTGGGAGGGTTGCTGTGAGGATCCAGCAGGATCAGAGGTGGGCCTATGGCTGTGGTGCAGAGTGCAGTACATACCGTGAGGGCTTGTTAGTTAAATCTCCAAGGAGACAAAAAGAATCAGAACCTTTCTGTTTGGTTGCAAGATTGCCATGTTTTTCTTTCAGCGTTCTTTAGTTCCTTCCGAATAGTAATAAACACAGTGAATATTTGCGGGGCCTGTGTGTGTGCCAGGCACAGGACTAGGTATGTTAGTGCTCTTAGAATCCCAGCCTTCCCTGCAAGTAGGGGGTGTTATTCATTCCCATTTTAGGGATGAGAACATTGAGGTTCGGGTCCAACTGGCTGAGGTCACACAGCTTGTTTGTGATACGGAAAGGATTCAGACCCAGATCTTCCTAAAATCCAAAGCCTCGGCTCTCAATGAACATTTCTTCTCCATTGTAGAGCTCTGAAGGGCCTGGGCTCTTTGTACCACTGTCACCGGCTTGGCTGCCTTTAATATGTAATTAATTTCGTCAACACACACTTAGTATGTGCCCCACCCTGACACAGGCACACCCCGCTTCACTCCCTCTTAGAAGCTGACTCTCAGCTCAGGGAGCGAATTGTAAAGATTAGCTTGTCGGACTCGCTCTGCATCCTCAGCCCCTGACTGCAAGCTCCGCAGCTGCTCCCTGGCCTTTCCCTCCCCGCCCAAGCAAGGCTCCATGTTTTGTGTTCGCCAGTTTTATTTGAGTGTCCCATTCTCACTAATTTTGTTTTGGGAGAGGGAAATATGTTGGGAATAATGTAATACTGCCTTTGGTACTGGTTTTATGCAGTGGAGATCAAACCTAGGCCTTCAGGTGGATGAGCTAGCTTCTGCTTTCCGTGTGTATGTGTTTTAAAACTACTATTAATGAAGCACTTACTATGTGCTGAAAGCTGTATTGAGAATTTTACAGACCTTATTTTACTTTATTTTATGACAATCTTGTGCGGAGGTTCTGTTGTTTTCCCTATTCACCGAGGAGGGAAATCGAGGTTCAGAGAGGTTAAGTCACAGAAAGCCAGTCAGGACCAAAACCCAAGCCTGCCTGTCTCCAGAGCCTGAAGGCCACTGACAGGCTAAGTTGTGGTGCAGGATCGTGAATCCCCATCCATGCAGATTCCGACTGCTGGGACCGCAAAGTCCTTTGTTCTGTTGTCTCTAAAAGCATCTGACACAGTCTCACCTGTCTGTGTGTACTTGTTTGCTCGTGGGACAGAGCAAGGAGACGTCATGGCACCTACGCCAGAGAAAGTGGAGAAGCTGAAGGAGGTGGCAGACTTCCCTGAGGACTGTACCAACCACGAGCGCCTGGCTGTGCTGGCCTTCCTGCACTTGTACCTGTCCATCTGCCGGAAGCAGAGGTGTGTGCCTGGCCTGGGGAAGGAGTCCCGGTTCAGCTTCCCCTGGAAAATGGGTGAGGGTTTCTCTAGTTTTGGCTGCTGGAAAATGCACGTGCTCCCTCCCAGGTTTCTGACAACAGCAGCCACCAGCTGCCCCGCCACGTGCCAGGCACTGTGCTAGACACCATATATGTGGTCTGCTTTTAATAATCACAGCAGCCCTGCGAGAGAGGCACTGTCCTCATTTTGCCCAGGGAGAAACAGACGCAGAGAGACGCAAGGCCATGCAGCTAGTTAATAAGTGGTTGAGCTGGCGCTCAACTCAGTTCACTCTAATCCTGACGCTGACTTTAAAATTTAAAAAAAAAAAATAAAAAAGATTTTATTTATTTATTTTAGGGGGAAAGGGAAGGAAGAGGAGAGAAACATTGATGTGCGAGAGAAACGTCGATCGGTTGCCTCTCGAACACCCCCAACTGGGGACCTGGCCTGCAACCCAGGCATGTGCCCCAATTGGGGATCAAACCAGCGACCTTTTGGTTTGCAGGCTGGCACTCAGTCCACTGAGCCACATCAACCAGGGCACATGGATTTTTTTTTCCAGTAAACATATAGTCAGCCCTTAGGTTTCACATCCATGGATTTGGAGGGCAGACTTAATTCATATGCAGATTTTCAACTTCGGGGGAGGTGGCGGGGGGGACCAGTGCCCCTAACCCTCTCATTGTTCAAGGGTTGACTGTAGAGGAAATGGGCCTCGCATGGGATCTGACACACAGTGAGTTGTCACGATGATTTTTTTGGTCCAGAACCCAAAGGGAAAGCCTCAGGGGACATCCTCCACTCATGCAGCAGATGCAACCGAAGCAGGCACTGGGTGGCCCTGGGTGCCAGGCGCCTTGCTGAGGACACATTTATAAATGTCTCAGCACTTGCTGTCCATTGCCTGGATTTTCAACTTGAAGGGGGTGTGTCCCCTTCCGGAGGGGGAGGGCGCCTTTCAGAATCTCCTGATGGGGCGGCCCCCCCCCCCCGTGCAGTTTGAAAAGGCAGCTTGAGCCTGACCTCCAGGTGTCCTTCCAGGGGAGGCCTCCCAGTGGGAATGACATCCAAGAAGCGTCTTGCGGGATGGGTAGGAATTTCCCTCGGGGGTAGAGAGGTGCAAAGCTACCAGGGGCAGGGGACCGACCTGTGCTATGAGCAGGGCCCCGAAAGAGCCTGGCTTGTGTGGGGAGCAGGAGGAATTTAGAGGAATGGTGGTTCCCCAGACACTTTCAGGAAGAGCTCTGGTTGGACAACATAGTGTTTTAAATGAATATTGCGCCCGCCCTTCAAGAGAGTCACGCTGAACGCCCTGCGGTGTGTGTTTCAGGGCCCTGCCCAGCCTGGACATCACGGTGTGCTCGGAGCTGCCCGCTGGGGCCGGCTTGGGCTCCAGCGCCGCCTACTCCGTGTGCCTGGCAGCTGCCCTCCTGACCTTGTGCGAGGAGATTCCAAACCCTCTGAAGGACGGCGAGGCCACCGGCAGGTATTCATGGCCCTTTCCCCGCGCAGCGTCCCTCCTGTGGGCTGTGTCCTGAGCGTGGGTTCTCCTGCCAAGGACTCACTGCCGCCCTGTGAGTTGAGAGGTGCCATGTGCCATTTCCCAGAAGGTGAGGGACAGAGAGGCTTGGCCCAGGCACACAGCTGGTGATGGCAGGGTGGGATGTGACCCCAGGCATCCTGAGTCCAGCGCCTGAGCTCTTCGCCCCAACCACTACCCCTCACAACTCGCCTCTTTTGGGTCCGAGTGCCCAGAAAGAACCTGAGCCCAGATGTGGAGGGCAACTGGCTAGATGAGGCGTTGGGCCACCCCCGCCACTGACTCGTTGTGGGACCTTGGTGTCCCCCTCTGTGAACGGTGACACTGCCCCTGAGGTGGGCAGTGCCAGGCCACAGCGGATGGCTAGGGAAAAAGTGACGACGTGTCCAGAAGCAAGCACAGGAGGTGTGTGTGTCAGATGAGGGCATCTCCCCTGCAGCAGGTCCTTGACCCTGTCTCCACGGACGGTGCTTTGTCTCTCACTGTGCGTCCGTGAGGCTTGTCAGGACAGGGCCGCCGGTAGGCACTGCTGAGCTTGGGGACTGCGCCCTGAGAAAGCACCTCAGCACAGGGTGATGCAGTTTGCTCTGGGCCTCACCGCAGGAACTGGAGATAAGACCGCAGAAGGCAGCTCGGCAGCTTCTTGTTGAGGCTTGTCCCTGGACCTCTGTGGCTTGAGGGAGCCCTGCCGCTGAGGGCCTCCGGGCCCGGCTGGGCTGGGCTGGGCTGGGTGGCCTGCCGTCTGTGTTCGGCGCTCGGGGCAGCCGGCCGGAGGGAAGGCTGCTCAGACAGGGCTGGCTGCCAGGAGGGACACAGCTGTGTCCCTCCACCCAGAGCAGCTTTCCCGCGCCCCCGTGCCAGATGCGGGGTGCTGGCCCGTGGCCGAAGAACTTCCTCCTCTTCCTGCTTCTGGCTTTGAATTGGGGTTTTCTTCCTCTTTCATGAAAGCACTGTGCCTGTTTGAGTTCTGTGATGGCCAGGAATCCCTCTTCTGAGACAGGGAGGTTAAAATATACTTGAATTCACACTGAGCCCAAAGAGTGCTTTGGTCCTCGTGGCCGCAGCGGGTCTGGGGGCTGCTGATGTCTCATCTCTGGCAGCATTTCCCAGAGTTGCATCGAGTGGCTCCTGCGTGTGGGGAGAAGGTGGAAGAGTGGGTAGCAGTGGCTGTTTGTCAGGGAAGAATCCAGCAGGAAGTGAGGCGTTGCCCCTGTAGGTGACAGGAAGTGGTTTTCAGGCATGTCAGTGAGGTTTGCCCGCTTACCCGCTGTTGGCCTTGGGCGACCCCTTTTTCTCTCCGGGGCTCTGTTCCCTTACCTGGAAGTGTGGGGCTGCATCGTATGATCCCTTGGGGGGCCTTCCAGCCTTGACATTTGGTGATCCTGTGGTAAGATAGTGACTCAGGACAGAGGCTTCAAGAAAGTGCTCTTTACTGTGTGCTAATCATTGATTATAACCCAGATCAATGAAGCCCTGGTTGTCCTGGGTCTTCTACATAGACACTTGCCCATAGGCCAACAGACTGGAAGGTGACTTATTTGTGTCACGAGTCTGTATTTATTGGGGAGCTGCAGATGAGGAGAGTCACTCGGCTAGTAGGTGGCAAAGTAGGCCTTTGTGAACCCCAGACTGGGGCTCACTCCACCGCACCGGGCAGGAGGGCTTTGGAGGGAAGGGAAAGAATGGCATGTGCTTTAGCTGGAGAGGTTCTGAGCGGTTTTCCTCTTCTTTCCGAGCTTGACGGCCCAAGCCCTTTTGCCTTTTGGTCTCCACCAAGCCCGGCCTGTGGCCCCTGCCTCTGCCCCCCGTGGGGACCCCGGCCCCTACTCATCACTGTTAAAGACGAACTTCTGTGTCTCCTCCAGGTGGACAGCGGAGGACCTGGAGTTAATTAACACGTGGGCCTTCCAGGGGGAGAGTGTGATTCACGGAAACCCGTCCGGAGTGGACAACGCTATCAGCACCTGGGGTAGGTGCTGCCTTGGGCTTGTTTTCTTTATTTTCATCATTTTTAAGATTCTTATGACACTTGTAGATGCCCAGAGTCTGTTGGTTGGAAATGAATACAATTAGTGGGTTGTAGGGGGGAAAAAATTCCCTGTTTTGAAGGGAATGGATTTCAGCCTTGCACCCCCTAGATGCAGGTCTCTGGGGGTTGGGGTCAGGGCCTAGGAAGCCACAGTTCCTGTGAGGTCCCCAGGGGCGTCCAAAAGTAAAGCTGCAGAACTGTAGCAGTGGACGCACTGCCGACCCCACGAACTGAGCTCCTCCCTGGTGAGGATGCTTGCCTGTGGGACCGAGACACAGCCCTGTGCCCCAACTTCACCCCGTCACCCTGTGCTGTCAGAGTGCAGCTGGGCACCTTGGGGGCAAGGGAGTGGCCCCGCCGCCTGGGGCCTGGCACGAGCTGCCTGGCAGAGCGTGGAGTGCCTTCGTGCCCTCCTGGGCCTGTGTGGCTGAGCTGAGATGATCGTTATGGTATTTAGTCTGTTCCCTGGATGGGGCAAAACCGAAACCCACCGCCCAAATCTAACACCTTTCCCAAGAGGCAAAGATCTGCTTTTCAGACCTGCTGGTTTTCCTCTTTAGGAGGAGTACTCCGATACCAACAAGGGAAGATGTCAGCCTTGAAGAGGTAATGCAGGGGTGGAACAGCACCTCGGGCCCCGTGGGGGAGCTCTGTTTCTTTGTTTTGTAATATGTGGCGCAGGTGGCGCTGGGCTTTCTCCTGCCCCGAGTGGCCCTTACAAGCCATCACCATGAGAACGCCCTGCTCTTTTGAGTCAGCTCTTAAATTGCGAAGAGATCAAAAGGGAAGTCATGCATGGCTGTGCCATTTACTTTCCAGAATGGGGCCACTCATTTAGTTACTCCTTCACTTGGCAAACAAGAATTGATATCTTCTGTGTTCCTGACGACACTGTACTAGGAACTCGGATATAAAGATGAATCTGGGACACAGCTTTGGACTGGTGGGGACAGGTACGGACACACAAGCCACCCTAAGACAACATGAGAGTTGCCATAACGAAGACACGCAAGGCAGAGCCAGGACAGGAGCCGGGGGGAGCTTGTGAGGGGCTTAGAACACGGGTGACATTTGGGAATTTGCAGCCTATTTTATATGTTGCTTTATACCCTCCCCCTGGAGTAACTGGAATTACCAGCGTGCATGTTACATTTCAGCATCCTCGCTTCTGTTTGCACTTAGTGGCACTGTCAGGTTCAGGGAGTGTGATGCGGGGCAGGCCGGTGCCGGCGCTCTTTGGCTGTTCCCGGAGCCCTCGAAAGTCGGGCCGGGTGTTTGTCCCAGGGCATGTGGCTGCCCCGGTGGGCGTTTCGTGGCTGTGAGCGTCCCAGGGCTGGCTGTCACCGTCGTTACCCAGGGCTGACTTCTCTGCGGATGGGCAGCAGGCCCTGGACCCCGGCCCTCGCCAGCTGCGCCACTGCGTTAGTGGCACAATGACCTGGGGTGTCATGGGGCTGCCCTCCTGCATCTCTGGGATCTTCCTGGAGAAGCCATGTTGGCTTCTGGGAGCCAAGCCAGCCTTTCTGAGACTCTTCATTGAGGTTTCTTAACCTCACATTGCTGGCATTGTGCGCTGGATAATTCTTTTTCTAATCCTCATCTAAGGACATGCTTATTGACTTTAGAAAGAGAAGGGAAGGGAGGGAAAGGAAAACATCGATGTGAGAGAGAAACATTGATTGGTTGCTGACTAGGGAATAAACCCACAACCCAGGCATGTGCCCCGACTGGAAATTGAACCGCGACCTTTCAGTTTACGGGACGATGCCCACACCACCTGAGCCGCACCGGCCAGGGCTGGGCAATTCTTTAAACAGGGCTGCCCTTTGCAGTGCGGGATGCTGAGTAGCAGCCCTGGGCTCTGCCCACTAGATGCCAGCAGCACCTCCCCATCTCCCAGCGCTGACAACCCAAAATATTTCCTGACATTGCCACATGTCCCCTGGAGGACGGAATCCCCCTAGGTGACTGCCTCTGCTCTACACAGAGGCGGAGCAGAGCCATCTGGGAGCAGGGAGCAGGGCGCAGCTTCCTCTGGCTGCCCGTGGGGTCGAGGCGATGGAGCCTCCGGGCCCAGGGGCCAGCTCTGCCAGGCCTGCCGAATCCGCGTGCAGTGAGAGCAGGGCCGAGGGGGGATTCGGAGGTATCTGGGCCCGGCTCCCCGCATCAGGGCTCACAGTCTATCGGAGGAGGCAGTCACGTCATAATCTTTAGAACGAAGGCATCCAGAAGGTTCTCGGTCTGCTGTGCGTGACAGTGAGGGGTGTTACAAGTCAGGCTGCGGGAGTGGGGCTCCTTCATGAGGGCAGTGGCATTGCATTCTCTCAACATTTCTGGCCCAGGGATCGAAAACCAAGAGTGAGCCTGTGCCCGTGCACAGCCTCCGGAGGGAAGCGGGGTGAGGCTGGGGTGTCTCCAAGGCAGAGGAGAGGCCCCGGCGCGCCCGGGCCAGTTGGTGGCGGGGAGGTGGACAGAGACTCTGGGGTTCGAAGGCCTGGGTTTGAGTCCAGCCCTGTCACCTGCTAGCTAGGCACCCTTGGCTTGAGTCCTGTCTCATGAGGCCTTCATCTCATTTATGCAGTGGATCCTGAGCATGACATCAGAAATAGCACCTATGAAGTTCTCCGCTCTTTGCTGACCAGTTATTCATTCACGCCACAAATTATTATTGAGGCACTGCCATGCGGGGTGCGGGGGCCTCAGCAGGAAGCAAAAGGTCCTGCCTTCGGGGAACTCACATTTTGTGGGGGGAGACAACCAACAAATAGGTGGCTCTTGGTGAGTGTGTCCGGCAGTCCTAGGTGCCCCTGGGAAACAAAACAGGGTGAGGGGCTCGAGGTGAAGGAGGGAGCTGGTTGGGTGAGGTGCTCAGGGGCGGCCTCTGATGAGATGACCTCTGAGCAGATACCTGGATGAAGTAAACACAGGCTTGAGCCATGGGACCACCCAGGACGCGGCGGGGTCCCGGCAGAGACTCGCAGGTGTGAAGGTCCCGCAGCAGGGTGCAGTGTGCCTGGGGTGCTGAGCAGCAGCCAGGGGACCAGAGTGGCTGAGTGGAGTGAGCAGCCAGGGAGAACAGAGACGAGGCTGGGCAGGGAGCCCGGCCAAGGTCGCACAAGCATCTACAGGGCGTAGCCCTGGTGGGTGGCCACAGATTTCACAGGAACCCTGAGTTTTGTGGGGCTGGCAGGAGGCCGTTTATAGAGAGAGGACTTATCTAAGAAAGATGATAAGGCAGTACCCAAACTCCTCCCGCCCCAATGGATGGGGACTCAGAGCAAGCTGACCTTCGCTGCTGGCTGTAGAATGCCGTGGCGAGCAGATGGCTGATTCTCTGAGAAGCAGAGGGGCTGGACCACATTAATCCCGCCGGCGGCTCACAGAGAAGCCCTTTGCACCAAACCCGCGCATGGCGCTTCTCTATTAAAAAATGCATTGTTTGCGAAGTGGATCAAGATGCGGCCTCCCAGAATGCTGCCTGTGTGAGGAACGGCTTGTCTTTAAAGGGAGGAGAAAAGCCAAATAGAATGTTCATCTTTTGTAAAGTTAAAAAAAATAAATAAAAGGGCCAGCCTCCAAGGCTGAGAATCGATATTAATTTCATGGGCTTATGGGCGGTGAGATCAAGCAGGTTTCTGGCAGCCTTTTCTAGCCCTATTGGATTTTACAATCTTGAGCTGTGAAAAGAAAAGTGAATAAAGGTATCAAGGGGTCTGCCCATCTCCAGCTGTCTCCAGCCAGAGCTCTCCCAAATTCTCCACCCTCTGCCCCTGGGCAGCAGTGCTCTAAAAGGCAGGTTAGGATGACAGAAAATGGGGGCTTGGTCCCCAAAGGCAGCCAACCACAAGGACAATTGGGGTCGTGGCTCTAGGAGGGATTATAAAGCTCAGAGGGCAGGAGAGGACAGCAGGGCCATGCTGGAGAACTGGCTTACCAGGGCCTCCCTCACCCAGGGCAGCCAGGCGGGGGCGGCCGATGCCCTCTCAACGCATGTGGTTTTGGAGCAGGGCAGGAGTGGGTGCAGCATGCTGGGAACCGCTCCTCCGCAAGCCTACCCTCTCTTGCACTCCTGTGTTGACTGAACCAGCTACCTGGGCACCTTCCCTCCCTGCTCACCCTCCATGCAATCCATCCTAGGACCTGTTGCTCTTTCTTTCTAAATCTCTGGCACCCTCCACCCCAGCTCCCTGGAATGGCTCATGGGACAGAACCTCTGCCCCTTCTTGTACTCTTCCCTGTAGAGACTTTGAACCTCTGACTCCATGCATGTGCCACGCTCTACCACCCCCAGGCTGGGTAGGCCCTCATGTGTGCGTAGCACATACAGGTGCCCAGTCAAACTCAAATGCATGAATGAGTGAGTGAGTGGTGAGCCAAGGGAAGTGTCCCTCTGTCCCTGGGCTGAAGCAAAGATGCAGCTGTGGTTGGTGGCAGACACTCTGGGCTGGGTGTCAGGAACCTGTGCTCCGCCAGCCCGTCTCCAGCCTGCTGTTGATGTCACCTCCCTGGGCCTCTGCTTCCTCCTCTGTATGGGGGAGGGGGAGCCCAGGATTGCCCCCAGCCCTGACCCAGCTCCTGCACCCGGAGCTCACTGTGGTCCCTCTGTACCCTGCAGGCCGCCAGCTCTGAAGATCCTACTCACCAACACCAAAGTCCCTCGCAGCACCAGGGATCTTGTGCTCAGGGTCAGGAACAGACTGCTCAAGGTACTTCTTGTTCCACCCATGGGCAGGTATCCAGCAGGGTCGCTGTTTACGCGTTGGAGCCCTCCCTCTGCCTCATGGGTTCATGGAGGCGTGGGATGGGGAAATGGAGATTTGAAGGCAGTTGTGGCAGAAAAGGAAGCACTGTGTGTTCACCCTCCAGCTGGGAGGTGGGACAGGGATCGTCAGTCTTGCTGGGTTTGCAGCAACAATCCCGTGCATATACTGGGCACCTGGGCAAGGCAGAGACCAGTCTGGAAGGAGAGGAGGATCCCTCAGAGGGTGGGTGTGGGCAGTGAGGACACCTCCTCTCGCTACGCCGTTGCCGGGGCATCCGTCCAGTGCCTACTTGCCCACAAGCTTCACAGGCCTTTACCTCTTTTCCCTCCAGTTCCCAGAGATCGTGGCCCCGCTCCTGACCTCCATAGACGCCATTTCCCTGGAGTGCGAGCAGGTGCTGAGAGAGATGGCGGCAGCGGCCCCGACCCCGGAGCACTACCTCTTGCTGGAAGTAAGAACCCGTCTGCGGGATGCGGGGTTGCTCGCCACAGCACTGTCTGAGGTGGGGCTCCCCAGTCTGGTCGCACTCAGAATCCCCGGGGGCCAGGCCTGGGCCCGGGGTCCTGTGTGTGCACACGCCAGCAGGCGTCCCTTATTTTTTAAACCTCTTCCCAGGTGGTTGGAATAACTAAGCGAGAGGATACACAGAAAACGCTGAGGGCAAGTGCCCGGCGTGGGCTAAACACGACAGGCCATGTTTACGTGAGGGCACCGGGATATTACTGACACGGTCCATGGGTCCAGGAGAGAGTTCTTACCTGGCTGCTGCTTTCCTGCTATTTTTGTAACTGTGTTGGTTCATTCAGTGCTGTTTATCACCTGCATGCTCGGCTCAGACATAGTCTAATATTGTTCTTTGGCCATTGTTACGCCAGCCCACCACCTTTTGCATAATTCTACTGTAGAGGTTAAGACCTCACACTTGGGATTTAATCTGGCTTGGGGCTGCAGCCCGGCCCCACCCCCTGGACTCTCTTAAGAATGCAGTGCGTTTTCATGGGTGACGCACAAGGACAATGCCTGATGAGCCACCAGCTCAGTAAGCCAGAGGGCCGGGGCTCATCCTCAGACACGGTCCGTCTGGCCTGGTGTGTGTGGGCTGGCAGGAAAAAGCCATCTGGCTTCCTTGAAGAATCACAGGTTCAGGCGGCCGCAGCTGACGTGGTTAGAGGTGCGGAGGGCCTCCTGTGGCGTCCATTTCTCTGCAGTCCCCACCGCTCCCTGCGCTCCCCACAGCCGCCGTGGTCTCTGCTGGTGCCTCCCTGTCCCGCCGTAAGCATTTGAGTCCGCAGCCCCTGTAATGAATGGAAACTGCTCCTCCATGAGTCTCTTCACAAATGACTCCTCATTTGATCCCCATTTATAACCTACCTGTGAAGCAGGTGTGTTGCTCCCATTTCACAGGTATTAAAACTGAGGCCTGGAGGGAGCAACTTCTCCAGGGTTCCCAGCTGGGGGTGGCGGGACCGGGGGCCACACTGACTTACTCATTTCTTTAGTCAGCAGATCTTTGATGAGCACCTACTGTGTGCCAGGCGCAAGGACTTCATCTGCTCGCTGTGCTTCTGCCCTCATTCCCTCAGCCTTTGCCTGGCTGGCTCTCAATTCCTTTCACGTAGAAAGGAGGGAACACAGTCCTCCTGAGTAGGAAATTAATAATGATAGAGTACTGCCTAAAATACACCCCGCTGAGCCCCTGGAGAATGCCCCAGAACAGCATAGCACGTTGATTATACATTGTGTATATTTTTGGCTGTGGCAGCCGCTGAAATGTGTAGCTCGGCTCCCGGACAGCTTTGCGCTCAAACCAGCGAGCTGTTCTCCTGTGTCACAACCTGTCATCCAATCCTTGACAGATTTTGGATCAGAATGTGACAGGTGTCTGGAACCTGCCTCGGCGACATGACGCCTGGAGCTCAGGCACAGGGAGCGGCCCCCAGAAGTTTTCCCTCGCACCCAGCCCTCGGGCCCGGTGAAAAGCGCCCGGGGCTGCCACCCAGCCATCACGCCTGCCTGCTCCTTTGTCAGAAGTGCTGGGGCCTGTGAGGGGGGCTGCGGGGGAGGGCTGGCCCCACCTGCCGGACAGCCCTGGGCAGGAGAACCAGGTGGGTCTCCACGGACGGCTGGTGATTGGCAGTCTTCACAGGCGCCCCCGGCACCCTGGAGTGGAGCTGCGTGCCCCAGCCGCGCCCTGCGAGTGGGTGACGGCCAGGGCACTGTCTGAGGCGGGGCAGACCCATCTCCTGGGGCCAGCTCAGGGCCTTCCTAGCTCAGTGACCTCCGGCAAGTCGCTTTCCTCTCTGGGCCTCAGTTTGCCCCTTCGGAAAATGGGGGTGATGGTGCTGTGACTGTAAAAGTACCAATGGCTGCTGGTGTTTGCCGAGCACCGACCTCGTGCCAGCTGTGGTATGAAAGTCTCACCTCATTTCTTGCTCGTGGCAACAGGGCAGCTCTGCTTCCCGTCCTGTTTTAGAAGGGAAACGGAGGCTCAGCGTAAGAGACCTCACCCACGTGCACACGACCACGAAGGGGCAGGGCTGACGCTTAGACCCAGGCCCGCCTGACTCCAGCTCCCACTTTCAGACTCCCGGCAACCAGGAGCGCAGCTGGGTGCTCGTTCTCAGGGCCCCCGCACCCAGCACAGAGCCCAGCGCGTCGTCTATTTGTTGAACACTCATGGAGTAAATGGAATGTAAATAGGGGACGCCTGGGCAGTGGTAGCTGTTAGTTTTGTTATTTCCTCAGCCTGCATCTCCTTTGGTCCTCATAAGAGAAGGAAGTTTAGCATGTGTAATCAAAGGAAGTGGAACTGTTTCCCCCACCCGAGGGAGGCCTGCTGCAACGGCAACCAGGTTTTACTCTGAATATCAGTACCTGAGGCCGCTGGAGGTTGGCCTACTACTCTAGACATCTGTAAATGACAGAACTCCCTCTCAGCCAGGCTTTAGCAGAAAAGGAGTTTCTGGGAAGGCCGGAGGCGTCCGTGCCCGGGCATGTGCTCCCTCCCAGTGCCATCCCAGACCCAGGGGACATCCTGCAGGAAGGAGAGGCTCTCTTACCAGCAGAGAGGGACTGCGTGCTGGGTAGTCAAAGCCGTTTGGCCGAATGCGAACAGACTGAATCTTCTCCAGGAGCTCGTGGATATGAACCAGCACCAACTGAATGCCCTCGGTGTGGGCCACGCCTCCCTGGACCAGCTCTGCCAGGTGACCATGGCCCACGGGCTGCACAGCAAACTCACTGGCGCCGGTGGCGGTGGCTGTGGCATCACACTCCTCAGACCAGGTACCAGGGGTGGGTGGGGTTGCCAGGTGGGCTCACACAAAGGTTCTACCTGGGCATTTCCCTTGGGAGGAGGAAGAGGCCTGTACACAAGTCTCACCTCTGCTGTGTGGCGTTGGGCAAGTTGATTAACCTCTCTGGATCTTTGTTGTCACATTGGTCAGCGAAGGATGCTAATATCTGGTTTATACAAATCCATGAAAGAATGCATTTAGAGGGCTGGGCTCACATGGTGAGGGCTGTTTCTTCCACCTTTTTACCTGTCAAGCCTCCCACAAGCTTGAAAAATAACCAAGACGTTGTTACCACCCATGTTAGCTTTATGCCCCCACCACCATCACATTTTGATGTGTCTGGTATGGCGATGACCCTGCTACAAACAAAAGGGCTTCTTTCCCCTTAGTCTTTGGGGAAAGAGCAAGGCAAAGTTATGGGCTTCCGGAAGTCTTCGCACCGGTGACCAGGGCCGGCGAGGGGCTCCTGGTGGTGGTCAGCCACCCACACCCCGCGCTGCCCTCAGGACCTGGAATAAACGCTCCTGCCCGCCTCAGTTTCGCTGTCACCCTCAGTAGGGCTCCCAGGCCCCATGAGGCCACCGTGTCCTAACCAGCCGACCTTAACTGTTGGTTCCTTGTTCAGGGTCGGTGATGATGGTGAGAGAATATTTCTTGAGCTTGTAGGGCACCAGGTTCTGTGCCAGGCACTTTACCTGCATTATCCCATGGAAGCCTCACAGTGACCCCTTGAGGAGAAGGTATTATTAGCGCCATTACCAGACGAGGAGACAGTTGCTCAGAAGTCACATCCAACACATGACAAGGCCAGGCCTGTGTGATTCGAAAGCCCGCCGTTTTCTTGGACGGGGCAGACGTTCTCCACGCGGGCAGACACTTGTTCCAGAGATGACCTGCTGCTGTCCCTCCCCTTAGATGTGGAGGAGCCGGTGGTGGAGGCCACGAAGCAGGCACTGTCCGGCTGCGGGTTTGACTGCTGGAAAACCAGCATTGGTGCCCCCGGCATCTCCATCCACTCGGCCGCCTCCCTGGACACCGCCGTCCGGCAAGCCCTGGGTGGCCTCTGAGATGAGCCCACACTGCTGCGGCCCTGCCAAGAAGCCTCTTCCTGAGTTATTCTGGGGGCTGGAGTGGGCCTCTGCTGGCCAGTGGGTGCCCAGCTCCTGACACTGACAGAGGGGCCTCCAACCCCCGTGACGTCCCTTCCGCTGGCCCACCAGTGGGACCTGGAACCTGCACCCGGCTGGGCTGCCCAGGAGACGCGGCCTGCGCTCTGCATTCCCTCAAGCCGGCTGGACAGTGGGGCCGTGCTCGGCCCTCTGAGGCTGCCAACCTAAGACTCGAGGTGCTCTTTCTTATCCTCCCTGAGTCTCCCCGAGACCCGTCTGCTTTGGGGCCGCTGCCTTCGCCTCGAGCTCCCTGGCTGACCTGGCGGGAGGAACGCTCAGACGCGGAGGCCTGGCTCCTGCAGCGGCATGCCTTGTCCCTCCTCCACCTCTGTACTCCCACCCGTCCCTCGGGGCCAGGCCCCTCCCGCCGCCTCCAGGAAGCCTTCCCTGGCCCTGGCAGGCTGACCCTCATCCCTCCCCCCTCCTTTCACACTTCCAGTCTTTTACTTCAGGTTTACTTCAGCACTTTGGGAGGCCTGCTCCTCTCTCCAGCCAGACTGTGAGCTCCCCTAGGGAGTGCCCGGGTGGTGGGCTTTGCCTTCTGTCTTGCGGCCCAGGGGTTGACCAAAGGCAGGGTCAATGTGCAGTTTCTTCCAGTCTGTATCCGAGGGGTCTGCAGAAAAGATGACAAAAGACGGAATAAAACGTTTCTGAGTAAACAGCGCGTCACTCTGTGTCTGGAAGAGAAGATGAGGTTCTGGTGGTCTCTAGGCCACCCACACCTGCCTCTGCTGTCCCAGCCCCTTCTCCAGGCGCTTTCTCAGTGGAGCCCTTCAGGAGGTGACAGAAGAGGGGCTCTGGGCCGCTGGGTTGGGTGTTTTGGCAGGTGTTGGGGGGGGGTCCCCAAACAGCCCTGGACAGGGATGGGTGCTGGGACGCTGGGCTCTCCACCCACTGGCGCAGCTCCGTTCTGCTTTTCCTAAACAGGGAAGTGTAAGCTTCCCAGCTCCTAGAATCACAAGCACCCATTAATTCACAGGCTTTTGTAAACATTGGAAACAAAAACCTGCTGTAGGACCTGGAATATTCCTTTCTTTCTGAAATTAACGGGAAAACAGATTGAAGGCCTTAGAGCCCAGTGCCTGGCACCCACCTGGCTGGATTTGAACTTTATATTACCAGGCAAGGCTCTTTCTGAAATGCAGAATCCATCAAAACTCCATGTAGCTAGCGCATTGCCAACAGAGACGCTTCAGGAGTCCCAGACCTGAGAGAGCGACTCTCAACAGGAAACTGGGGCTTAAGGCCGGCCGAGGGGCAGCTACTGGCTCAGTGCGCTTCTGCCCTCGACCACTAGGGGGCAGCTGGCTCCTTTTCCCAGCATCTGCACAGAGGGTGAGTGGGAGCTGGCCTGAAGAGCAGATTCTGAGCCTCCCTTCCCCAGCCCTCACTCCAGGCTCCTTGGGGCTCTGCCAGGAACATTGGGGTGATAGGAAGGGCACCTGCCCCAGCTTAACTTGTAAAAATGGCCCCAGCATTGCTGATGGGGAGTTCCCTGCCCCGACCCTTTAAAACAATTGCTTAAAACAATATTATTAATACTGAGCACTTACCGTGTGCTGGGCACTGTTATGAGCACGGTACATACATCATCTCTTGATCTACCCCAGCCTTGGATTGTGGCTGCTAGTCTCAGCCCCGTTTTACAGATGAGGAAACTGGAGCTCAGAGAGGTTGAGTAACTCATCCAAGGCCACACAGCTCTATTCAGCATCAGAGGCGGGATCCCAGCTCAGACGCCTGCCTCCAGCACCTGCCGTCCGCCCCTACGTGCTTCTGCCTGGACTGAGGTTTGTGGTGGTTCTTGCTGTTCTCCATACTCGGGCTCGTTACTTCCTCTGGTTGATACACTTGGTTAGAGTGGGCCCTGGACCGGGGTGTGTTTTTTAAAGCTCCACACATGATTTGAAGGAGCAGCCAGGGCTGAAAGGTGCTGTCTTAAGGACAGTGCTGGTTAACAGTGTTTCCGGCCTGTAGGAGGTGGGGCCTGGGAGCCTTCCTGGGGCTCCCATAGGCACCCGTGGCAGGTATGGAATCCAGGGCAGGGGGTGGCCAGAGGCTCGGGCCCCCAGAACCTATAAGCTCACCGAGATCCTCTTCCTGACTCCCTGGGGCCTGGGCATCACCTGGAGCAGAGGCCAACCTGTACCTTGCCCCATAAAGCAGCCACGCATGCCGTGGCCAGCGGAGCCACTCATGCTGGCCGCTGCCGCCAGCCACCTGCCTTTGATAGTAAGTAGATTTGCAGGCAGTTTGCATTTGCAGCACCACCCCTTCCCATTGCCTCCTCGGTGGTCCCTACTCCCAGCTGCACGTCAGAACCACCCGTAAATGCCTGGCCTACCAGAGATAGTCTGACTTAACCGATCTCAGCTGGACTCCCAGCTCCCAGGTGATCTATGATCTAACGTGCAGCCAGGACTGAGGACGCTGAGCTAGGTGAACCTGAAGGTCATTTCTGCATGTCATTATGGTGCTTGAGAGCGCACCTCTGCCTGGGCTCTCACTCAGCTCTGCCATCCACCCCTGGAGGCTGAAGTCTCTACATTGGAAGATAGAAATAATACTACCACCTACCTTATAGAGGTTTCATGAAGGCTGAGTGACAGAATGCACGTAAAGCCCTTGGCACAATGCCTGGCACATAATAAGTACTCAATAGATGCTCAGTTTTATACCTGCCCTGTGCTGAAATATTATGTGTCTCTAAGAGCCCAGACATTTCAGGATGGCGCACAGAGCCGTTACAAGCACCCAGCCCAGTTTACCTAAACCCCTCTGGGTTGGGATCCCTAGGATCAGTCAATATTTGAGAAACACACCTAATGCCCACTGGCTCTCCAGCCTCCCAGCTTCCTCTCCAAAGAGGTGGCCACATAGCTCTGGTGCCCTCTGTGCCAGCTGGAGGACGGCAGTTCCTCACATGGGCATTTGGAGCCGCTCCCAGCCTCTGCAGCCCGTGGTGGATTTAACAACCACCCTCACAGCCTGAAGTTCACAGAAAATTTCGCCAGTCTGGCAGAGGTCTCGTGTTAGAAGACAGGCGGCGAAAATTGTGATCCTTTCCAAACAGAGTAGCTGCTGTAGTTACACCAGTGTTCTTCCTGCTGGTGAGGACTTTTTCTCTCCGAGACCATCTCCCATGGACCGCTGGCTGCAGGTCAGCAGGCATGGCCGAAGTCCAGCCCTGCCCAGCTTCCAGCTAAGTTTGGACGAGCTCCTAGGCTGTCTCTTAGCACCTACTGTATACCAGGCCCAGTCATTGTCTTAGATGAGGAGACTGAGGCCCAGAGAGGTTAAGCAACATGACTGTAATACGTTTTCGTGTGTAATGCCCAGGGCAACATGAGGTTTCACCCCAGTTGTCCCCAAAGTGTCCAGAATCCCATTCAGGACCTTATATCTGGCTTTCATAGCCCTGAATTCTCTTTTAATCTAGCACAGCAGCCCTACACCTGTATGCATACACACCATTTTTTCACCATTACGTTGCTTACACAAAGGGTCTGGCCAGTCATCCTGCAGGATGTGCTGCCTTCTGTGCTGGTTGTTCAGTCAGACCATCCCTGTGGCTTTGCCAGCTCTTGAATTGCCAACAGCCCACTTTCCTGAGCACCTGCTTACGCCCCCAGCGTGGCACCGAGTGCCTTCTCCCTGTGAACGTGCTCAGTTCAGTGAGATGGATATCATTCTGATGCCCATTCTGTTGATGAGTAAACTGAGGCCCAGGGAAGGGAAGGAACTTGCCTAAGGTCACAAGGCAAGTAAGCCGCAGAGTGGAGTTTGAACCCAGGTCTGGGTGATTTCAGAGCCCTGCTCCCAGTCACTATTTTGTACTATTTGGGAGGTGGCTGGTGACCTCCCAAAGCCCCCTCTCCAATCCCTGCCTGCTTGTCATAATTGAGTTGTCACATCCATCCCAGTGACGCCTGCCCAGCTCACCCCTCCCGCTCCTTCCATCCTCATTGCTGCCCACACCTTGGACCCCTGTGGCCCCGCCAGCACAGCAGACAGGCGGACCGATCGAACTGCCGAAGGTCACAGGCTGCCTGAGCCACTGTCTCCCCACTTCAGAGAAAAACCTTGATGCTGGGTTGAACGAGCGCCGCACCCCATGTCTTCTCGAAACTGAAACGGGCAAGGGCAGTTGTCTCCAAAGTCAACCAGACAGATGTCTCAGTTGCTTATAATTAGAATCCAAACAGATTAGGATGAGGACCCTCGGAGAACACACAGCCCAACATCTCATTTGCTGTTGATGGGGAAACTGAGGCCCAGGGACGTCACACAGCCTAAGGTCACACGGTGAGCCACCTCTGGGTTTTCTCACAACTATGGTGTCACCAAATGAGCACTGTCCTCAGCCCAGAGAGCCATCCCAGAGCATGGCTTCTGCACCTGCTGACTGCATGGCCTGGGGCAGGGAATTCCTCCTGGGCCTCAGTTTCCTCAAACGGACAATGCCAGCAGGGTGCCCAACACCTCAGGCATCATCACATTTAATTCCCACAACAGCTCTGGTGCAGGTAGGACAGAACCACAGCACCTCATCTGAAACTCTGGGGGCCAGCTGCGATTTGGAATTCAGAAGTGTGCAGTTTTATGGACAGAGACCCAGTGTTCAGGGGCAGCACCACGCCAGACTCTGCAGTGAAAGGTGTAAAGATTGTACATACAATATCATCCAAGCTCCTGGGTTACAGAGAGTCTTGGATTTTGGGCCTGAATGATTCTCCCATTTTGCAGAGAAGCAGACAGTTGCTGCTCTGAGAAGTTAGGGATTCGTCCAACACCACAGAGCTAAGAGGGGCTGAAGCCCAGGCTCGAACCCCAGCCATCAGGCGGGACGCGACCTCCCATGCTGCCGGGGCTGACGGGGCCTGTCTTTGCCCACTGGGGCGGGAAGGTTCCGCAACCGCCACTTGGGCCCGGACGCTGTCCTACACGGTGCAGGCTGAAGGCAATGGGCCCTGGGGCCCTGGAAACACTGGCTCAAACTGGTAAGGCAAACCAGAACCATCCGTCTTATTTATTTATTTTCCAGCCATAAAACTTGTCATGTGGCAAGACTGTAGGAAAATGGCCCAGTGAGTCCCCCACACCTCCAGCTACTGGACCCTCTTGGGGG